TTGTAAATGTTTTAAAATTTTTATTTAAAAAAATCTAAACCGAGTTGTTATTTTTGTTTCTGCGCCTGACAACATGAAACGTCGCATGATGTGAAATATCCAATCACAGGATGAAATATTAATTTTTTTTCTACCTCCTTTGATGTGCTGAAATTGTATTTTTTATTGTACATTAAAAGTATGGCTCGTAAATGGTCTTTTTACTGATTTTTTTATACAAGCGATGCCTTAAAATTAGAAAACAATGATTATAATATAAAATATAATTGATTATATATTAAATAATTTTAATAAATGCGAAATTTAAGTAAAAATTTTGAAAGTGTCCAAAATTAATTCCACTAGTGTAGGTCAAAGGTCACGATCCATCGCATTCATAAAGGTTTCAGGAATATTTTTCCAGAACAGGATATTACTTTCAGCGAGCTTCTAATTTGCATGCAGGCGTCTAGTTGAAACGTTAGCTGGCATTATTAATCACTTAAGTTTGTCACATTTTTGTTATCTCTATCGCGATACAGTACGGTGGGTCGATTCGCGCTCGTCCAGGGCCAAAGTGAATTTCCCAGTTACGTAGGCGGTGCTCGAACGTATCTGGAACTTTATCTGATCCTTCTTTACGCGGATCCCTTGGCATTCTGCCTTCTTGGCTCCGTGTCTCGGCATTCAGTGATAAAACGTCGAAATAAAGTCGGCACCGCATCAGATTGCTCGATATACGCGTTCCTTTCCACCCCCTTTCCACCCTTGTTGCTTTCCTTACATTTTCCACCAGTGTGAACACGTCTAATCGATCGTCCGTCGAACGATTAAACCAGAGGTGTGCGAGTACTCGATTTATTCGACAATAAATTGTCGCTCGGACAATCGAAGCGAGTTCAGTTCGGCTTGTAAATTATTTTAATGAAAAACCTGCAAGATATCCGAGCCACGAAACGCTTACACCGGTACTCGAAGATATCCTTCTTCGGAAATCCATCCAAATCCGTTGCTCAGCGATGAAAAAAGATTCGATTGTTGGCGAGCGACGGAATGTCCTGTTGCTAAGAGGAAGGATTTAGATTACGAAAGCAGTTTTCGTTCGGACCAGCCCACCGTTCGTCGATCGATCCGATACAGAGAGACACTATTGACGGTTACGCAATACTCGATGGAATCGAGTCGACGAATCAAGTGGAACGAAGCGATTGTTCTCGCGATCGCCAGAAAATTAGGAATCCGAAGGTAAAGGCGTGCTCGGCGGAAACAGAAATCCACCAACCTGTTTCCTGACTCTCCCCTCTCGGCTAAACGAACCAACCTCCTGTGATAATATATTCGCTAATAAAGAAAATTCGTATTTTCTTTCCTCGCGATTCAAACTTTTTCAACTTCCTGTATTTCCTAATGACACTTTCTACGGAAGCTCGTTAATCATCTTATCATCAATCGCTGTTTGCTTTGCGATGCTTCGACGAGATTATTCTCGTTCACAGGGAGACTAAAAATTCTTCCAAATGTCAAGCTCCTGACGTTAAATTATACGCGTCATTAGCGCTAATGTCCCATCGCTTTTCCACCCACGTTTATCGGATCCTCCTTCGATCGATAGACTCGTTAGACGTTTCAATCGTCGTTATTTAATTTCAAAATCGACGTCGAAATCACGTATTTTCGGATCTCTGTTAAAAATAATAACCTTTCAGCTCCGTAAAATCGGTTATCGCGAACACAAGGAAACGGAAGCGAAGGAGAGACAGGCGCGCGTGTGTAGGTGGGCAGGTGGGAATCAGGATAAAAAGCCGGCTGCTCGTCGGGTCAATAAACGTGATTAGCTTGTCCAAGAGCGTGTAGGCGTGACACGTGAGTCGGTGTGGCAAGGATGCATACGCAGGGGATCGGATAAATCACGCCAACCCTGTGGAACGTGTAATAAGACTTGGCTCGCGCCACCGTTTAATTAGCGATTGATTAGATAGCGGGCGGAAAGATGAATGCGCCACGAGATAGCGGCCTGATTCGATGTAGAGCGTTGTTTAATCGCAGATCGGGATTAACGCGCGCCTCGGCTGTAAATGAAATACAGCCGAAGGCTATATTTTTCCCCAAGGTAAATTCAACATGCCCTGTTTAACGTCTGACGAGTTTATTCGCCGGAGAAATCGGGTTAACGGCATACACCGAAGTCAAGGTACTTGGTCGATTGTTTGCTTAAATAAAAAAATTCTTACGGTTCTGGAAGTTCTCGATTATTAGTCATCCGGGAAGCTCTACGAAGGTTGCCGAAGTTGTCGCAAACGTTCCGATTGCCTTATTTGTTCTCCCGAGAGGGTGTCAAAGGGTGTCGAATCGGAACGGTGGCTCTCGAGGGTGTGCGACAAAGCGCGAGCGCGTAAATATTTGAAGAAAATCTTGCAGAAAGATTCGAAAATTATAAATCAACGTCGTCGAACGCATCAGCTGTTGCGGCACGATTTCACTCGTGTGGCACGGTTATTACGCGACGCCACTTAGAAAGTTTGCACCCTGTTGGAAGGGTGACAATAGTCTGTAAATAGGACACGAGTTTCCCGCAACGTGGAACATCTGTCCGCGAAACCAATTTCGATATCGTGTCACCAATTTCTGTGATCGGTGGCCTCCGAATTTTAACGACAAAGGTGGGTGTTTTTGGAAACAGGGGCTATGTTCGAAAAAGATGTTATTAAATTTCGTCAAGAAAGTAAGTTAATAGAAAAAGTAGCAAGCGTTCAACTGGTCGGAGAAGACGTGAGTCAGAATCGGTCGGGATTCGTGCGTGGCCCATTAGGAGTTCGGCAAAGAGAGAAAACGATGAAAGACATGGTTGGCATGGGTCAGTAGACAGGACAGGAAGGCCAGCGTGATATTCGATAGGAGGGATCGCGTGCGCGGGGTGGCTGGTGCCACCCTAACGTGGCACGTGGGGCGCTACCAGGTGTTGCCTAGACGTCGCGCGTCGGGTCGATGCTGAACGTTGGCGCATGTGCGACTCCCCTCTACCCCAGCTTGCCTAACCCTCGCGGACCTTTCCACCCCTCCATCTAGCCGACATTCTCGTTTTCTACCTTCTACAGCCCCCCCCCCCCCATTCTCCTTCCATTTTGCACAAGGGGAGATAGAACTACCCTCCTGCCACGTCTCACCCCCGAACGGGCACCAACACAAACAGTGAGCTACCAACAAGTTCGCGTCGCGCGTCGCGTATCGCCGACATAGCGTCACCACTATGCAGCCAATCTTCCATAGGAATTACCATTGCCCTCCCCCCTTGGGAGTTTGCACACTCGTCGCGGAGCTAGGAAGGAGGCCGGTGCCCGTGGCACCCTAGCCAGCTGTTTTCTCTTCCGTTTTCCATGTCTACGTTCGACACGGGCTCGAATCGTGCCACGACCACCACCTACCTCCACCAGTCTCTCCCTCTTTCCTAACGTTTCGGGGCTTGTTTCTTCTTTTTTTGCCCGACAGAGTTCACTAACCTCCTTTGGACACGGCCGGATTCGAACGAGCTGAATTTATGGGCAAACAGTGGGTAGGAATATCGAATTGATCGAATTTTATATTTTAGAAATAGATAGAGTCGTTGAAGGTGGGATTAAAATTCGAGTTCGTACAAACTGTTCTACGAAGGTCCGTGGGAGAATCAAAGATAACAGAGTCATCGTCGAATCGTTATCCCATTTGAGAAAGCAACTCATCGATTCAGAAGCAGCGGACTGTGGCCACGCCAATGGGGATGCACACACGCGTGTACCGCGCAAACGTGAAGCCCGCGCGCGCACGCAATGAAAAGGCCTGCAGGAATCGAGAACTAGCATCGGCAGCCTCGAGGGGTTGCGCAGCCATCCCTTGCTTCGGCATAAACCATCAGCAGCAGCAGCAGCAGCAGCAGCAACGACTGCGATGGCAGCGCCACTCCATGATGCTGACTCAAGGGGTGAGCCGCAACGGAGGGGCTACGGGGGGGTTGCTGGTTCAGTAAAGGTCAGAGGGAGAAGCGGCAACAGTCGGTGCCGCGCGACGAGGAGAGTAGATAAACGTACGGTAGGGGATAAGCAGCGGAGCGGCAGCGCCACCGACTAAACAGTCGCACCCCGTCGTTGTGATCGTATTCGAGGGCACCCCCTGTCACTGGCGAGAGCCGCGACAGGGAGCGACCGAGAGAGTATTTGGACAGACAGACAGACGGACGGACGGACGGACAGACGGTCAGTCAGTCAGTCAGTCAGTCAGTCGGTCCACTCAGTTAGCCAGCCAGCGGATAAATTAGTCGTGTTGCACTGAAGGGACTGAAGAAGCACGGTGAACGGAAAAAAAAAACAAAGAGGAACAACGTCCAGCTACGACAGAAGTAACCGGAAACGAAGAGATAACTAACGAAAGAAGAAACAAACGAGTCGTCAGTAAGCAGAGTAGAGAGTAGTAGTTTCTAGGGGGTAGTGTGGTGTGTAGCGATACGGGGAATAAAAGTAATCGCTAGTTAGGAAAAGGGGTGAGGCTGAGAAAGTCGAGGAGGGTTCTCTGGTGCGAACAGGCTGGCATGGTGGCGGTGCATCCTACGAAGGAGCTGCCCTCGCTGTGCCGATGACGAGGCTGCAGATCACGCCCCAACGTGAGCAAGGAAGGACGAAGAGGAAGCCGCAGCAGGCACCGTCTACGGATACCCTGATCCCACGAGAGGTCAACAGGCTTCAGATACGGACGGCGCTGAGTGACGGACGGCGGCGACGGAGACGACGGCGTCGCAACGTAGACGACCACCAGGTCGTCGCGGTCGACGTATCGTGTAACGGGGAACGGGAGAAGAAGAGCGGCGATAGTGGTGCCGGTGGCGGTCTAGTCGCGGGCATCCTTCGGATCGACTCGGTCGATCGGTACGAAGTTGGTGGTGCGTTTCGTGCGATTCGTGAGGGTGTTGCTAGTGGTGTAACGAAAAATCCGGAGGTTTCTCGTGACAGGGATACTTGGTCGGGCAGGTCGGCTGATCGGGTCCTGGTGGACGAAGCACCGGACGGCGATCACCACCAGCACCGTCAACATGCCGCGTTGCCTCATGGCCAAGAAATGGAAGGCCTATCCTTGGCCGGATCGCGTGGACGATCCACAGGAGGAGCAAAACGATCCTTCGGCTATGCTGCAGGAACACACGTCCCCGAGTCATACGGGGATTCAACAGATATCCGCCACGATGGAGAAACGGCAGCACAGGCATGAGCCGGAAGACGAGGAGATCGACGTGGTCGGGGACACGGATAGCAGGCAGGTCGATCATCAGCAGACCTGTTGGGGTCCGCACAGTCCTACCGCTGGTGCCACTGCACCTAGCCCACCGCCTCTCAACGCCTCCGGCGCTCTTTACTATCATGGTGAGTAACCTTCGATGTTATTGATTACCCTCCGAAACACACACACTCTCTCTCTCTCTCTCTCTCTCGACCATTTATCCATCGAGATAAGCATGTCAACTCTAATCTCTCTTAATATAAAATTCCACGTGTAGGCTTGGCTTGCTACAATCTTCACGTCCGTATCAGATAAACAACTTATAGGAGCAATAGTCATCATCATCCTATCCATTTATATCCCATCGTGCCACGCCCAACATTTGTCCAGATTCGTCGAGTCTAATCTGACTTGGCGATCGTGTAAGATGAAAACCTCTTCTCCCGCTTGGATTTTTATCCCCGATTGAGATTCGACCTTCGGAGTCTGGCCATGCGTGGCTCGCCACGGGGCTGACACACCCGCCGATTGGACGATCGTCCGTGCTATAGAGAAATTGCGGTAGTCGTCCACCACGATAACACGGTACACCTCCAATCGTAGCCAAATATCAACCAAACAATATGTATCTCCTTCTTCTTTTCCTTCGATTAATGATTTTTCTCTGCTGACCGTCCGATGAATTCTGGCCATGCGTCGCATACATACATACATACATACATACACACACAGGTTCTCAGTGACACACCCGCCAGGCCGATCGTTGATTCTACTGCGGATCTTTGGGTGGATCGAAGCATAGGGGAGGAATGATTCCTCTTTTTTTCTTTCCTCTCTCGCCCGTCCCATTTGGGTCACGTTCCTTTTACGAACAAAGCTTTCGCTACCTTTCTCCCCGTTTTTCTCTATAAAACTATCTGTCTCGTGCAAACGAGGACACAGGAATTTCGGTATCTCTCTTTTCGACTTGCTTGTTGCGCGCGATTAGAGATCGCAACAATGTTGTCCTATTTTTGTGCGCGATGGCGAGCCTGGTGCCGTTAGCATCGCGCTATGGGACACTGTTGCTCGCGCAACAGGAACGAGCCCGGTTTCTATTCCGTCGTTCGAGATTTGAATTTCAATGGAGATTGTATCGGGCCGGTTAATTGTAATGCAGGAATTATGATAGAATTGAAAGGAAAATTCTTTTCACAGCTATTTGGGTCAGGTTCCTTTGTCGAACGACGTTACCTCGCGATTCTTTTACGCTGCCGGCTTAAGAGTTCCAGATGAAAACGAGCAGTTTTCGCGAAATTTAGGACGCGTACCATTCAGAATAAAGAGAGGATATTCGCTACCGACGAGAATCGAGAAACAAGCTTTTGTCGTTGAAATTAAGGAGATAACTGAAATGTTTGGATAATAGAATCTTTCGATAAAATTAATTCTTCGGTTCGAAATATTCACTTGACACATGTTGAACGCGCTCCACAAGTTGTACCACAAAATGGATACCTTCGATTAATTTTTAATCAAACACAAACTTTCGTCGTTCAAAGGTGATCGAATTTATCGAAATATTTAAAGATACGTAATACAGATGATTAGTTTTAATTTTTATGTAATTATCTTTTAAATGATTATTCAACGTTTCTCTTTAAAGTACCTCGTTTGGTGACACACAAATGATTTAACGTTTCACGACATTCACGACATTTTAGCTAATCGCATTAGGTGGCCGGTTGTTGCGAAAAATAACGTGCGAGAGCAGCTGTTAATTAAATTCCGTTATCGATTCTGACCGTCGGGTCTTTAACATGGCGCGAAGCGTTATGTAACACGTGTACTCGTTCCACGAGGCTAAAAGTTGGACCTTGCAACAAAAGTCAACCAATTTTCTCTATTTGTTTTAAAATGCTTTATAAATCAATTTTGCAACCGTGTATAAAGTACATTTTTTATTTAACCTTCGAACATTTTCAAACTTCTCGAAAATCTCATTTTAATCCTTTGACAACCGATGTAATAAATTTGTGATTTTGATAAGTATCAGTAATTTAACTTCGTTTCAACAGATACCGTGTGCATAATTTTCCTATGAAATCTTTTATTACTGGAAATAATAGGGCACGAACGGTTCCGTTTCGTTTCGTTTCGTTCGATTTTATGCATCGTCGAATACGACCTTGCACGTCGAGATGAGAATTCAGGTCGAAAAATATGTAAGAACGACGTGGCATCGATTAAACGGCTTCCTTTTGCTGTGAGTACTACGCAAATAACGAACGGTACTTTCTTTGTAGTAGTCACGTAATACTTCATTGTACGGGCTCGCTGTTACTTCTCTTAATTCCATGTTAATGATTAAGTATTCCTGCGACGAGGGGGGGGGGGGGGTGCTCGCAACCCAAATTAATAAATTAGCACTGGTGACTGGTACAGTGGAAATAACCGTGCCTAGTACGACAAGGATACCATTTTAACGGTCGCTTGTTTTATGCAATTAATGACAATCATAATTTTTCAACTTGCTACAAAATAATCGGCCCATCGAATTTCTTCAATTTTCCTCAAGTTTCTATTAGCAGAAAGTAAAGTTCGAAAGCCTGGATGTTGCAGGGAATGAGTTTGCGCAACGCTCGAGGAATGTTCGAGGCGCGCAGAGGGTGTCTCGGGCAGGGTTCGCTTGGCGATAATGAGGCTGAGGCAATTAGCGAATCCGGCGACACGATTTTCAAGCGCCACCCAATCGTACAAAGTTTCGATGCGGTCTTTTGCGTTTCATAACACAATCTGTTGCAATTCTTACTACACTAATCCCTCCTTCCATATGGTATTATTTTTACTCTCTTTACATGGTCGAGAATGAAACTAATCGGAGGTAAGCGAATTCACATCGAACGCGTTAAAAAAAATTCGAATTAAACGTTAACCCTTTTCGAGGCGAATTTAAAGGACACTGGACGCCCTGTATAGCTCAACTCTTTTTCAAGTAGTATAGGTAGTCGCGATCGGGCCATCTTCCGCACCAAGTGCAGGCTATCAATCACGCGAAACATGCTGCAATCTTTGTACATACATATACCATGAAACGCAATTACGTTCTTGCAGTTTCCAACACTAGGATTCCTATCAATTTCAATTCGGTTTTGTTCAAGCATCCCGATCGTCCGCCGTTCGAAACGATCGACGAGCAACAATAGCAAAAGGACCTTACGTCGCCCTTTGAAAAGGCTAGAATCAACAGACTCGTGGGAGCGTGCTGAGCGTTCATTCGACATTATTGATTCTCACCCTCTCCTCCAACCCCTCTCTACTTCACCATCCCTTCTCTTTCATTCTTTGTCCCTCTCACTCTCTCTAGGCCGTTGATGAAATGCACTTCCAGACACGGCCACTCTTCTTTCCCTCTGTGTTGACTTCCTTTTATTTCAGCCAATAATAGATGCGCGTCGGTTGATCGATCGCCAGCACAGTTTTCTGATTTATTGCTGTCACGAAGACCACCCTTGCGACACCCCTGGCTCCCCCTCGAGGGATCCGAGACCCTTTGCGATTCGTCAAAGTGGTTGCTTCTTTATATTTTTCTTTTCCACAGAATCACTGAATTTTACGTGAAAATTTTTCATAATTTCTGATGATCCCTCGATTAACACTTTGATTCTTCTTTTTCTTGTCTTGTTAATTATTCGTGGAGAGCATAGCTGGATTATCGGAATAGGGTAAACGACCCCGGATAGAAAAAGAATTCCTATACGATACGTCGATCGCAACCGCGTTTCTCAGCTCGACGAAGGTAAAAAAGGAAGGAGAGCTAGCGGTATTGTTTCACCGGGACGGATGGAAGATTTTTCGTGGCTGGAAAGAGTCGCAGCTGACGGAACAGAAGGGAAGCGACACGCTCGACAATTTCAACGTTCTGTCGTGTTCAGGGCCTGTTCGCAACAATGCGAAATGTCGCGTTACATTGTCGCAGCGAGGGTATCGATCGTGTCCGGTGGAAAGCAACAACGAGCCATCGAAGGCTAACTGTCGCGTGTCCTTTCGCGTGGACAACGGCAATAAAAAGAAGGGCTGCCCGTTTATGTCGTTCGAATGGATATTAAGCCGAGTACACATTGAACGAGCCTGTGCAAACGTCACGGTGTTTTTCACCCTTTAACCGGTGAATTCTTTAAAGGTACGATTGAAATCGTGACTTGAAATCTTATGCATTTTCACATCGTGAAAAGCAGGAGTCTCGTTATGAAATTAAGCGACGTTCTCAAGGGAGGAAAGAAAAATGTGGAGTGGAGAATATTGAATGCAACAGATACTTTACATGGTATTACGCAAATCCTTCTTACCCTCTCTTACGCACAGGGAGTACTTTTTCTGTGTCGTTTTCTCATTAATAAACGCATATGGCGTGAGCAGCTGACGTGTACCGGCAACAGGAAATGAAACGGCGTGGCGCACCGGTTTCGTGTGATTCACGAATTCAAATATTCATGGCTAGAGCCAGGGGGGGTTTAGAAGCACCGGATGACCAAGAAACGGGGTGGAAAGAAGGAACGTCGCGTTATCGGTGGCCTTTCATTTTCGACATCGCAACGTTTCGTTCCACTCGAGAAAATCCTCGAGGGATAATTAAAAGCTGTTATTCCGAAGCTGCCGTTTTATATTCTGTTCGTTGGTCCTGAAAATGCTTCACCTCGTGATATTAATTTTTCAAGAATTTTTTCAACTCTCCGAGCACGCGTTGAAAATTGAAGAGAAACCTTCGATCTGCATTATTCATTAGCGCAGCCTCTAATCAGCTCTGAATTCCCTATTAAGTCTGATTGAGCGTATATCCCTCATTAATTAATATTCAGCATTAATTTTAGCCCCCTCGATACGGAACGAGCCAATTCGTTAATTGTATCAACACGGTGAGCTTGGTAATTTCAATCGTGTCCTGTAACCGATAGTTTACACCACAATAAGTTTGCGAGATTCAAAGGCAATCATAATTAATCAACTCGTTTGCAGAATCTTGGATCTCCTAATCTTGTGTGCAGGATTACCCTTTCTGATCCCGGGATGTAGATTAATTAGAGGACGTAAGATGGAAATCCTCAAAATCCCAGTTTAGTTAATTAATCCCTCCCTTTTATCAGGAGCTGTGGATTAACCGCGCGAATAAATCAGTAATAAATCACACTTCCCTATTCGTGATCCATCCGCCTTATCCACGGTTGGCAAATGTTCTTCAGAAAGCATATGTTTAAATAATAAAATAATATTTTGCGCAGGTTACACGCACGAATCGTGGATCAACCACGAGGAGCCGCCAAAATACGCGACCCTGCGTTCGGCAGCGGAGCTGGCCCGACCGGTGGTCCCGTCTCCTCCGCCTCCAGCCGCGCAGCAGGAGCTGCCGGTGGTGGTGACCGGGTCCAGTTTGCACCAACCACACCCAGTAGCCCCAACGACCACCCCTTCGTCGTCCGCGTCGTTGAGTCTACCTCCTAGAAAAAGCCTGTCCATGTGCTTCACCAGCACCGGGACGGCGCTCTCGCTGCCCCCGAAGAAGAAGGACATCTACCGACCCTATAGCCTTCAGCCAACATCGGAGATCCGGACGTCGGCCGAGGAGGATCTGTCAGCCGCGCAGGCGATCCTCGACCTGAGCGCGTCACCGGCTGCGCCCACGCACTCGGTCTTCATTCACACGCTATCACCACCGCCGCCACCGCCGCAGCCTACAGCGCCAACGGCGCCTAGCGCTGCGACGGCCGGCCAGCTGCAGCCGGCACAGCAGCAGCCTATACCCGTGTCGGTGCTGGTCCCGGTACCTAGCTCGCAGACCAGCCAGCTGCGACAACAAGAACAGACGCCGCAACCTCAGTCACCTGCCACAGCCGAGGCGAACGCAGGCAACTGCTCCGCTGGTAGAGATGGGTGAGTATCCGTTTACTGATCGTTGCAATGGATCGTATGTTGGTCACAGATACAGGGGGGACACGTAGGGCATTAGGTGTGTTGGATGAACGCGATTCGATGTTTGCTGTCTCGCTTCTGTATACGATCGCTTGTTGAGTGTGTTGATTGGTCGTTTCTCATTGTCAGTGTTGCATGTTACTTTCCTGGGGTAACGTTTGATGTTTGGATGGGGTCAGCGAAGTAATGAAAAAGGGCACGAACGCGGAGGAGATTCCTCGTTCCTACATCCAAAATCCTTCGAAATCGGCTGCCAGTCCGTGCCCCGTAACGATGAATCCTCGAGTCCGTCCTAGATCACAGGCACTCAACGGGCTAGCAGCCTTCAGTTATCACTTGATCCTTGATCCAACAGCAGCAGCGGCAGTAGCAAGACGGTCGCGTACACGTACGAGGCTTTCTTCGTGTCGGACGGTCGGTCGAAGCGTCGTGGGAACAGCACTAACGGCGCCGCGGTGCCCGACAAGGAGGCTACCCAACCGGACAGGCCGAAGTTCACCTGTACCGAATGCGGTAAACAGTACGCCACCTCCTCGAACCTGTCCCGGCACAAGCAGACCCATCGCAGCCTAGACTCTCAATCGGCGAAGAAGTGCATCCATTGTGGCAAGGCGTACGTGAGCATGCCAGCTCTGGCGATGCACGTGTTGACCCACAAGTTGGCCCACAGTTGCGGCGTCTGCGGCAAGATGTTCTCCAGGCCTTGGTTACTGCAAGGTCATCTCAGAAGTCACACCGGGGAGAAGCCTTACGGGTGCGCGCATTGCGGCAAAGCGTTCGCCGATCGTTCGAACCTGCGCGCCCACATGCAGACCCACTCGGCGGACAAAAATTACGAGTGCTCCCGATGCCACAAGACGTTCGCGCTGAAATCTTACTTGAACAAACACCTGGAGTCCGCGTGCCTCCGCGACGACGAGATACCGCCGCAGCAAGCGGCCGGCAGCAACAGCAACAACGCGACGCAACACCAGCAGAGCAACAACCGTGGTTTGTAGCAGCGCTTCGACGACGCGAACGCGATGATCACCAGACGCCCGGACGTCCTTAGCGAGTCTAAGGAGAGCTAGCGGTCATTCCCGGCCACAGCCGGTTAACAGCCGGGCTTTCGAGGAAATCAGCAGGACGAGGATTAACGCATAAGGTTTGCCGTAGGTTTTAAGTAGAAAAGTGCCAGTAGTGAATTTCGGGAATAGAGAAGTAAACCGTGAGATGTAGAGTAAAAAGAAAAAAAAAAAAAAGAAAAGACGAGGCAGGGGAAGGAGGAGATCGAACGAACGAAGAGTTAGAGGAGGTGTCGGCTTCGTAAAATAATGTCTAACATTAATAAAAACGTCCAATAATGTTAAGTCTTAAAAAAAAAAAGGGGGAAAAAGGGAGAAACAAAACGAGAGAAACGAGAACAGAGAACACGTCGAACGGTGACGTCCACACTGCAGTCTAGTCACTCTAGTCGATTATACCTAATACATTATGATATTATATTATTATATATTATATATTATATTATATTATTATTATTATATATATATAGTATATTTACTAGCGCGTACGGTTCTAGTCGCGAGCTCGTTACGGAGACACTATTTATTGATAATTTAGCTGCCTAAAGAAAAAAAAAAGAAAATAAAACTCTTCGATGCTTGAAAATATACCAAAAAAAGAACACACATACACACACATATACGACATACATACAAAATGGGGAGATACGTCAGTACTTGAAAAAAAGATGCAATAATGATAAACGATAACGTGATTTTCAGCCGGTTTTCGATTCATCCCTTAACATTCGATACATCCATCGACGCCGTTCGTGAACGTCTCGCGAGAATCGAATCGCGTCGAAAAAACGATCGTCGCTAGCTGGTACGCACACCCGTCACCCCGACACTTATTTTACCGAAAATTCAGACCCAATCGACCCCGTTCGCACGTTCCTCTTCGATGGATCCTTCGGTGGACCACGTTATATTCGACCAGGGGTCGATCTCACGGTGGATGTACCTTAATCCCGTGAACAAAATTCACGTTATTTTTATTCCACGGTGTACATTATGTATATAAGATAATGGTTCACTTATCGAAAGTGGATGTTCAATAATTTCCTTTCCGCGATGCTACACGAACGAATACAAAGTGAAAAGGAAAAAGGAAATTCAAGATTTACACGGACACAGAGACACAAACACGTAGGGCAAAATGAACACAAGCGTATGTTTAGAGCAAATTCAAGTAATAGATGCGTAAACATTGTTATACACATATTTTATAGAAGCAATATAACGAGTAAGAAAATAATTAAAAAAAAGTAAATAAATAAATAAATAAACCAGTAATAATGACGACGCGTACGGTCAAAAAGCAATGTTTCGACACAACGAATTATATAATTATACATATATAGAGGCGAACATCGAAGTTTAACGCGATGGGAAATTAAACAAAAAAAAAACGATGATTTGCTTCGGTATCGAACTTATTCGATCGTCCAACCACGCTCTTCGATCATTTTCGTGATCGTATGTTAAACTGTTCGAGTTTCATGGTTTATTTATTTCACTGTCTCTCTATGCTTAATGAAAAAAACAATTTCTTTCGTATTGGTAAGCAAAAGCTATTCCTATTTTAGAATCTAATATATATATATATATACATATTTGTATTAGAATGGTTGGATAAAATAATGGGAGCAATCGAGGAATCAGCGACTCAATGATTCGCCTTTTTCACAACACCAAATTTACATTCTTAAGAATTTAGTTACCTAGTAGTGTCACTTTGATATTAGTAATTAATGACTGAATACTAATTAAATAGGTATTATTCGTTCATTTGCTACTCGAGATACGGAAAAATTCATGCGCGCTGTAACCAACGAGAAAGTTGATAATACTAATCAATCTTTCATGTTTTAATTATTTAAATAGATAGGGGTTAAATTTGTAACGTCGTCCTTAATGAATGAACAACGACGGACAATATTTCTTGTCGTATCGAATATTACATACATCGAATCTTGCTCGTTCATCATCGATTAAACATCGTACATTAGTTAACATCGTTCTTCCAAGTACAACGATTATAGAGAGACAGAGAAATCCAGCCGAGAGACTCGATCATTTTCTTCCATTCGATCGACGTTGCTATCTAAAGATAGCAACGATTGTACCAGGCCAAATTATTCTAAAAAAAATATTTTACAAAAAAAGAAAAGCGAAGAAATCGCGAGAGAACAAAGAAGAGCGTGGATCAGAGCCAGAAATGGCTCGACGATCCAACGAGTCCTTTTGTAATAATTATTGCCGACAAATAATTACCGCGTTGCATGTACAGAGTAGCCGACCTCTCACCGCCAAAGTAACGAAGCAAAAAAAAAAAAAAAAATGAACTGCAAAAAAGAAAAAAAAATGAAAAAAAAATGAGAAAGAACCGAAGCACACGGAGAACAGAAAAACGAACACGATATTCTTTGTTGTTTTTCCCCTGGTTGCTTAGCCGGTTCGATGGCCCAGAATTCAGAAGAAAAATCTGGTCGATCGAATTTAAATTGATGAGAAAAAAAAGAAGCTTTTCTAGTTTTTTCCTTTAAAGGAAATTGATTTCGTGAGTTGTATGCCGTGCGTGCAATTGCGATCTCGCGTACGTAAATAACATACGAACGTAGAGCAATAAAGTCCTAAGCAATACTAATTAATTAATTAAAGAAGGAAAGCAATTAATATAAATTAGTAAGTCGATTCGAATAGGAAAAGAAGATGGCAAAAACGTTCAGGTGAACGCAAACGAAGCGCACTGTTTGACGCGTGGGGTTTTTTTTGTTTTTTAACTTAAGGCTCGACGTGGACGAGCGACTTTTGTCATTGAAATTTTGCAATAATATTTTCAAAATATTATTGAAATTTTAAATATTTGGTATCGAATTTAAATAAAAGGAATCAAGAAAATTGAAATGGACCTAGGTTGGTTTGGTAGAGTGGATGAAGCAAATACCATATCGAATACTTATTTAGTACCATTCAAAATTAATTAATTATCCATAACCATATTCGAAACCTACCAAAATTATTCTAACGAAATAGTCACTCGTTTGCTCGAGTTCTTTCGCTTCGTTTCCAATTGCAAACTCGAATTGCATTTATTCTGTCTCAGTTTCATTGTTCTTCATTACTTAATAATATATTTATTTCTTTTTTTCTTACTAATTGTTATCAGTATTATTATTATTATTAGCGTTTGCATCATCGTCGTAATTTATTATTGTCATCGGTATTTATTATATTTATTATTATTATTATTATTGTGTACTTTATTTATCCTTATATTAAATTCACCTTATTGCGTTGTTGTTAATTGTATTATAATCATCATTTTCTAATCATTTATCGTTTGTTATTATTGCGCCTGATACAACGATTTTTGTACAACGATCAGTGAAAGAAAATACGTGCAATCCCTGTCGTTTCGTATATTTTCCCGTGAAAAAAAAAAAAAAAAAAAAAAATAATAATAAGAAAGAAAATGGAACGATCGAGGCTAAAACAATTCGTTGAACCAGTCTCAAGCGTGTACAGTCGTTTTAATCGATAATATAATCGAACTTCCGGAACGTGGTAATGTACATTATGTACTTGTAGCGTAGAATGTACATTATACGCGTTCTTGTACGTGAAAAAAAAAAAGATACTCGTATAAGTACTTACACATAATTGTAGTATCTGGTAAACGCGTAGATCGTATCGTGAATTGGTGATTTGTCTGGAAAAAAAAATAATTTCATTTTTTGATGAATCTTAGAAATTCCAAGGAACGATTGGATCGTATTTTTCTATGATGTTAAATAAAATTAAAAAAAAATAAAATAAAATAAAAAGAAATTAATCGTGACTCGTCCTCTACGATTAGCTTGCTTCTATGATTATTAATATATTATGAAAGAAAAAGAGAGAAATTGGAAATTGTAAAGATTTGAAACGAAGATTTAGGGGTGTTTGTAATACGTAGGTGGTATTGGGAATTTGTGATTCGTCGGGAAACATCATTTTTCGATGATCTTTGAAATTGCAAGGAACGATTGAATCGTATTTTTGTATTCGGTTTATAACGTGAGATATAATGATTGAATCGTGACTCGTCCTCTGCATACTTGATTAGAATACGTTGAAAAAGGGAATGGAAACGAAAAAGAAAAAAAAAATTGATCGTGTTCCAAGTATTTTTTCAAGCGTGTCTCTGGCGAAATATCGAGAGACGTTGATCCTCGATTAAAAAAAGAAAGCCGAGGTTGAACGCAAATATTCGATGAGAAAGAAAGAGAGATAGAGGTAAACGTGGATCGAGTTCAGAGTTCGTTACTGGAAATTGCACCGGTTTGTTAGGGAAGTCTCATGGACAATTAAACTATTTTAATTGACCGGCCGGCGGCGAGGCCATTTCACGTTTGTCGTAACTTCGTGGCGTTATTAACGGCCGAAAGCGATTCTCAAACTAATTAACAGTTCTTTTCACCTGCATCCCTGGAAAATTCTCCATTTTCCACTGTTTCTTTTCTTCGTTATCGAGCAAATTAAAATCATTTAATTAACATTTCAACGAACGAGCTACCTTCTTACTATTCTTCGAATAAAAATTATTATTAAATCCACGATAATGTTAATGGTATTTTTATATTTCTTTTTTTCTTCCACTCAACACGGTTGGTAGGAACGGTTTACAGGTTTCGCAATTTCTGCTCAATCGGTTGGAACGACACGTCAACTATGTAGTCAGGATTGTTTTGATATCGATTACAGGAAACAGAATCAATTTGTAATACTGTATACATTTACCGAAGGCTACAGGTAAGCCAATTGTTCGCTGAGATACACGTGTCAGTTCGAAACCGTGTATAGTCACGTTAGATGTATAGTCTACCCGTATAATTCATGAATGAAACAGTCAACAATTACTTAACACACTCGGCGCATTGAATATGAATATACTGATCACGATAATTGCGGTCGTTACATTTGGTGTGACTATTTAATTAGTAGTAATTTGGAAAATACATAGCGAATCGACCAATTATCCTACAATTCAATTCGGTGCTTTGTCCAGTAATGATACGATAAAAAATTGACAACTGTCTGAAACGCTCAGCAGCTCAATCCTGTCAATCACGGATTCGTTGTTAATTAGAGATGCTCAAACATGTGTGTACAAAACGTAGATGAGACAGAATGAATACCGTGTATTTATCGATAACGAGTGACGAGGCACGGCAAGTAATTAGAGATAGAGATAATCAACGATAAGCGAAGCAATATTTTACGATTATTTCTGTAAATATATTTCGCAAATATTTAACGAAGCGTCGTTTCAAGCGCAACCATCAACAATTTGCATTCGATAAGAAATGATAAGAATAAAATTTAGTAATTATCGTTAACGAGTTCCAAGGAATCTCACGATCTACCGCGTGGATCGATTTTCAACTGAATTTTCACACCACGAAAACCGGAAGTAGCGACGGTAGAATCTAGCCCTAGTTTGCACAATCCAACAGAGAAGAACTTCATTATTTTCTAGAAAGTAATTAAAAAAAGGAAACACTTTTGTTTCGACAAAAGTACCAACTCTTTCCTCCACGGCCATTCCTTCTCGAGGACGAGTTCCAGTCTTGCCCAGTTGATAAAAAAAAATGGAAAAAAAATGTTAAAAACGCGCGTATCTCTTAAGCAATATATTCTGTATATACCTATCTATTCTAGATCTATATACACTTAAATATTATACATGTATATAATACGTACACGTATGAGAATTTCCTAAAGACACACTCGACAACACACTCTTACACCTACACGATTACACGATTAGATCTCTCTCGTGTAAACTCTCTGTAACTTGTGACTAGTCTAATCTTCCCCTAATCGAAGCGATCGTTCTTCGTGCTCGCTAATTCGATCACTATTTCTTGCTTGGAAACTGAGAAGTTGGGAAGCGGGAACAGCAATTTTGAGAAAATTTGCAATTATTCAAAAATAGAAAAATTAAAAATTTTGGAATTGGAAATTTTGAAAATTTACCATCTGCTTTTTAATTACGAATCCACTGTTGCTGTTCTCACCCTCCACCTCTACTTCTGCTGTTCCTTCTACCTTTACCTTAAAGAATTTCTACTCGCGACACGATATTCTTCGTCGCTGTCTGCTCAAATACTGAATTTGTCGAGCAAATCTTCGATCGTGTTCCTGAAACCTCTCGGTTCGATAGAATAATCGACAAGCTCGTCGTCTACCCCTAATCTCTACCCTTGTCGATATTATCCAAAAGTGATCGATCAATCCTGTACAATAGAATCTAAATTATGAAAAATCCAATAATTTTTTGAACTTCCTCGATTATCCTTTACGAATCGTCACGTTTCATCCTAAAAAAAGAAGACTATATTTCTCCCCAACCCAAAACTGTGGATGCAAGAAAAAGTATCTTCGACCAAAACTAAAGAAAACTTCTTTCTTCGAAATTTCAACGCTGAAACGCTTTCTTCTCGCTCGACAGAGCAATCTCGATCTTCGCTGCGAATCGACACCCTTTCGAAATCGATTCGAACAAGCGAGACAAGTTGTCTCGTCAGACTGACGCGAACAAACGCGACGGAAAATAAAAAAATAAATAAATAAAAAAGTGGGAACATTCGTTACTTTGTCGCTCGTTTTACTCGTTTAGGTTCTATGAATCGAAGCTTGAAAAGAAGAGAAGAGAGGACAGGAGATCGAGGCTCGTGATTGAAATGCCGGAAGCGAACGAGTAGATATACCGTCAACCCCCAGCTGCATTTTAACGACGAGACTCTCTTAGTTCCGATAGTATCGTTCGCTATATAGGGTGACGCGTTTGAACGATACGCTGAAATCTTCTCGTTTATCCAAAAAAAAAAAAAAAAAAGATGATATCGACCAACGAAGGAATTCGTCTCGAACGCGTCCCGTTTTGTAATCCTTCCAACGAGAGCCTTGACAGTTTTTTAACTATTCGTTAGTTATCTTAGCGTAAGAGATGAAAGAGGGAGGGGAGGAAATTAGAGAAGAGGTGGGAAGGAACGGTCCACTTTCGAACGACCCTTTGGCTACTTGTCATTATTTGATTTTCAAGTGGAATTCCACTGGATTTTAATTGCAAAATAAAATATTAATATTTGTCGATTTGCCAATTTAGAAAAAATTCAAATATCAATACTAATTGACACCAAGGGCTCAATCGAGGCCCAGCCAAAGGAGTTAAGTAACTAAAGGGTTAACGAACGTCGGTGTTTCTCACCAGACAACAAAATTCCTTTTCTGATCCTAATAATTTAAAGGACGAGAAACAGTGTTGCGAACGACCAGAACGATAGACTATCGTCTACTAAGGAACCGGACGTCCGTTGTACCCGCTGTGCAAACGAATCAAAGATTTGCCCGTTTATTCTTGAGAATCTTCGAATGAAAGAGGCGCCTAATATATATATATATATATATATACATCCACACACATGTAGAAATAGTATAGTTTCAGTATACACACACGAGTTATACATAATATATTTTATATAGTTGAAGGAAAAGAAATCTAGAAAGAATAAAGGAATCCGTGTAGCTTCGACTTCCGATAGCATGGAGAACAGTTAGCCACGTATATGAAATAATTATTAAATAAAAAATAAAGCCTCGCACGTTTTCGACAGATTCACAGGTCTCGTTTTTTGCGGCGGCTTCGATGTGGCTGAGATACCTTTAGACTCCGTCGATGATAATAAGATGCGCTTAAATAGCACCATGTCACTTTAGAGAACAATGTGTTCAGGATTCTAGTTCTAGCGTTAAGTACGTACACACTCTGAGGGCAACTTAGGCTTCCCTTTGTTGGGGAGAAATGGAGGGGAAAGAATTGTCATATTTACCTATAATGTTTATTTGCAAAGATGGAGGGTTCTGTGTTAGGCTGTCCTTACGTTCTTTTAACGCGTTCGCTGCTACCCAGAAAATTTTAGGGACATGATGTGTGCCACTATATCCTAATTCCTACGAGCAACGTCGAAGCACAATTGACGAGTGGCACACGGGTCATTACATTCTATGATGACAATGCTTCGACGGTGGCGGAGAACGTTTTGAGGTGCTCCTAGGGTTCCCTAGGATTCTCTTATGGTTATCCCTAGGTTTGCCCAAAATTTTCCTAAGGCCAAAAGCAAATGGTGAAAAGAGTTCTCTTTTCAAGAGGAAAAAGAGCTTTAAGCTTTTCCTGGATCCAAAACAAATATGAGGCTTCTCCCCCCGCCTTCCCCCTCAACCAAGAAAGGCCTACGTTGCAGCGGAGTGTACACACCAAAAGTAGCCACCGTAAGCGTGTTTTTCACGATCGATCCATCCCGCTCTCACCGGATTCTTACTTACTTTCGCCCGGTTCTCCTTCCAACGCTTGGATTTCGCCTTCCGCTTCCTTATACGCGATCGCGATGACCATCGAAAATGCACGTATCAGGAAATATCTATTGCGAAATTCTTCCGATCGTTCTTCATAAATGAATGAAAATCTTCTATTTACAAACTCACGATTACGAAATGAATTCTCGCTGACCCCCAAGCTCTTCGAACAAACACAGTATCGCAACGATTGTTAATCAATATACGTTTCGTAAAAGGAAGTTTGATTGATAAAATAACTACGATTGCTTCAGTTCCTCGCGCCATTTAGAGCAATATGCTTTCATTTCTCCTCCGACGAAAGCAGAGGAATCGCGATAGAAAATATTCTACGTCTATTTTGATCTACTTTAAAAGGATGCAACGAGGAACAAGTTCGTTCACACGCACACTATTGCATAAACAAGGATTAATAGTACATATATACACTTGTACATCCATAGTATATAAAAGTATATGCATAGAGAATTAAACGAAACTCGACTATTTATCGCCCATTACGGATTGAATATCACTACAATCATTTATAACGTTGTCTCTCTAAGTGATAATTAATTTTAAGCTTATTTTCTTGGAGAATCATAAATTTCTAAACATGGTAGAATTGAAGTTTTCAGGCCCAATAAAAATAATTATTAACAAGGATGGAAAAATTATCAATGGGCTGATAGGGATTCGGAGTCTAATTAATTAAAATCAGGGCTCCTCGTGTCACTTTAAGTCCCAATCTACCCCTGGATATGGAAACGTGACTCAAGGAGTTGATGGTGGTGTACAATAACCTTTGCATTTATTATTTATAAAAATAAGAATTTGATCACTTAGAGAAACAACGTTATTATCCGTGATCGCTCTGGATTCTTTCGGGTCGGCCGCATCCGTTTCCCTTTTGGTTCCCCTTTCTCCGCGTTCTAGTGTAAATAAAAGAACCGCGTAGGGACGATGTAACGATATAAAGAAGTTAGTAGGGTTTAACGATAATAGGGAAAAAAAGATATTAAAGGTGAAAACTTTAAAGCGTATAGTATGTAAGAGTCTCACGGGACGAGGTACACTCTGTAAAGTAAGTAATGTTATACTGGCGAGAACTGGGTTCCCAGTCGGGCCAATATTCGATAAATATCGGCGTGATGAACTATTTTCATTTCTCTCTATTTTCCTCGTTCTGTTCGTGATCGTGTAACGATCGTTGCTTATTCTCGGATGTTGCAAGTCTGTCTTGACGTGACATTGCCCGGATTCGTCGGTTTCAAAGAATCGAATTCTCATTCCCTTCGTTTCGTGCATAAAACCTTCACTATTTTTTGTTTTTTAAATTCCCAGTTTCTTCAAAATTTGAAGCGCGAAATGTCTAAAAATACATTTTTGAATCTCTCACTGGGAAAACTGGGGCAACGATGTACAAGCTTCGCGTACGATTAATCCATAAATGGTAATCGAATCCGGTGACCCGAATCTTAATGAATGAACCCGGAATTAATTGCACGAAAATGACACGGGACGAAGGTGACAAACAGGAAATTCTCGCAGCTTCGCGTGAATCTCATCAGTTATATGTTTCAGGGTTAAATGTGATTACAAGTCGATCGCTTTAACGGTTTCGCCGAGGATCGCGGATAATCGCCGATTCATCGTGAACATTTTATGGGTAGGGGGGAACGCTGGAAACTTTGTGTTTTCATTGAACTGTTTGACTGCCTGTTTCTTGTTTACAATTCAATCTGACTGGTAATTAAAATGAATAAAGGGGTAGAGAAAGAAAAAATGTTTTCCCCTGCAAAGGTAAAGTGAACTACGAAGTGGGCATCAGTTTCACCAGTCTTCAGATCGCGTGCAATTCCTTCCCACCCGTAGCAAAAAAATGCTCGCATGCCAACTCACCAGCACTACAGCTGAATCACGAGGTACCAAGTGGCTGTTCGTGTTAGACGCATATTTTGTGTAGCCAATGTTCGATGTTGAGAGAAAAAAGATCATACGAGATTACGTAATAAATGTTCAATTATACTTGATGTAATACTCAATAAGAGACTAAACAAAACGCATCGATAATATTAAACGTACGGAACGTTGATTTTTCTTTTTAATTGAAACGACTGGACCATTCGTACCATCGTCGAAACGACAAAGGTTTATCGCGAACTCAAACACGAATACGTTTCTCGCTCGTGTCTAATCGCATAGATGCTAGTCGTGTAAGGTGAAAAGCAATACTCGATCGGGGAATAATTTTCGTGCGTGTGATGTGTCATTCAGCATGTACAAATAAGCAATAACACATTACCCCTTGACAAAAACGAACTCCGGGTTCCCATGTCGGTGACACCCGACAGCATGGAACGGCCAACCGAAAACGCGCGTGCTCGATCGATCCAGGATTGCTCAACAACTAGAAAACGAGTCAATAACGAGTCAATAACTTCGTAAGAGTCTCGTTAGTTTAATTTACGATCGTAGTTAACCGTCTATAGCAGTGATATTAAGTACAAAGAGAGGAAGAACGAAAACGAGAAGGCGCGAAATTAGAAAAAATAAATAAATAATGTCAACTTTCTTCTTCACTTAACGGCGTTGATCGCGCGCATTTTCAGTCGGTATTGGAAATCGGATAAAAGTGATCGTCGATCGGTATTTGACACGTAGACTCGATACTCAAAGAAGCAATATTAGAAAAATGTTTGAAATTGAAATTAAAAATGATTGTATTTTGAATAATACGTCAACGTGTTAAAATATTGATAGAAAATATTTTGAAAATATTTTGAGCGATCACTTCATGAGACGATCACTTCTCTAGCATCTCATGTCACAAGAAATAATCTCTCTAACTGTTCGCTGTAAATTTTCCATTTAATCCGCGACCTATATGCGTACGACGAACACCAGTCGCCGAAAGCGTTCGCAATTAATAATTAAAATTACTAACAACGAACTGCACGCAGCAGTGCGTGACGATAAGTATATTTTCACGGACGTGGAGAAAAGATAAATCGAAACTGCGTCCTGGAATGTCCTCTCGCTCGAAATTTCTTCTATCTGTCGCTGTACCGTTTCCTCTTTCGATACTTATCTTCCGTTCCTACCAGATCCTTTATCAACTTCAACAACGAATAAGTTCTCCCTTAAACGACACCCGTAAAAATGGTGTTCTCCTATCCTCTGTCTCCTCCCATCTGTCTCCCTTCTATTTCAATGTCACTACGACCCTTCGTCTGTCAACGAAGAGCATTCGACGATTCTTCGTCTTCGGTGTGATAAACGCGAGTTCTGATTCGATTCCGTGGTGTTTCTAGCTTTAAAAAGTGACGGCTGTTTCGATAAAGAGACTGGTCAATTTTCTTTCTCTCCAAGACGTTTCTTTATCGATTACAAAGGGGGATGAAAATTTGTAGAGGAGTTTGTTGATTTTTTTTTCCGAAACGCGTGAGAGGGAGAAAGAGAAGGAGAACGAAGAAAAAGTGCCTATATACATCAGTAAAAAAAAAAAAAGAAAAAAAATTATTCGTTAGCGTGTACGATGCGTTCCAACGAGTACGGACAGTGTCAATTACAGGTTTAAAGAAAAAAAAAAAAAAAATGAGTGACATACGAATTGCATCGAGGAAATCGAAGAATAATATACAGATACGACGAAAGCAATATCGAGCGACGATCCGAGATTACAAAACGCTTGCGAGTACCAATTATTAACAACGACTATGATGACGACGATATAATGATTGCGAACTATGATTACTATTATTGTTATTATTGATTGCGAACCTAAATTAATGAGCTAATTGCCGTGGTACCGCGAGCGAGTCTCGTTTTTTGATAAAAGGGATAGCTGATGTAGGAACGTTGTAGGGTTTTAGTAGTATAGCCCAGACCTGTCTAACTGCTAGAAGTGAAATAGCCACTGCTCCCATTCTTACCGCTTCAGACTTCCCCCACCATCCAGTAGTGCCAGTAGTGGGGCAGCGGTTTCTCTCAGCATGACTAGGAATACCCGTCAAATATCGGAAGAGTGGGGAAACCAACTGGAAGAGTGGGGGGAGTCGAGCGCGAGCTCTGTGGTAGGGGAAAGAGCCACGAGTGGCCCGCGGGCCGCAGGTTAGACAAGTCTTATAGTCAATAAAAAATCAGACTGTACCATTAAAAAGGACCCGCATTCAAATCCCAGCAAAGTCCCATTTCTCGGAAATTCCTACATTAATGCAACAGTGACTTCTACGAAATTATAAATCCGATCGATTAAAAGAAAGAAAAATACAAATTCTTACGAACTCGTTTGTCGCGAACCACGGCGTGTTAGGGACGGATGTGATATAAGGTGAACCTTAACCTTACCTATAAACGCATATAGAATGTTGATATTGTATGCATTGTGATAGTACCCTCGAGGAAACAACAACAAACACACACCAATTAAAAAAAATAACATCAACAATAATGAACCGCCTAAAAAAAAAAAAAGAAAAATCCCTGCCTCCTCCAAAGTGCGACTGATATTTACAGGATATTGTTCCAATTGGATGCTCCCAAAGAAGCCGGGGTATTCAAAAGCAATAACTTCGTAGACGGTCGCGGATCCTCGAGCGAGGCACACACGCGACCGATATTAAATATATAAAAATAAGAATAACGGCGCAGAAAATAAGAAGAAAGGTAAAAAAAACGTTGAGAATAGGCCGAAATGAATTTTTAACCTTATAAATACATTAATTTAGCGGCGCAGCATCTCCACGAACACTTTCACACATACACACACATTCGCATGAACACGTAGCGTGAAACAAGCATACGGTAACGCGTCAGGATTTATTAAAAATAGAAAAGAAATATTAATTTAGCGAGAATGAGAGAACGAGTGACAGGGAACGGTACGAAAGGGAAATAGTAGAATAAAATATAAGCGAAGAATCATTTATATTACATTCGATTAATCGCTCACACATACACAGATACACCATACAATGAGCCTAATAAAAACCTAATGATTTAGTAAGAGTTATTATTATAAATAATACAGAGAAGAAGGGCGACGAGATTAGCGATGGCTTTTATAAGATGAAGTAATACGATGCAGCGCGCATGGAACGCGCACCACTGGTTACATTGATATACATAAATCTATTATAAATATATTATATATATACATAAAGAATATTATATATATTATAATATTCGAACTTTGGTTCGAAGAAAATAGCGACGAACGAATAGAAAGAGCGCAAAATAAAAAAAAAAAAAAGAAATACAGAGAGAGAGTAAAGAGAAAAGTGTGGAATAAAAGAGTGAGAGTGTGTGTATAAAAGAAAAAGGGAAAAATCACAGGAGAAAAGAAAAGAAAAGAATTTTTGCGCAAGTATCCATATTTTATAGCTTTTACTTAAGAAAAATTAAACCGTACACGCAGAACGCGAAGTTAACTATATATATTTATATAGATACGTTGACAACAAATTATATATTGAATCGTACTGGTAGGCCTGCTAAATTGTCACGATAATTTCAATTAATTAATCATCACGTTGACTTGGCCCTGATAAAGCCAAGGAAAAATTTGCAATAATACGAAAATCCATCATTGTTATTATTTATTATGATCAACATTGTCAACTATCTCTTGTATCATCGTTTCAATAATTCTCATTATTATCACACGATTTGTAACGACGCGAAGGTACCAGTTACATTCTATCTATTAAACGAAAAAAAATAAATAAATAAATAAATATACAATTATACCTTGCATGACTACGTAGGGCTATACTGCCGCCGAAGCAATACAAAGAGCAATATAGAGTTAAAAAGGTAATTAAACGAGATTAAAGGTACTAAAGATAAACGAATATTAATAACCGTGGAGATTAAAGAAATAAAAAGATGGTTGTAGCCATCGAAGCTACTTTGACACACTCTGTACACTGAATGGCAAAAGTGTTTGTATCCTCCCAATTAATAATAATATATTTATGTATTTCAATGTATATTATTCCAAATCAGAAATTTTTGATTTAAAATTTCTTTTCTTGCAATTTTATATTTCTTTAATACCCAATAAATTTTGATAAAACGAATACTTTTACCACTTATTGTACACTGAACACTTACACACAAGCTAACACAAATATAAAGAAACACACGACTGTAACCGTAACATGGACGCCCGTGATATTCGGGACACAGGACACGCCAGCAGGTGGACACTATGTATGGTCATTAATTTATTCTGACCGTAGTACTAATTGTACTTAGCATTTACGTAGATGACACTAATTGCCTAGGTTGACCGGATCGTCCAGAGTTCCGTGTCACCCTCCGCGTTACCCTGCCTCCCCCTTTACCACCCCACGAAATGACAAACCGCAATGATCGTCATCGATTTAATTTCCTAGGGTGTCGCGTATCGGTTACACTGGGAACTCTGGTCGACAGAAAATTCGCCTAATAAATTTAAAAGAAAAAAAAAGTGTAGTGATATATAGAGTTATCGTAGAGGAATAAAAAAAAAATATTAAAAGTAAAAACGCTAATGTATTTCACTCGGTGCCTGTGACAGCTAAGCTCGCTATATCCGTTCGAGAACGAAACGATTGACAATACATTGTTGAGTAGAGAACAACGTATTCAAACTTGTTCTGATCTTCCTTCGCGAGCATGGTCCCTCTTTCTACTTTCTTTCTGTCCAAGTGTTAATCGTCGCCATTTGTCGTTCCTTCCTATAATTTCTTTTTTTTTTTCACACCGATGTTAAGTAAGGCTAGGTAGAATTTGGATCAAGTTTGGGTTAGGTCTAAGTTAAATTGAATTTGGGTTAACGAATATCTGCTTCGAAATAAAAAATAAATGTAGGGTGAAAAATTGCTTTCGGTGGGAAGTTAATAATTTTTATAAAATAAAATAATTCATATTTCGATTTGTTCTTTAGAAAAAAAAAGGAACGACAATGACTTGGTATTTTCACCCATCTACTAACCCCAAAAGCCCTGTTTCTATTTCGTATTATTTGGTCGAGGAAAGAACGCTCGGCCACGTACGACACGGCTGTTCACGGGTACCACCTGGAACACGTAGTATTAGCATGGTGTGAAAACGATAGTGACGCTAGATGAATTAGCTTTAAGCTTCTTTCTCGCTAAGAGGGAACCTATTATTATAATAACGAATATTTACATACATTTGTATTATTTGTAAACTAGCGCTAATACAAAACTCCAATTGTGCATCGACACACGCGAAACAAAGAGGAAAAAAAAAAGAAAACGATGAAGAAAAGAAAAAAACCCCATCCTAATAAACCTTCTCCTGAACCGACGAGAAGCCAAGACGGATCGAGGTGAAATAAAACGCTCCCGCCCTGTTTTTCCTGAACAAAAAAAAAAAAAAACCAATTTTTCTTTTTTACGACAAAAGGAAAGAGAACTTTTCGTTTCCACGTTCAGATCTGTAACGTCTCGTCTAATGTATTCTCTCTAAATAAATATATATGTATATCGGGCCTTTCCTCCAAACGAAATGAAAAAAAAAGAATATATTAAAAAAAAAAAATGAAAACGAAGGGACAAAAAAAAAATAAAGACGACGAAGAAGAAGAACACGGAATAAGAGAACACGATTTTACCTGTCCTGACATGCTTCTCATAGTGTTGGATGGTAACGTTACAAGACAAAAGGGAATAAAACGTTAATTGAGCATTGTTATCTATGTAATACAACATAGGATGTTTTGTATTATATTTTCATAATAAATAGACACGTAGAAAAAAGACGTATTAACCATACCAGCGTTATTTTTCTTCTCTCCATCGATTCTATCACCTTCTCTTCCCGCAATCGTCCCTTAAATTTAAAGGTTTCTTTTATAGCCGTTTTGTTCCTAAATCGTTCGAATAATTCTCCCATTTGTAACAATTCGAACTCCCCGTACGTACGCCACCAAAGTTACTCTACCTCATCAAGAATGTACTTAGGAATTCTTGCAACCCAGAGTTGGACTGCCATGAAATATTCAACAGGAAGTTGGTGCCGGAATTCATTGCGTTCAAACGCTACTTTCTACAAATGTTACAGCGACAAGCAGATCATTTTCGAGTAATTAACTCTTGTTACTTTAACCTATCATTGGTTACTTAATTTGTATCATTTCTAGGAGAAAGGGTTAAAATTGGCTTTAAGAAAGAAGAGATCTGTACGAAAGTTTGCGAACGTTCCACATTCCCTGGCCATTCGATAGACGGCTGCTAGATCTTGCCGGCTTTAACTTAAATTTCCACCACCCTCTCGTCCCCTTCAAACCTAACAGCGGGCTTTCATTGTTACCTAGCGTGAAAGGGTATCGAGGTTGTTGCTTTAGAACGGAAGAGCCAATACGTGACCGGTTGTATAACTTTTCTTCGCGGCCCTCCTAACGAACTATTAGATAACGCGTGTTCGCAGAATTCATTTTCTACCTTCTGACGAAATTTACACCAGAAACCGCCCTTTTTATTATACAAAAAATAGCATTAAGAGAAGGTGAAAAATTTGTTGAATCTTTGTGCAAACTGAAATTTCTGCATACACATTGATCAGCACATAATTAAATCGCAATTATGGATTCGTTTAAAAACAACCTTTGTTATATAAATCATCTACGTCATATATTATCCAAACAGAAGAAGTCTCGATAAAACGATTACATAAAAAAGAAGAAGTTAAACAATCGTTTAACATATTTTTCCTGTACGCCAATGACGTTCATACGTGACCGATAAATTTTCCATGATCAGAATTTCTGTATCGAGTAGAAATACCACAACTTACAATTATCTGTGGACGGACATACTTGGAAACAGTTAAAAAGAACGGAATCAGCGTATTTTCGCTGCTCCATTGAGGAACCATGAGTGGCGCAACTTTGCTCGCACTCGTTTCCTTTTCGTTCTGCTTGCTCGCGAATTCTCGTCGAACATCCGTGGTAAATACGTCAATCGGGCCTGTACGGGGCTCGATACTGCAAACATATTGGAATAGAATCGAGTATTCGTCGTTCAGAGGAATCCCTTACGCGCAACCACCGGTTCGTCAGCTCAGATTCAAAGTAAAGTGAAATTTATTTTTCTATTTGCTACTAGAAAATCTAGCAGAAATTAATATCACCTAATAACCAGCCCCCAGTGCCCATTAAACCATGGAGGAAAGTGTTAAACGCTTACCAAGAGGGTAATGTGTGTCCACAGAAAGAAATTCAAACCGATCTTCTGATAGGGGATGAAAATTGTTTGTTCCTTAACGTTTTCACTCCTGAGGTAAATTTATACTTATATATACAATATTATAATTCTAACCAAAAAAATCAATGAAATAATCATTATCAGACGAGGTTCAACAGACGGTTGCATCTGAGACCAGTTATGGTGTGGATCCACGGAGGTGCCTATAGTTCAGGTTCTAGCAACACGTCTCTATATGGACCTGATTTCTTTTTAGAAGAGCACCTCGTTGTCGTCAGCTTCAATTATCGCCTTGGGCCTCTCGGTATTTTTAATATTTTTATTCATCAAATTTTGGACTCTAAAGCGATTTTTTCATTTATAGGATTTCTGACACTGAAACATCCGGATGCAACAGGAAACGCTGGTCTGAAGGATCAGAATCTAGTTTTGAAATGGGTGCAGACGAATATCGCGATGTTCGGGGGTGATCCGAAACAAGTGACAATTTTTGGAGAAAGTGCTGGTAGCACTGCTATTGGTTTCCACGTGTTGTCTGAACGATCAAGAGGTATACAAATAAGAATTTATTGTTACATCGTATTGTATAATTACTTTAATGACACGTTTCCTAATCAGGTCTGTTTCTACGATCGATTAGCATGAGCGGTTCACCCTTGTGCCCGTGGGCATACCACACCCCAGAGAATATCATTGCAAACGCTTATCATATTGCGGCATCCCTTAACTACGTGCCAAAGAGCAAGGACGATTTGCTGAATTTTCTTCAACGTGCTCCTGCAATGGATCTTGCACGTGTTGGGTCAACGATAGGATTGGTAATTACATAATCAAAGAGTTTTATTGAAACATTTAGCGTAGCACTTTATTAAAGCGTCATAGTCAAATTGTAGGAGGAAAAAAAGGCATTTCGTCTCGGGATCGTCTGCCAGACTGGTCAGTGGGGCTGACGACAGACGATCCCTGCCCCAGACGCCTATAATCGCATGCCGGGGGACCGCCAGCGAGAACAGATCCAATCCCACTGCCACCTGGCGGTCGCCGACCTGAACTAAGGGGCGTCTGGGAAGACTCACCGCCTTCCCCCTCCACTAAACGCCTACAAAATTAAGTTCGTCTCGAAGCATTATTAGCTCCGCAAATAACATCTCTGGAAATTATTTCTTTAATCATCTAGGATTTCCTGCCATTTCGACCGACGATAGAAGATCCCAGAATCGATCCCACTAATAGCTCATTTTTGACGGAGTGTCCTATAACTCGATATTCTAATGGAGATTTCTATCGACACACAATGATGATGGGCTATACTCGAGATGAAGTAATTCTATTCCTAGGCCGTGAGTATCATTCTATCAAAATGATAGAAAATCACAGATATATATAATATTATTACTGAATTTGTTCAGCACCGATCGGTATAGCGAACATAATCGATTGGGCTAAAAGGTACATAAATCAGATGACCGAACGTCGCGGACACATGAACGCTGAACCAATGGATGAAATAGCGTTACTCGTTCAAAGAACCTACAATGCTACCTATGAAGAAACTATGAAGGTAAATTTATCCTACTTTTTAATTAGAGAAACAGGTAAAATTCTATCATTTTCAGATTGCAACGGACGTTTTCTTCAGTGGTCCTATCGATCTAACTCAAAGGCTCTTGGCGAAACACAACGCCCAGTATCCTATCTATTACTACCGATTGTCATACGAAACGGAATATTCTATGCATAAATTGTATGAAAATCCTCTGAATGGTAAGCGGAGCAATGTTGTGACAAAGTGACTCTTCTAAATTGTTAATAATAGAATTATCGACATTTAATGCACACTTATTTCTCAGTTGAAAATAATATTGAAAAATAAATAAATAAAGGATGAAACATAATTTAATATATACATTCATACTTTATCTCAATAATAATAGCCAACATACGTTTTAACAAAAATAACTCAATAAGAAACTAAAAATCAATCATTTGGATTGGTTTGGTAATTCTAGTGTTAAATTGTTACGTGAATACGTTTCAGGAACTTCTCATTTTGATGATATCGGATACATATTTTACGTACATAATCTTAAAGCACCCAGTGATAGAAGGCACCCTTTAAATAGATTCAGGAAAAAGATGGTCAACATGTGGGCTAACTTTGCCAAATACGGGTACGAAAAATGAGAAATTATCAAGTCACCTTTGGGTACATCCACCCATGACAGGTTTCTTAAGTAATCAAATTCCCATCTTTCGTAGAGATCCAACACCGAAGCATTTAATGAATTCTAATTACAACGTGACTTGGAAAAGTTCTGGTCAGACTGGCATGCAGATAGAACTCAATGAAAATGAGGTGATGCATAATCGTACAGTAGACGATGGGACAGAAACATATATGAAAAGTTTGGACGCGGCGTTACCGGTGATTAGCTCCTGCGTGAAGATACCAACGATCCATACAGATATCTTTTGATATTTGTAATATAAGATTCTTGTTTGGAACGTCGTCTTTTGGCAAAAAACACTGTATAATACTGTATAAATCAAATATAATTTTTTTTTTTAACAATACAATTTGTTATTTTTAACACAATGAAATTTAAGATCCTCTGATCCCAAAGATTCTAAGATTTTCAGTTCGCACAGGAGTCGTCAACACCTTTTACGATTTCAAGTTCTGGGAATATTATCTCAATTGATAAATAAAAGCAAACAGAAGGGAAGTAAATATATGATACTAATTAAATAAATCCCGATCGTAAATATACCAGTAAACTTTTTATAACAAGCGCATATTTTAAATTTTTTAAAATCAAATTCAGATATTCCGCTGAAATAATTATGGCCATGTTTTTAGTCACTTTTCGATAGACTTCGGTTCGAATAGAAAGGCGACGATAATAGTGACGTCATCCTGTTATTTCCTCTCTGATAAATAAGATAACAGTAGCGACGTTCATAAATCGCGAGACGTCGCTGTTTTCACGAAATTCCACGTGTTTGGAAACAATTACGCTTTAAATTAGGTAATAACGACCGACATGTCAGCCAAAGATCAAACAGAAGAACTTCAGCAAAGTCAATAGAAACGAGTAGCGTTATTGAATCTTACTGATTCTCTATCAGTATCAGTGTTCCACTCGTGTTCATAATTTCACCTTAGCTCCGTTGCTTCATCAATTTTACAGGACAAATAATTACAGGTAAATGAAAGTTTTGGTTCCAAAAAAGTAAACAGAAACCTGGATTAAGTACGAAAACGAAACTGGTTAAATCGTTTATGAGCATTCCAGTATCGCGATAAGTGAATTCAAAGTTTCACTCTGTGTTTAGAAACTTTTTTTTGTCGTTCTTGCGGTTATCGGTTTCGACTCGCTATTCAAAGCTATCGACATCATATTTTTTCCTTCTTATCGTGTTCGCTACTTCAGTTCGTAACAATGAGAATCATGTGATTATGAGAAATATGATTTATCCGGAATGTTAAATTATTATAAAATTGTCGAACGATTAAATAACACTTTCCATTGTTCGCTTGTTCCTTGTACCCGATACATAACGCTTCACTTTTCAAATGTTAATTTATTCGGTGTCCACCGTATGCATCAAAATTAATGATAAGCAACGCGTAAACACATTTGTTTTGCAAAAGTAATCTGAATGTAGGTATTGAAAAATAGAAATAATACCTACTATAATTAGACAACAAACTAAATGGTCAGTATTTAAATCCATTTTCGGTCAGTATATAAATCAACTTTCGGTCAGTATTTTATTACCAAAATGGTCAATATAAAAATACTAAACGGTGAGTACATAAATATCGAATGGTCAATATAAATAAAAAACTATTACTGACCCTTCATATTTAAATACCGACAAAAAGGGATTAAAATATTGACCAGTAAAATACAAGCCCTATAATTAATTTTCGACAACAGAAGTGAACTCGATACCTTGAAATAATTTTTGGAAGGAAAATTAATTTTTACTGAAATAATGATCACTGATTCACAATATTCAATCTTATCGTGGGAGCAATATCATCCAAACAGGGTCGAACGGGTTAGGAAACACCCAAACACATTTTATCGTATTTTCCTTCTGTTCACCGATGAATCGAAGAAAACACAAGATTTTCAATTCGTTTGAAAACGTTCGACGACTATTTCCTGGGACAAACATCTCTTTCAATTAGAGCCTCGGCTCGGTCGACACTGTTACATCAGCTCAATTAATCGTCGGAAAGTATGTCTACATTGACGAGAGCGATCATCTCGAGAAACGCAAGACGTTTTATTCGGTGGTTCTCGCCGCGTCAACGGCACGTGACTGAACGTCGATGGAAAATACGAGCAAACAGTCGGACGAAGTTCGTTCTGTTCGCTTCGTCGATTCGTTAGTAACGCATAGACGGTGCAACTTATCGTTTCGCAACTTCGATCCTCTCTCGATCTTCTGCCTTTATCGTTAGAAGTGATCGGTACGCGCGTGCAAGTGGCTAGCGCCGAGCTAAATCGCCGTAACGCTTCGTCTTCGTTCCATCCGTTTGTTTCTCGTGCGAGTTAGATCGAAAGGAAGCAGATTCTATTCGCCGTGATGACAGGTTTTTACGAATTTTATTGAGATTCTAAGAAATCGGTGATACAAGATCCGAGGACGTAAGTTAACCGGTGACCCAGATGCCGATCAACGCGTTAAACGCCACGCTGAGAACGGAAAGTTTTATTTTCTAATCGAAACCCACAAAATTAATATATCGTAAGATTCTAAGACATCTCACTGCACGCGTCTATTTTCACGATGCCAACTCGCGTCGGTGATGTCGGGTTCTAACCCACGTCTCCTGAACGGTGCACCGAGTAAAATTAGACGCTGAAAATTCCGAAGACGTCTTCGCTTAAATAATACTTGCTCGGATGTGACGAAAGCAATGAAGGAGAAAGAAGTATTAAAATTAGTGGGATAAATATCATCGCCTGTGATTGACCGATCAATAATGCCGATTCGTGACAAGATTGGATAACTCTCGCGGTGTTACTAGGTGGAGGGAAGCGGTTCGTTGCGATTCGAAAGTAGAAAACGCGTTTTTCTCCTATAGGTCTTAACCACGTGCTCCGCTAGTAGTACAAGTTTACGCAATTCTATGTAATCGGCTTCCATCGACCGATAAATTTCATTTCCGAACTGGAGTTTCAGTGTTTTCTTTCCTCTCAACGATGCGTCTCGTTATCTTCTGCGTGCGATCTTTCTAACGGTACAAACGTTACATAATTTACCTTCGTAGACTACCTGAGCGACGAGATGTCGACGAACAACCCGGAGCTGATGGTCCGGCGACCGGTCTATCAACAGGACGAGATCAATCAGTTGTACAAATACGTAAAGCCGAATAAAACGGGTAAGCATTCCCCGCGAACACCGAATATTCGAAAGATTGCTTTAGGAAAAAATTTACAAACATTGGATACCGGTATTTGCTTTTCTTTATTAACCGATCGGTGAAAAAATTGAAATAAAAATTTTGTAAACAGCGCCATTTCATTCATTTCAGTCACAATTTTATTATCGTTGTAGTTTTTCAAAATCTATCATCGAGATGCCAAAAATTCAACTGTTTGAAGGCTGTCAAAGAATCGATACCTTTAATTGGTTGGTTATCGAAGTATAATTGGAAAGGCAACATCCTTGGAGACATAATCGCCGGGATTACAGTCGCGGTGATGCATATCCCTCAAGGTAAAAAGATTTAAATAAAATTATAGTAATTGGAATAATTAATTTAATTCTTATTCCAGGACTGGCGTACGCGATACTGGGCAACGTACCACCGATCGTCGGAATTTACATGGCATTCTTTCCCGTTTTAGTTTACCTGTTTCTCGGTACTTCGAGACACAATTCGATGGGTAAGTAATCAATCAAGGCACGATAAAACGTTACGTCAGCTTGTTGATCGATATTACGACGATCAATCATTAACGGGCTAATTTATGGTACCATTAGACGAGCTTCACTCCAACATTAACACTTTATCGAACAGAAGACTATTAACACCTTAAAGCGAACGGGGAGTGCATACATATATATATGTACGTATATTAACATGTAAAGTAATCTTGACCCGGTGATACAGATTTCACGTGCAAATACGAATAATGAAATTTCCAGTAAGATTCATTTCATTTGTACCACCAGTTCAAGAACACCCAGGATTAAAAATAAGAGGATATTTTAATTGCTACTTTTATTATGCGAAGGTACGTTCGCGTTGGTTTGCATGATGACTGGAAAAGTGGTAGCCACTTATAGCACCCCGGAGCAATTACAGACGAACAACAATGCTACGGATAATCACGAATTATCCAGGAATAATCAATATTCCCCCGTGGAAGTTGCTACCGCGGTCACGTTCACCGTAGCCATGATTCAGGTAATCGTCCTTCGATCTCGTCGCTTTTCTTTTTTTAATCTATGAAAATTCTAATTTCTATCTGTCCGTGAAGGAGAACTTCCCAAGCGTTTCGTTGATATTTCATTCTTTCGTTACGGTCCAATTAGAAAAACCTTCATCTTGTCGGGAGACAAGGTTCAAGTTTCATTAACTTATTATTAGGTGTACAAATTAATTCGATGCCTTTAGTATTACGCCTTCTTAATTAATATTTTTAATTTGAATATTTTCTCGCGGTTTTGAATGTTTGAAAAGTGACAAGACAATATAATAATAACGATTATTTCAATAATTGGAATTACTATGACTTTTTAAAAATAAATCTTTAATTAAAATAATAGAGAAGGCACCGAATTAATTTGTACACCTAATATTTCTTGCATATGTTTTCATTTTCTTTTTTTTTTCAAATTCAGCTACTGATGTATCTACTGCGATTGGGAGTGATCGCCTCTTTACTGGCGGACAGTCTGGTCAGTGGATTCACCACCTCGGCGGCGGTTCACGTGTTCACGTCGCAAGTAAAGGATTTGTTAGGACTTAAGAATCTACCTAATCGGAGAGGAGCCTTCAAGTTGATCTTCGTAAGTACGGAAGGTAGAATACTTCCCTGGGGACTGGGTTAACGCGTGGGTGATTGGTGAGTAACGAACCGTTGATTCACGACAAACTCTATTTTAATGACAATACAGCAGCGATGGCTATAATCGATCGTAACTGACAGAAAGAGCGATGGGTTCGAAAGGAAAGTTTCTACAGGATCAAATTGCAAGGAGACCGTTAGTTAATCGATTGAGATGTCCGGGTTATCGATAGGTACTTTCTCTCTATACGTAATTAACAGGAGATGAAATTGAAAGGGAAGATTGCTTAGTTACATCGTTGGAAAATTATTTTTCCAATCTAAAAATCTGAAGTTTCCTCGAATCAATATTTCTTAGATATTTCTTAGAAATTGTGCAATGTAAATTACTTCAACCATTTCATAATTTATCATTACGTTACATCGATCGGCTGACAACTTTCCGATTGCTTCGAACCACACGTATTTACCGAACGTATCTGTCCTGATCAATAAACGTGACTTCTTATCAGAATTTTATCAATAATGTCGTTGAAACGCCTTCATAATACGTGGTCGTTGATGTAAAATTCAGAATCTTTGTCTACCGACACGTCATTGAAAAAGGCAAAATTTTTCCATACGATAAGAACGTTTACTAGAGTAGTCAAATGACTTTTGTACGGAACATTGTTGAAACGATCCAATTCCAAGTGTACCGTGATTATTATCAGACATTTGTGTCAATATGAAGGTCGTGTTATCAGTTTTTCGGTTGAACCTTGAAACGGCTAAAAATAAAAACTTCGAAAGTCCAAACTACCGTAGTTTCGAATGTTTAACTTAAATTGTATAAATTAATTCGAATGATATTAATTTTGTATCCGAAGCGAAGCAAAATTATTACGAGTCAATAATTCAAATGAAGATCGACGAAATAAGAAACATGATCTCTAAAGGGTTGGTTAAGATGGTGAAAAGTAATGGGCAAAAATGTAAAACACAGGTTTTGGTCGATTTCTCCTTTTGCGGGTGAAAAATTCCGAAAAAAATCAGAAATATTTCTTTTTCACGAGGCACATATTATAGTAGCTTTGTAGATTTTTAGATTCAAAATCCGAGCTGTAAAAAATCAAAGACCCAAAAAATTTGGAGAAATTTGTAAGAGAAAGAATTATGCGAATCTTGGCAGCAATCCTTGAAATTCTATGTTTTTTTATAGATTAACGAGCCGTGTCGATAGACCTCGTTTCAAGCTGACCGTTCACGGCGTTCGAGAAAACGAACTCCAATGTCATTGCTGAAGAAAAATCAAATTGCACGGCTAATTTTCACGGAACTATCGTAAAAAGAAAAAAAAAGAAACTCGAATTGTTTTATCGCTACGAGAATCGATATTAGAATTTCTAACGCGCTTTGCCGTTCTTCCGGGTCTCGTAGGCGCGTTTCCGGTTCGCTCCTGAAGCGGATATCCGCTTTTTGATATCAAAACGTAAAAGTCGTACATGACCTCAAGGGCCATGATCGCCGACTGCCAAATAAAGCCGCGTTTTACAGCGCTTTATTATTCGCTTCTCTCGTTTCCGACATATAGAATACATCCGTTTCAGGAAACTCGGTTCCATACGGTATCCCGAGGTGAACGGAACGAAGATTGCGAAGAAACTAGTCGCAATGAAATGCCGGACGAAATTCCTCTTGCAACTTTCTATCGCCGATTACTCGGTCGAAGAAAGAGATTCCTTTTCATCTGCCGACGAGAAGTCCCACAGTTTTGTTCCGTGGAAACGGAAGATTTCTCGAATGACAATCGTCGAGATGTTGACGATTGTTATATAATTAAATTTCATTGTTTTCAGACTTACGTGGATTACTTCAGGAACATCGAAACCGTCAACTGGGTCGCGATCGTCCTTTCTACCGTTATCATTCTTATCCTCATCCTCAACAATTTTCTAAAGGTAGTTTTACAAAATTTCATTGTTCACGTAGATATTAACGCGTTGAATATTAATTATATTTTATTCGCAGAAGAGAATCGCGAGACTTAGTCCTCTACCGTTTCCCATAGAAATGCTGGCAGTTCTAATTGGAACTATTCTATCAATGTACTTGAATCTTGGAGAGACTTATGGACTCGCGACAGTCGGTCACATACCAGTCGGGTAATTAGAATATTTTTAAAAACGCAAGAGAGGTAGTTTTCATATATTTTTCTTTTCTAGATTACCAACTCCGTCTCTACCTCCGTTCTCGTTGATACCAAACATCCTTTTGGACAGTTTCGTAATCACCATGGTGTCCTACACCATAACCATGTCGATGGCGTTGATCTTCGCACAGAAATTGGGCTACGAGGTGGACTCGAACCAAGAACTAATGGCTCAGGTAACGTTAAACGAAATCCTTGAGTTAAAAAGTTGATCCCAGTTGATTCTCAACCTGCTTTTGATCTCAAGGCTCTTCTAAATTGATCATAAAGTGTTTTAACGATCCATATTGATAATAGTTGTCTCGTTAAAACTCAAGGCACAGAATAATTCCTTATTTATATTATTTTAGGGTGTAGGTAACCTTGTTGGATCCTTCTTCTCTTGCATGCCATTTACAGCTTCCTTGTCCAGGTCTTTGATCCAGCAGACTGTCGGAGGGCACACTCAGCTGGCTAGCCTGATATCCTGTGGCCTTCTGATCAGTGTCCTACTATGGATTGGTCCGTTCTTTGAGCCTCTACCACGGGTAATAATCACTTTCTTACAATCTCCAAAGTGTTTCGTATATTACTGTTATATTATATCATCAAAAAAATTCTTGCGCCATTGTGTTTAGTGGGTCAACATTTTTTTTCCCCACTTTTGCATTTTCGTAAATGGCCGAAAATGAGTTGGCTCTAAAGCGAATCTCGCTCAAGTTCACTTTATTTTTTGGAACAGTGTGTTCTAGCCAGCATCATCGTGGTAGCTCTGAATGGAATGCTGATGAAAGTGAAAGAGTTCAAGAAATTCTGGAACCTGGACAAGATGGACGGAATCATCTGGGCCGTGACGTTCATTACCGTCATTCTGTTGGACGTGGAGTATGGTCTGATGGCCGGGATATTCTTCTGCATAGGGAAACTGATCTTGTTCGCCGTTCGTCCGTACACCTGTTCGCTGGCCCAAGTGCCTGGTACCGAGATTTATCTGGATAGCAAGAGATATAAAGGCGTATGGAGTAATGACAGTCACTTTTCGTTCTTACTATCGTCTCTGCTGTAAAGTGGATTTCATTCGTGTAGTAAGCCACCGAATCCTATCCCAAACGACTGATCCGCACGGACATTGCGTTTCCAGACGGTCGAGCTACCGGGTATCAAGATATTTCATTACTCCGGCAGTTTAAACTTTGCCTGTCGTCAGCAGTTTCGTGAGAAGGTGTACAAAGTAGCCGGACGAAAGCCTCGGAAGAATACGAGGCACGAGGAGTTGACGGAAATTAAACAGGTGAGGATTAATCCTTTCTTCATGAAGGAATTAATCAATTTCCTTTTATTGTTACTTCGCAGCTGCGAACGTTGATACTGGACTTCAGCGCGTTAACTCGCATAGATCTGGCGGGTACAACGACCCTAGGAAACCTGATCAGCGAGTACTGCGACATCAATATCGCCGTGTACATAGTAGGCTGTTCCGGTGAGTAGAAACGACGAACGTTCCTCGAGGGCGATCGATCGGAAGCGGAAGCTTGGCCGATCGGTCCGTGCGATAAACGAACGGGATTCGATAGGATTTAACCGATTGTAGGACCCGTGTACGAGATGATGAGAAAGTGCAATCTAACGGAATTAGGAGGCGGTCTCTTCTCCATGTTCCCCACCGTGGCTGACGCGGTGCACTTTGCAAGATGCAACGAGTTGACGCACACACCGGCATGGTACTCCTCCATGTAGGAGGAGCTGAGAATACTAATCGTCGGTGACCAGTGTTCATTCATGTTTCACGAATAGTGGATACTCAATTAACGCAAGATCTGTTGCGATCTTTAAACTGCCTCTGTTCCTGCGTGATATATTTAAGCGATTCCTTGATGAATGAAGCCTCGTAAAAGAGGCAGTACGCTTGATTAAATGTGATACACGTATGTATGTGTGTATGTGATATTGTTCTGTGATTAATTGATTCCTAGCTCGAAAGAGTTTGAAAATTCACGAGGACCAAATGGAAGCAAGTTAGTCCGAATCGTAAAGGGTTAAGGATTCCTGAAAGTACTTTTGGTATCTGTGATCGGATATTGATCGATTATTACTTTGCTCAATTTCGATATTCCTGATTCATTATCGCTCTTGGCGAGACATCATCGCGATGTGATTTCGAATTCCGTGCATGCAGAAGCACGTGCCGATCGCACAATGTTAAACACGAATATATAACATAGTTGCATGCCGTTGCAACGTTAGAAAACGCGTTTTCTAAACTATGACGACACGAAGTCCTTACGGTGAATTAAAAAAGTCTACCGACTGTGATCGATGCGTTTTGTTTCACTGATCAAATTTCGTAACATCGATTTCTAAGAATTGTGGAAAAGAACAATATTATGTTAAATAAATTTATGTTGTAATATAGCACGTTTCAAGTTTATATTATTCCCTTCCTTATATTTAAAATGTATTTACTATATTCATTTTAATGAACATCAAATTTTTAATTCTAAATTCGCGCCACGGAGAAAGTTACACGCGACAGCAGTAAACGCCTGCGCATGCGCTAGCAACGTCAACATTTCATGTATGATTTGTGGCTGAATTAGAGTTTGTTTATTGTTAATTAACCGACAAGATAGTATTATTTATTCTACAATGAGTGCCTGGGTACAATATATCAAATCCATTCCAACGTATATGGTGAGTTTAAAGATTAATTTTAAGTTATATTCTTTTGGCTGTACGTGTACCTAACCATAGTTAGGTTATGTCTTACAATACAACAGGTGTTTCTATATAATTATATCTTTTGTTATTTAATATTTAAACAATAATATTATCACTTTCAGGACTATGATGGTCAAGCTAGAGCAGAGAGATTATCAAGAATCATCATAATATTATTTGGAGTAAGATAGTATATTTAAAATATTAATAATCTATGTAATTTCTTCAAATTCACCATAAACCTGATTTATATTTATAGGTTGTTGGATTAATATGGGGATATGTTATCCAACAATTTTCCCAAACAATTTACATACTTGGTGCTGGATTTGTACTGGCTGTTATAATTACAGTACCTCCATGGCCTATGTATCGCCGTAAACCTTTAGAATGGCAAAAGCCACAGTCTGAAGTTACAGTTAAACAGAAGAAAAAGAAATAGTTAGCTGCTGTTTGTGATTGTACTTCATAATATTTTGTAATAAAGATATGTGTAAAAGTTATATATTTATAATTGGTCTTAATGAATACAAGAACAGTAATTTAAAAAAAATACCATTGATAATGGTAAACATTGAAGACTTTCATTAAATGTATATGAATACACAAATAAACTAGTTAATTTTTCACTCTATCTGAACATTTACTATTTAGATAAAGGAATTGTAAGAAATAGCAAAGAGGAAGAATGAAACACGACTAACATTTCGTAATGTTTACCGGCTGATTTTCTTACTAGATTTCAATACTCTCGTAACACGTCGTTACCCTTGAGACATTTTACCTGAATCTTATTTTGAATTCCACGCGTGTTTTACGCGGGTAGACTAACATGCTACGCATGATGGTTTCTTTTCTAAAACTGTTACGAAGCATGAATGGACAAGCATTGCATGCCATTGAACAACTAGAAACGCGTTTTCTAACCGATGATGACACGTACAGCGTTGTCGACGCCTCAAAAAAGTTAACTGACTCTAATTAATAGTTTCTGTATAACCGATCAGTGACACGATCTCTGGCACGAACTATGATAATTTGGAATGCAATCCCCTCCGGAAAAATGGCGGAGGGAACAAGAAATAGCATAAGAATATTTTAAGGCGGGAAATTTTTTCGACTTAATTATTTTTCTTGCCAGATAGAAATTATAATATAAATTGAACTGTATAAATGTATGTACAAACTAATATATTAGTTTTTACATTTCTATCCGCTATATATGATGTCTGTCTTTACATGATAATCTCCTGAATTTTAATGGAGAAATTCGTATTCGAAAGCATTAGAAAGCACGATATACGTAACACACATTCAGTTTATATCCGTAAAATGATAAGTTAAGAAATTGCGTAAATGCTGTTCGGTTAAAAAACTAAATTCGAATCGAGTCACTGACCATGTTATTTAAACTACGGTCAGTTTATGCATTTGCGTATTTCATTTGAAATGCTATAATTAACACTTTATCCACAGATAGTTATTTATATGTCAGCAGGAAAATAGTTTTGAAACAAAAAAAATCGAATATATACAGTAAAAACAAAATAATACTCACAGGAAGAAGAAAGACGTCGAGAGATTCTCAAGTGAAATTGGCGGTAGGGTTCCAAAACACTATTTCACTAGTAATATACGTTGCCACCGTAAAAGTATAAGTTCAACATAATGAGGAAACGTTACTTTATCACTGTATCACTACTAAAATTATTAAAATTGTTAATACGAATAAAATTTACACGATTAGATTGCTAAATACGAACGTCCGCGCGTACGACGTTAACGCACCAACCGGAAGCGAGAACCGTACTGAAGTTCGTTCACATTAGTACGCAACCGGCGCGGCACCTCGATCTTGTTTGTTTACGATGAATCTGTTGATACAATATATCAAATCTATTCCGACGCATATGGTAGGTTTACAAAATGACCTATAACTAGCATTAAATGATTAATACATTGAACAACTTTCGAACAATATTTTATTTTATTTTAATTTTGTTAAGGTTATGTATGACCGTATGTTAACATTTTTAAAACACGATTTATATTTCTTAGGATTACGATGGCCAGGCTCGAGCAGAAAAATTCTCAAGGATTATTGTAACACTTTTTGGGGTAAAATATCGTATTTAAAATATTTATAGTTATAAATATTCTTTGAAAAATTAGAAATATTTGATCTCTATTTACAGATAGTTGGATTAATATGGGGATATATAATCCAGCAGTTTTCACAAACAATTTATATACTTGGAGCTGGATTGTTAATGTCAATCCTGATCACAGTACCAGCATGGCCCATGTATCGCCGTAAGCCTTTAGATTGGCAAAAGCCTCAACTTACAAATGCAGCTAAGTTAAAAAAAAAGAAGTAGTCAATTACTACTCATGATTATATTTAAGATATTTTGATTAATGCATTATATTGCATTATTATATAAGTCTTAAAGTAAGGTACTTATGATTGAGAGAAACAAGTGGGCATGATTGCAATAGAGTGAACTGATATTTTTTATTTAAATAATTAGTTTTAAATTAGATTGTATATTGTATTACTGGCAAGTAATACTCGTACCAATGGATTGCATTTACACACAATGCATTGATGTTTCAAAGACATCAATAAAATTATTCGAGTAACCATACTCTGCTTACATAAATTTCATTGTATCGTACCGTTAATGTTGTTTACCGTTGGAAAGTAAATCTTATTGCGAAACACCGCGTGTGTGGAGATCAATGTGGACGATCTCACCGGTACAAGCGTATAAAATATCGTACTCAGAATTTCCCTTCCGCTTCGGAACCACTGTTATATAATCGTACCGGTAACAGGAAGGAGTCTCGGTTACAAAGTTGATCCAACTCCTGTGCGTAGTTTTTTTTTCATAAGCAAGCCACTTCGATGTATTCCGGATTCTATAAATTGCCCGTTAGCAACGAACAATTAAACACCGGTTTATGATCGTGGCACATACCACGCACCACCCATTGGATCGGTTCCAACGTTTGACTTTCATCGGGCACGTTTCTCATTTTCTCCCATTGCACGGTAACCGAAGCATATTTCCCTCAAAATCGGCCTGCGGACGTGACTTTCACAGGACAGAAGAGGTAGAAGCCTTTTCGAACGGTGGGGCATCGCGATTGCAGCCGATCCTTACGTAAACGACAAACGATTATAAGTACAGTTGATGGAAGCGATGTAGGGTGGTCGCAAATTGGTCGAATTTGAATTAGAGCCTTGTTCAATTAGATGCAAATTCAAAAGGATCGATATCAACGTTAATAATATTAATCGCGATCGATGGGGTCTACGGCGTCCACAGCGAACGTGTTAATGCACGAGCACCGTACGTCTCTTCCTCCAACTGTACAAAATGTGCCGCAAAGCACGTCCGTTACCAATTTCTTCTCTTCGACAGTTTTTTCTCTTTTTCTCTTTTTTTTGCTCCCGTTCTCTAGCCTTGCCCCTTTCGTCATCGACTCTCGACACTTTGTTCTTCGTGTCTCGTGTCACGGATACGGAAAGGGAGGACGAGATTGCGCAACGAGGACGATTTCGTTTGCGGACTTGTTGCGAATCGACGTTCTTTTTGTCAACGCGTTCACCAGAGAAATCAATATTATTGGGCAATAATGTTTGAGAAATCCTTGTCATCGAGAACAATCGAACTACGAGGTGTCCGAACGATCAATTAGCGCACAGTACAGTAGTTGAATGAACCGCGATGTTTCATAGGAACAAAGAAAGAAAGCGAGACCGAAAGAATGGCTAATTTAACGCAATCACAATTTTCTATAATTTTCATTCATCAACGTTTCATGCGATCCTCTTCCTGATACCATCTCGCGTGTACGTTCTCTAAACAGTCATCTCTTCTGGGAAATACGGATCGCCTTGCTAAATTCCTGCTTTCGCGTTCCCCGCATGGGCGGTCCCTCCCAAAAATTGGACCTTAACCGAAAACTGTCGTGTTACGTAATCATAATGGTGTCTTTCTCACCTCGTCCGGTTACCTGGTGCAGCCAACTTGTAAGATACGCACAGTCGTACAGAAAAGGGTTACGAAACGCTTTCTCCCTGTATGATGGATATTTTAAGCATGCAGGCTGCACCACTTCCTGCAACACTGGCCGGGCCTACATGTGAAAAAACGAAAAATAAAAACAAAGAATGAACATTGGAACGGAGACACGGTCTCGTCCGTTACCTTGCTCTTAACACTGACTCCCCGAGATCATTTAGAAAGCAAGCAAACCGATTCGAAGTATTCGAACGGAAGTAACAAAGGAATCTGGACTTCAACGATTTATGCGTTTCTATATAATCGTTGTTTTTCCTGTCCTCGAGCATTAGATTTTCCAAGCGGTTAATCAAGTTAACATCGTTGATCGAAGGTCCCTAAGGAACAAAGTACACTTTCCGTGTTCTTGTTATTCCATACCAGTAATTAGTAATCAAGTACTTCACGATGCTAACAAAATTGCATACATACGATTTATATTCTAAAAATAATGACACGTTTGAGAATTAGAATTGAAAAATTGACGGATCTAGGGTTCCCTAGACTAACCGCGCACGAGCTAAAGTCACTAGACTTAGCACGTTGCGCACGGGAAGTAAGGATATTATTCGTTTAATTTCCATGTAAGTTTGTTGCGATTAATTAACGCGACAGGACAGACGGAAATTCACCACTTAAATTGTTTCGTGCTCGACGAGCTGCGAGAGTAAAAGTGTTTCGAGGAAAATGCATTTCAGACGCTTTTATACCGTGTCCAGAATATTATGTTTAGTCGAAAACGAGAAGATAATGACGATAGACGAAATCGTCGAGCGGAAGGAAGGAAAGTTTTTTAAATTCTACCGAGAAGCAGAACGAAACGAACCCCCTAATCTTTTCACGATTAAACGAATTGTTTGTCGATGGGAAGACATAATCTTGATACATAGTCTGTCATTAGATAATTCTATTTTCCTGTTCCACTTCCAAGTGGTTCTGGTTGACTGACGGTGAGCTAGATACAGCTTCGATGTAATTAACAGGTAATAAAGTGGTTTATTATGCGCGTGATGGTGTTTATTATTATATCATCTAGGTGGACAATATCAAACGAAACAGAAAAATTAGAGTTTTTATAATGTATTTCGAAATTGTACAAGCGACACGTAACAGAATTTCTCTTTTTCGCAAAGAATATGTTAATCGCGTTTGAAAATGTCACTGCTTGATGAACAGAATTCGGAATAACGAATTATTTATGATTTATCATTTATAATTACTCTTTCATTTAAATTCTGACAGTTTTAATTAGCGATGATGATATATAAGGTGTTGTATCTGAAGTAATGTCATTTAAATATCCTTTATTTATATATAAACAGGATAAATGGAATACATTATTTTACAAAAGATTTTTGGTGAAATCGATCACGTAATACAAAAATTCCACTAGCGTCGTCCTGTTACGTGACATCAAGATGGCATAAAGTATCGCTAAAAAATTTTCCATTACCAAATAAATGATATCAGTAAAGTTTATAGGCAATATTTATATAAGAAGCGTCATGGATCTTGGTAAAATTAAAAATTCAAAGCTACCGGTATAAAAGCACTAGAAAGAATATCCAGAGATATGAATTTTAAATCATTTGTATTTTTTACTATCGACTCTTATTTATGATCCTATGTGGTCCTATGACATTTTGTCAACCTTTTAAAATTCGCAAGGATTTCGAATTTTTTTAATAAACAAATTTTCTTGCAGACAAACACAGAGCCTTCGTATTCTCCGTCTAGAGATCACCCCTTAATGTCAATGAACCCCCTGATTCATAATTCAGAAAAATCAAGGAAACTCGTCGAACGTTATCGTTTTTCCATCTCATCCGCGTTACGATGAGTTACCTTCTCGAATAAAGAATAAAACAGATAATCCAGAAAAGTTGTACACATGCCCCCTGTACGCATCGTACGTTTTCTGTTACGCAGCTGGTGGAACGCGCGAAACGAACGTAACCAACGTTGCCCGCTTCCTAGCTTTTACGTAACCGTAAAGTCGAGCGACTTTACTCTCCCACCTCGTCGGCTTTTCACCGGGTGGTTTTGGCCACCTCGGTTCGTCCTTTATAAGCACACATCCCTGGCCGTTCAAAGCCAGAAACGTATCGACAACCGTGACACGGTGATCGTCTTGGGGATTAGTTTCTTTTTTTCCCTTTTTTTGTTTTTAATTAATCTCGTTATTTCCATCGCACCGCGAGCTCGTTCGAACGGACAAGTTTCGAAGGGTAGAAGCTTGAGAGTAAATCAGCCGACCAAGATGCGCTCCCAGACCATCGCTGTGAGTAGATCGTTCCTCATGGAGAATTTTATTTGTGAAACAATTGTGATCGGGAAGAAAGTATTACTCGTGAACAGCAGTGGTTGTTGATTTATTTTTGTGTCAATCTCGGTTTTAAATAAGAATCTTCGTGAATATTCGCGTGGTGATATTTTTGTGATACCAAAACGAGTTTTCATAAATTCATCTTTTTCGTTTTCTTTCTCTTTTTGATATTAGTATTTGTAAGAAATTTTGATACCGATCGATCGACTTGCTGAAAATTAGAACGAGACACTTTCACCCCGACACGCGACAGCCGCGGATCACGTAGGACCGGCAGTGAAACTTGAAAAAAAAAAAAGAAACGTCGTGCATATAAACGACGGTGCACTTTTCGCCTTACGAATCAGAAATTCACATTCGTGTTGCAGCTAATCGTGTTTGGAATATTGGCCGTGGCACTGTCTTCTCCGGTACCAGGCTACCATGGGTGAGTCTTATTTCAAGAAGCATTCATGTTTTCCAGCTGACACCGAAAATTCAGAATTCACCCTCCAGAATATCTTAAAAATAATTCCTACGATCGTAGGAACGATGGGGACGATTTAAAGGTAATCGATGGTTTAATTGCAGTTCGTACCACCACGTCAAGGTGCACGTGCCTTATCACGTGCACACGGTGCATCATCATCACGTGAAGAAGGTACCTGTACACGTGGTCGAAAAGGTGCCCGTTCCTGTTCCAATTCCCATCCATCACGTGAAGAAGGTGGCTGTCCCGGTACCGGTGCACCACGTTGAAAAAGTCCACGTACCTGTCCCGATCGTCGAAAAGGTCCATGTGCCTGTACCCGTTCACGAGGAAAAACAATGGTGGTGATGGGAACGCTTCGCCTTTCGGCTTGTTATTGCTTAGGTAATTATAAAAACAAGCTAAAGTGAACTAGAGCGAGATTCGCTCTAGAGTCAACCCTTTTTCGGCCATTTCCGGTCAGACCTGAAGTGGCAAAAAAAAAAATTTTTCGGCCATTCTTTGAGATTTTGACCCACTAAACACAATGACGCAAAAATTTCTTCGATAACTCTTACCGTTTGGCCTGTACAAAAGTGAAAAGTGATTTTCAATCTTAGAAACGGGTTGGCTAATAATGATAATTTTATAGAAAATTTAAAAGGATAAATTAATGTTTCTTTACTCTGTTTCAGGTTGTAAAATAAAGAGAGCATTCGAGTTAATATAGCGTTTCGTGAGGTTTCTTTTTGATCGTTTCCGGAAGTATGCACGCTAGAATTTAAATGATTCTAAAATAGTACAAAATAACTCGAATCGCTTGTTTTAGTCATTTAAGTATGTAATATAGGTTTATTGCCACTTGGTATGCACATGTGTGTACTTAGTTCAAAGATACTTGTACATACTGTATTATGTTACATTATTTTTTTTTATACAATACACGTGTTTAACAAATATCCCGTTGTTATTATCCTTCTTTTCTTATTCTTTCTAATAGCGAATATATAAGTGAAATGAGATATTGACTTATTTCCCGAGTGTTTAAATATCAGTGAATTAAAATCGAAGATGGCAAAGGGTGAAGAGAATAAGTTTTTAATATTATTTTATTTCACATAATATTTGGCAACAGTGATCAACAATTAAATACAACAATAACAAGAACAAAATTAACAATTAACAGTGTTTCACCATTCCTCTATGTGTTCATGTCCATCATCACCCTCTTCGTCGTGAGATTTTATGTGTATCTTCTTCACATGCGTGTGATGATGTTTGTGAATGAGTTCAGGTACGTGGATGACGAAGTGTGTGCTGAAAACAATATTTTTCTGTTAATAAATAAAAAATAATTGGTACGATCGAAATTGTATTGAATAATTACTGTTCGTGGTGGCCACCCCCAGGATAGGGCATCGAGTACACTAGGGCAAAGGATACCAGCAACACAAAGAGAACAATCTAAAGAAGAAAAATGTTATTTTGTAGATTATTTAAAATTTTCACATTCTTCAAACATCACACTATAATGATTAATATCACAAAATCTTGTTTTCAATATAAAAAGAGAAATTTCTTCACCAGAAATACATTTTCTAATTACTTAAAATTATTCCACTAATTTTGAATCTTTAAACTTCGAGCTTATATTTTTGAGAAATCACCAAACGAAGAAAACAAAGGAAATTGAAATGAACACCCACGTGTGCTCGTAGCTTCTCCATTTCTGCTTCGAGATTGTCTTCACTGAAGTCGGAGTGTTTCCCGAGGCCGCTGTTCTTGGGGAACTAAAATGTTGGATCTTGGCAAGCCTTATAAACGGAAACACAATCAGTGAATGGTACAGGAACGAAGCAAAATACATAGTTCCTGTGTGCACCCCACCCAACCCTGTTCACTCTCACCTGAGATCACCTGAAATTCCACGAGAACCTTCTATCATTGTCGTAGACATCATCGTATCTCTTCTGTGAAAGAAAAACATAAATAAAACATGTGGCTATTTATTGATTGCTCTCGTTTTACTATCCGTCACTTATTTAATTACCTCATTATTAAATATTGATGAAAATCAATATACCTGTTGAATGGAAAGTTGTAATTGATATTTATTCCAATATCTCGATTACAATTTTGATCAAAAAAAATTCAAGTGAAAACGACCCTTTCGAACCTTCTGGTACGTTTGCTCGCTTTCTCTGTCTACTGTTACTGTAATTATAGTAATAAGCCATTGTCGTAATCTATCATTTGCAGCCATAATCTGTTCGTCATAATTGTCGTGTTACGAGTCTATTGGTTACTTAAATAAAATGTCCCACGAAAGATGTTATCTCCTTGCGAAACGTATAATTTATTCTAATACGATGCTCGTCTTTTATAGATAGAAAGATAATATTAACAGTTGAGCACATTTCTTTTTACACTTTGTTTTATGTACAATTTATTAGAAATGTTAAAATTAGTAAAAAAGATAGAAAGTTGCTTAATTATGCGCTTTTTTTTTAAATACATGCGTTATTAATATGCATTTTGCGCTTAGTTTATTCTACGCCAATGTAATGAAGAAAGTAAACGGAGAATTGTTTTTTTTTTTTTTCGTTCCAATCGCAAGACACCTTCCTTGTTACTTAGTTTTAGTCCAATGTTTACTTTGTCAAATTAACAAATTTTCATCGCATTCACCGGTAATTGCTCCAAGAACCATCGCTCTTTTTTAAAATTTCCAGACGTAATTAATTATTCCAGTTGAAAGTAAAAAATATAGCAATTAGTAGAAAGTTTCATTTTCATTTCAAATCGATTCGATTCCCATTAAAGTAATCCGTGAATGTTAGAAGGTCCCGGAGAAAATTTGCTCGCAAAAGCGTTAACTTTAATAATAATCACAATTTGCTAATTACTAATCTTGCAATCTGAATAATTATACGAATCATTAAAAGGAGCATAAAATTACAAGAATCGTAGATTGATGAAATTTGAGGCTGTCAAAGTGTTAAAATGTGAAATGATTGATGCTTTATTATTCTTCAACACAATGAACAATTGAAAGATTCAGATCAATTAAATCGTGGGTACTTTTCCCTTGACATATTTATGAGACCATTGAACTAGAAGCTTGTTGGTGTCGTAGGAAAACAAGAGAACATCGACATTAGCTATCGTAGATCAAGGGCAACATCCGGCTATAAAATGTATACAAGCATACGAGTGAAATCGTCCTTCTCTGTGCTCCATAACATCTGCTCTCACTTTCCGCTTACTTTCCATTTCAAACTAATCTCGCCGCTCGGCAAACGATTATCGTTACAGAAAAATCATTCTGTTATGGGAAAACATGTTCACCGCGATTGGAACGAGTTAGGTGATCGAGTACCCATCGATCAATCAATTTCCCCAATTAACTGATCCTTACGATGACTAATCATCCTCTAACGAGAAAATGTTGTCTTATTTATGGTTCTAGTGTCGATGTTTTTCAATTTCCATTAATTACCGTCAATTAATTTTGATACTCCGATGGTAAAAAATTTTGTAGAATCTATGACTTGAAATTTTATATATCTTCTTTTCAAGTTGATTACATGATTTCTAGAGGGTATAAAAACGCCATGATTCTTAAAAAAACACGTACAAAACAGTTTATTAAGAGATAACACTAAGAGAAGAGTATTTACACAACATATAATATATACAAAACACAATAATTGCAACAAGTAAACAATCAGGTAGGTGAATCGCAATTGCGAAACGCACGCGAGTAGTCATTAATTAACTTAACGCGTCGCACGAGAACGTGCGACTACATATACTGATCAATTGATCCAGCTAGCTCGTGATTAGCTTGTCAACTTAATCGCTAAATTTAACTAAGAATATTCTTTCTTGTTTCTCCTACATAACAATCCTTAGTCATTATTTTATAATTGAACGCCTTTTCTTCATTTATCTATCGAATCATAGAGAATTGCAATTGCACGATCTTAAGACTTTTGAGCAATAGCGCGTATACTGTGAGTGTTGGTGACGGCGGACGGAAATCTCGTGACATTAACAATCGCGTGATTTGAACTTGACTGAAAGATCACTGGCCGATTCCATGTCGGAAAACGGTTAGACAAATCGGTCGGTCAAACCAATGATAAAACACGACATTGGTCTGTCGATCGTTTTTTACTTTTTCTTGTGGTATCCTGAGAAACCACCACCGTGACCGCCACCATGACCGCCGCCGAAACCGCCGCCTCCACTTGAATACGAGTCGTAGCCCCCGCCAGAACTGTATCCACCTCCTCCTCCTCCTCCATGGCCACTAAAATAAATAATTCGTTGTATTACCGATATTTCATTAATTAATACTGTAAATGATGTACTAACCTGCTACCAAAGCCAGAAGATATACTATTACTGATGGAATGGTGATCAAATCCACCGCCACCACCTCCGTATCCGCCTCCTCCTCCACCATGATGGTCACCAAAACCACCTCCTCCTCCTCCTCCTCCTCCATAACCTCCTCCACCGTGGTGATCACCGAAACCACCGCCTCCTCCTCCTCCACCAAAGCCTCCCCCGCCGTGATGGTCGTCGAAACCACCACCCCCGCCTCCTCCGAAGCCTCCACCACCGTGATGGTCGTCGAAACCACCACCACCGCCTCCTCCAATGCCTCCACCGCCGTGATGATCGCTAAAACCACCACCGCCGCCTCCTCCGAAACCTCCACCGCCGTGATGGTCGTCGAAACCACCACCGCCGCCTCCTCCGAAACCTCCACCGCCGTGATGATCGTCGAAACCACCGCCACCCCCATATCCACCACCTCCTCCTCCTCCGAAACCTCCACCACCATGATGGTCGTCGAAACCACCACCGCCTCCAAATCCGCCTCCACCGTGGTGGTCGTCGAAACCACCACCCCCTCCGTGTCCACCTCCAGGGCTGGATATTATCACATCTCCGTGTCCACCTGAAATATGATTTTTTTTATTTTCAGAATCACGAAATGAATTCGTTCGTCGCAGCGGAAGGGTTAAAGTGCATTTGTCAATGTCATCGATACGAAAGTCATCGCGTCGTCGACCTTGCTAAGCAGTTTGCGCATTTAGCGGTGAAGCGAGAAAAACAGAACGGATTAAGATGTGGCATCAGGTGAATAGATGGACGTGTGCGACACTGCAGAATATATATTCTCGCCTCCGAAACGAGCCGGAAGTGAAACGCCACGAAACGAGTTCTTCAGCCTGAACGGTGCCAAAGAGTACGCAGAGAAACAGTGAACGAAAGTATTCTCTGTAAATCAACGAGATATCATGATTGGCTTAAGGAGAACGTGAGAAGTGATTTTATCATTGGCTTCGGAACGAAATCGTGTAACGTAAGAAGCCTTTCTGATACTTGGAACGTTTTTAGAATAATTGTAATTTATAATCTATATTAAATTACCTCCGTATCCTCCACCACCTCCATGGCCACCACCCCCAAAACCTCCGCCGTGTCCGCCTCCAAAACCACCCCCGTGTCCGCCTCCAAAACCACCCCCGTGACCTCCTCCTCCTCCTCCTCCTCCAGGTGAAGTGATTATTATCGCGTGATCTCCACCACCTCCTCCGTGTCCGCCTCCGTGTCCACCAAAACCACCTCCAAATCCACCTCCTCCGTGTCCACCGAAACCACCGCCGAACCCACCTCCTCCCCCGTGTCCGCCTCCAAAACCACCCCCGTGACCTCCTCCTCCTCCTCCAGGTGAAGTAACTATTATCGTCTGATCTCCACCTCCTCCTCCATGTCCACCTCCACCTCCTCCGTGATCATGTCCCCCATGATCTTCGTATTTGATGATTTTCTTTTCTTCGTGCTGGACTATCTCGGGTACGTGAATCCTTATATGCACACTAGAAAGTTAATCGCTGAGTTAAGAGTCGAGATTATTACCGTTTTTACCGTAATGAGATTTTTTATGGTGACTTGATTTAATCGTTGGTTATACGATTAAGACAGGTACTCACTGTTCTTTTCCGAAAGTAGCCAACGTGGCGGTGAAGATTGTGGCGAAGATCAGGCACCTTACCTGTGAAGGAAAAATGTATTATTATTTCATAATCTTTGTATAACAAATACAACCCTCCCTTCTACCACCCTCCTACTATAATTACCCTTACTACTGCTTTGCAAATAATTCCCAAACTCTACTATTATCCTCCCACCTCTGCTTCTAAGCTCGCGAAACCTCAACACCCCCCATCCCTCTGTCACAAAATCGCGGTGTTCAGAACTTTTGGAACCTTAACACGAACAAAACTCGATCACAGACTTATCACCCTAACGAGCCCCCTGTCACTAAATCGATCCTCCTGCTTACAGCAATTTTCAGCTCCATGGTGTTTCCCTTCTTCCTGGATCTTCCTGATCAGCACGCCTCGATGGCTAGGGACACACTGTCATATATATCTGGCAACGAACCTGCCTATATATAGCGAGCCCGAAGGAAGTCCCGGAAGAGTTAACGATAGTGGGGAGACCGAAGATCGGTGCCCAACCAGAGAAGACTCGAATCGACGACGGTGGTCGTACTCGAGGTGCCTCGTATGCGAATGCACACGACAGACCAATGATCGTACGAGTTCCTGCAGGTAGGTGTGCACGTGTTGGTGAAGGAACGGCCGTGACCCAGAGCCGACCATCAGAGAAATTCACGCTTCGGGCGATTTTCGGCGTTATTGCCCTCTGGGGTACATCGTGGACATTGTATTATTTTCTTTTTTTTTTTTTTTTGGAACTTATAACGAAGGTGAATGTTTTGCAAGGGAAATTATCAAATGTTGAAGTGATTATTTTCTGTGTGGAGAGCGTTGGGTTCTTCCCTTCCGGTTCCATGTATGTACTTGTTTTGCACGGTTCATCGCGATGACCTTTCGACTGCAATTTCGGCCAATGTTGGTTCTCTAGTAGTGAAGGGTAAGAAAGGCGGAGGGAAAGTTGATTAATTAAAATTTTTGCCGAAATTTAGGCAATTTCGGTTGTGAAAGTGCGCCGAAGAGTTGGTAAAAGGAAGCAGATGTTTAAACGATTATTTTGCATATTTGGAAGAATTAAGAATGAATCCTATTATATTTAAATTCGAAGTTGATAAGCTTCGATTCGTTATATTGTATAACTATTTTAATTTGTTCTTCGTGACGTTGACCTAGTTTTTCGATCACAATGGGTGAAAGAACGTAAGAAAAAACGTACACGGAATAGAGTCGTATATTCTAATTAAAATGCAAGAAGGAATTTTAATTCTCAATTGATTCACATGAGTCAGAATGGAGGTAATAAATTTCTTCGTTCGCTCGTCTCATTGTCCTTTCGTTTTCTAACGATGTTCGACATACCATCGTTAGAAATCGCTTCTATGCTTTTCCTACGTGTCCACACAATTACCTAGGCATACCAACTCGTGAGGAACCAAAATTGACATCGTCACAATTTTGTGAAATTATTATCTGTTTATAATTTTCTAAATGGAAAGATAAATAGCTGGAAACTTTTAGTCGAAATCAGTGGCATCTAGGATACTTGCTGTGTAATATTGAAATACATTACTAAAAGTGTATCCATTTCCTTTTCTATTCACTGCATAGAAACGTCATCGCGAAGATAGCCTGGATACATCATCGATTTACTTTCCTCGAAGGTCGTTGGATAAATTTTTGCGACTCCAGCTACGACTTTCCCTGATTTCCAGAATAAAATGAAACGGAGAGATCTATGCGCAAGTCATCGCGATCCATACGAAGTATTTGTTCAGTGAATAAAAAAAAAAGAGTCTCGTTGGTATTTATAAAAGGAACGTTTCTCTCTTGATCGGCAATAAAACCCAATTCCATCGGGAAAATTCATTCTCCCGATACTTTCCTCTACCAAGAAAATTCTAAACGATTCGTACAAATACAAGGATCGACGATTGAAACTAATATTGCATAACGAAAGGTAATAGCACGATTAGTCGCAAGTAATCGCCCCATCGGAAGCTCGCAAAATGCTCTAGAAACCAGTTTGCTTTCGTTAAAAATCGCACCATCACTTTCCTCGGTTTCTATTCGTAAGAATATTTTTCATATTTAACGCGTTGGGTGTCGCACGATGTTTCATGGCATAATCGCGATTCTCTGTAATTAAACGTCACAAAAATAATTAAGCAAGAAGAAAAGTGAATGGTCAGTGAAACCGAGCGTGAATCTCTCGCCATTGACATTTCTTCGGAGGTTAATCGTTCTGGGAAGTTAGACATTGTAAACACGCGATGGTAGAAGAACTCCTCGTGGGAAAGAAAGCGATTCGATTGATCTTTTATCGAAACTGCACCCCTCTGCTGTTAGAATCTCCTGGAGATTAAATCTCACCGATACCTCTACAACTGCCGTTTCATCCTGGTAGATTGATCCTGTTCAGTCTGTAAACAATGAAGGATGATCGTTTAGTGGATTGAATAGTCAGGTTGTTGCCAGGGAACGAAATAGAAAGTGGCGATACGAAAGAAAAGGGAACACAGGGAGCGATGATCTTCGAGAAGGTGAAGAGAGATCGAATATTCTTCAGGTGATTGTATCGTGCCCTTTCACTTCTTCCATTTTCGTGTTCCGGTCACCAGTGAGATTATCTTCAACGATGCTACCCCGTGCGTGTACCTTTGCCTTCCGTCGCTTTCCAGGTGATCTTGATAAACCTATGCCAGGGGTGGGCAAATAGCGACCTATTAAGGGTCTTTTATGGCCCGCCAAGATAGTTAGAAAAATCCACCTTGAATCGAGATTTCCAATAAAACTGCCACTATTTTGTTTAATTTATATTTATTGATTTTTATAGTACAGTTTATATCTTTCTGAAATGCAAAGTTAACTAATGAATGCAATCATTTTAAAAGGTGTGGCCCCCGAGCCAAAACAATTGCCCACCCTTGACCTACGCCATTGAGACTAACGGTTAGTGAAAAATATAATTGCAAATAATTAACGCAAATGGGTTGGGATGTTTCTTCGAATGGAATTTATTTTAGCGAAAAAATATTATTGGAAACTTTGCATGCTCGAGAGCTGCGACAACTTTCGACGCATCGTCTGGGTCTTCCTGACCTTTTCGACTCACGAGAAACCTCGATGTATTCCAAGAAGTACCGAGATAAAGTACTTTCTCGCGAAGAGCAAACCGTAACGACGACGCCCAAAGTGGACAATAAACGCTGTTTACCATATTGCCTTTCAGGAAATTGTAGCTGTCCGTGCAATTAGCTGTTCGCTAATCTTCACTTCCGCTTTTCCAATCCCTCTGGCAACTTCATTCTCAATGACTACCTTTCTTCTTTCCTTCCTTTTTAAACAACCAGTCATTTGTTGCTGTCATTTATATATATTTTTCTGGAAATTTACTACGGTGTTTAATTAATTCAGTCTCAATTATCCTTTCTGCTTTTAATAAAGCGATCCCTCACTGGTTGGAAGTCATCCTCTTTCGCGAGAAATGCAGGTCGACCTATTTCCACCAGGGTTTTTCTCCGTCTTCCTTTTCCTTTCACTCGGGTCCTTACAAAGTAGGAAAAGCAACGATCTTTCGCACTGTTCTGTCAAGATACGAGTTTACTACCTTGTGTACCCTTTTCAAGAGTCGACTGCAGTTTTTCATTGGATTCAAAAGAGCAACAATGTAAATGGCATTGAGTTTAAAACTCCTTTCGCTTTGCATTCCTTCTCTCCCTTTTCCTTTTCGAGAATTCTTTGTTGAACTTTCGCAAATTCAATAAAAAAACGTTTTGCCAAATTGCATAGGTGGAATAAAAATAATGAAAACGCCGAAGGAAGGTGTTGATTAAATAGCTTCCATATTTGAACAATTAATAAAATCATCCTCGCAGAGGATGGAGCAGAGGAAGCGGGGGCGAGCTGAAAGAATCGAGAGGATCGCGCGTCTCTTCGCGCGATAGAGCTACTTTCTCGACTTTCGAACGTTTCAGCCGGTCATCGGACTTCGAGTGAAAGTAAACGGGGAAGATGTGATCTTCACGACCGTGGCATTCAATCGTTATCTCTTTTTTTGTTTTTTATTCGTTTATTCGAGCAGCTGGACGTTTGATGGACAACCGCGCAGTCCAATTAACACATTCAATATTGTTCAATATTATAAATTCGATATAATTAAATAACTGAGAGAAAACTTTGAATAATAATTACGTATTAACATAGTGAAAATAGAGGTTCGTAATGTAACACGTTTGAAAAATTAATATTTGAAAATTTGTCTGCAGAAGCCTGCTAATTAAACCGAAGTTACGGTGAAACGAAGGCGAACTTGATTTACGCTCCTTTGTAATGGTAATGACCGAGTTTGTGAAGTGTAACGATGACTTAATTAGACGACCAAATAGTAACGTATATTTTATGTATTTTCACCTGATTAGAGTGTTGACTGTTTAACGATTGCTCTTCGTAGAAAAATATACAATTACTGAATAATTGTAATTAAATCAAATAATTGCCATTTTTAACTCTACAAGTAATCTTCGGTATGTACAATTTAATTGGTTACATTAGTTTAGGGGGAATCTTAAAATAATTGCACATGGATTATAATTGCTCCATGCATGTCATTGTGCCCTGAGGACCTAATCTAAAAAAAAAAACAAATTAACCCTGAACCATTTGCACCACAGAATGCTGAGCCACGTTCACGGGAATGGAATAAGTCTGATAAGGAGTCGTTTGAATAGGGGCGGTACGAAAATCATGGGGTGGTTCCATGGTGTCCTCCTTCACGTCGTAGCCTTTTGGTTGAGCAAAGTTCAAGGACCAACCGTTGAAGGGCGTGGAAGAAGCAGCTATGGTATAACTCGCTGTCACTGGTTGATTATGAAAATTACTATTGAACGTTGCAGCAGCGTTGGATAAAAATTGGGGCCAAGATTTCGTCATCTCTTGCAACTTCTGCTGATACTCGTCCATTGACACTGTGTCTCTAAGGACGATGCCTTCTTTGCTACCACCGATGGTTGCCGATGGCACTCCGGTTGGTAGTACAACGCCACCTTCTGGTTGTGGACTGATGTCGTTGAACAAGTCTGCAGATTTCTGTTGCAGAAGAAGAAGTTGGTCCTTGTTCGCAGCGCCATTGAAATCGATGCCACTGTTCGCTGTTAGCTCTTTCTCGATGGATCTGGAGGTGTAGAATTTCTTCTCGTCGTTTCTTCTTTCGTTGTAACTTACGTCACTGTCCGGGTTCGAGAAGTAGGCATCCGAATGATGGGCCTCGTATAATTGTCCTGATGGGGGGTAATCTCCGCTTGAAGAGTAGGAGGTGGACTCGTAGTCCGGCTCTGAATGCTTGTACCCCTGCGATCCTGAGTGTCTGTAATGACTTAAGGAAAAATTACTGGAATTAATATTAGAACTGGAATTGAATATTAGAATTAGTCTAGAATTGCTAGAATTAATTTGTCAATTTGAGAAGTTGTAAAAACTAAAATTTCACCCTTACCTTTCGGGACCATAGGAGATGGCGTTCTTCACTTTATCGTAAGGAATATACCCCTTGCCATAAGAAATGGCATGACTGATGCCTTTTCCATAAGGTAGATGCACGTGGTTCACTTGCTCGTGACCTTGATCGAAATCATCCCCTCCGTGAGGAAGCGGCACACTGCCGTGCACAGGTCTCTTGTGATAATGAAAGGGAGGACTATAGTACTTGTGATAGTGGGACTCGGTATCGTGAGATGATTTTCTGTAACGCGGCGGAGCAGACCGCCATGATGGTCCAAGGCTTCGCCTGGTTTGCTGAGGGATCACCAGCAGCACCTTTTCCCTGAGGAATAAAATAAAATACAATGAAGAACGCATCGATATACGGAAGATTCGTGATCGTGGGAATTTGAATTTCATATCTATTGATACTTACGTGAGAACAAGTAGAGGTTCGCCGATTGTCAGGAGCAGAATACAGAAACCCTGGAAAAATTAATTAGAAACACTTATACAGTGGCAGCAAATTAAATTAAATTTTCTAAAATTTAATTCAAACTCTATGGAATTGAAAAAAATACACCCGGAACCCAAAGATATCTTACAAATCACCCCATTAGAAGTCCCATCACCAAAAATTAAACTCTGCTTACCAAAAATCGCATGGCGTCGATTAATCAACGCAAACTTCTCGAAAAATGTCCTTTCAAACGGTCGACGATCCTCGGGTTAAGGGATGCGGCGCACAATGGGTGCCCCTGTGATCCAAACGTTCTCCGCACCCTGAGCTCACTATGTTCCGTGTACTTCGAGCGATGCAGACAAATTGCGGGAGGCTCGTCGAGATCTGTTCTCTTTTATACAAGATAAAAAGAGCATAATCGCTGGACGAAGGAACGACCTCCCACCGGATGGCCAGAGCCCTGGAAAGAGATGCCGTCGCAAGGATAGAAAAGGATTGGACGCGGGAAAATGGCGTGCCGATACGAAACGGACAGCCGAGCACCACCGTTTGCTGGACATTTTTGTTTCGGGGGGAAACTTTCTTCTGTTACCATTCACCATTACCAAGGCTTAGGATAACGCTTAAACGCAAGCATGAGAGGTCGACCGCGCCCCGATGTGCTTTCCAAAACGCGACCAACAAGAACGGAACAAGCGTTCCACATTTCTTTGGAACTGTACACGGACGCTCGACACGGTAGCTCTTGGACGAGTGAATGGATGAGATTTTAGATGGGTGGTTAAGGGTTGGAAAATTGACTCCATCCCTTATTAATTAGAGTTGTAACATCTCCTCTCAAAGGAGGAGAATTGGTATTCACAGAATATCAACTCGAAGAATTTCCATAAAAATGATTCACCTACTTTCGCCATTGATATGATATTTCAGACATTGCCAATAATCCATCCGCAGCAAGTTTGAAAAAAGAAACTTAGAAGGGTGCAAGGGCATCCAGTGCTGAAATATCATCGGATCGTATCTTCTTCCCGTCTCGATTAGAAACGTACGTTTCACTGAATTAATATAATTTTTTTTCTTCTCTCACGTTCACGGCGTTACGGTCCACATATACGAAATCCACGCGCGGGTAGGTGTGTCGTTAAAGTAAAAAGCGCAGGCGGCCGCTTCAATTAACTCATTCACGCGATGGACTTTCTTGCCGGAGCGGCGGTCGTTACTCTTTCTCAGATGGAAAACGCCTATGAAAGTCATCGGATGCTGATGTATTCGATTTTCAAAAGCGTACTTCGATCGAAAAACATCCAGAGTAGCCACTGGGTGAAAGTGATCGCTTCGAAAGTAATGATTAGGCTCGTGAATTATTTGCATAAACATTAATGGAAAATCGCACGAACTTGAGATTTTATTAGGTTCCAGTGAAAGAATCGGCAATTCTTTTGATACAGAGTCAACTAAACTTTCTTTTCAGCGATAGAATATTATTTTGAAGTATGTGGTCGCTTATCAGAAGTACGATAGTGTGATACCAGTGAAACTTGGCGGATAAATAAAGTCAACTTACGATTTGTAACGTTATAAATGCTCGCTTTCTAACCCTACCACGGGAACCTTGCTCCTTCTTTTCGTATCACGAGCTTGGGTCTCGAGAGGTGTTTATCGAACGCATAACCGTAGACCTACCGGGTTCAATGCACACTTATCTTGCCGATAGACGTATCTAAATGTCAGAATTGTTCGAATTGATCCCGACACTTTCTATCGCCCTGGTAAATAACAAAGTGTCAAGAATCGCTGGAAACGCAATAAGAATAGAGAACAAGCTTAAAGCATCCGCTCCGAGGTACTTCCTTCCGGATTTCACGACGCGGCAGTGACCGCAATTGGGTTAATTGCGGCTTGTTATACGAAGAAAAACGGAAGAGTATAAATGAAAGTTGAGAGAGAAAAAAAGGTGTTCATAAATTTTGGAATTTCATACAATTTTGAAGAAAAAAGAAATTCTAAATACCATTAATATTATATTAATTTTCTAAGGTACTAAATGAGAAGATTACATTATAAAATGAAACGATGATAATTTATTTATACTTCGACGTTTAAGCGTTAATTACGCTAATTAAGATTTAATGATATAATTTGCATTCTAATGTTTTCAAATTTTCCGATCACTGAATTCTCATTTTAGACGAACACGCGATAGCAATCTTCCCACGAACGCGATCAAGTTCACTCTTCCGCTGTTGAACGACTAAAAGGAACGGATTGATGAGGAATCGAATTCAGCGAGCCAAGTTCGAATGGAATTCTTCTCGTAGAGAGAGTTCACTGTCACGGTCCCGTGATCCGCTAGGAAAAGGATAACGAGTTGTTCGTTTTTGTTTTCGCTTCGCCTCCCATTGGAATGCTATCGTACAATTTTGTACGTTTTACAAGGCTAGGTGATCGGTTTCCCTTTCTCCTATCGTCTGGCACGAGCACCGACGATCGTCTTACAGATTTCTAGGGATCCTCCGCGGGATCCTCCTCCGGGGAGGAATCGAGTGCTTCGGTTTCGTGAAAGGAAATATTACAAATCGATCGGTGAAACGGTACTGAAGAAACTAGGAAGAGTTCTTTTTTATCTGACAAACACTGTTACACTTCGAAGCTTATTTTATTTAAAATCCAGTCGATCCTTGACGATTGAAAAATGCAAGTTTATTTGTTATCCTCTCACGATCTTGATCTTGCACTTGATCTCTTTCACTTACGCTCAAGTTCAAGATCAAGTTCGCAATAACTGGTACAATATTTCTATCGATCCTGACTATAGGATGCAAGAATGTTTCAGGATATCAAGCCGGGACCGGAAGCGAGCGAAGTCACTTTCATTAGCATTTGTCCAGTCGCGTGGGCGTGGAAACGGGTGGAGAACTTTCTTAATGTGTTCTTCTTGTTTCGGAATGTTTATAAAAACGTCCGTTTCTACGTCGTAGATTAAACGATCGAACAAAATTCTCGTATGCAAATGTCGCGAAAGCGTCTTCGAAAGAAATTAAACGAATCGAAAATGAAAGATGCAACTTTCCAGATAAAAATCCTTGAAAGGATCTCGTGATGCGATTGTCTGAAGTTACTGCGAACTTTAAATTACGATGTTAGACAATTCATCGACACACGATTCGCGATCAAGGATTATCGATACAAAGTCGAAAGAAATCGCTACGATTTCTCTACGAACCCTGAAGATCTCAATAGAAACTCTTCTTACCCAATGAACGAATCGTCTGCAGAATCCATAGAAAACGAGAGTGACTCGAATAAAATACAAAGCCCAAAGAAATCTCTACGATTCCTCTTCGAGTACCAAATACAATAATCCCTGAAATCTCAGTAGAAACTTTTCTTACCCAACGAACGAATCTATGGAAAACGAGAGTGACGCGAAAGAAACATAGAAAAACGAATGAAAAACTGTCGTTGTAACTTGGAAGAAGCTCCATTTTATCAAGAAAAATGTTTACACGATTTGTCCTGTCCCTGGCATCGATCTCGTTGCTCCCAGAGCCAGGAGACGAGTGAAACGAATCGAAGGAGCACCCACCTCGTATTACGAAGCTGATCTTGATCTTGGCCGTTCACCCAGCTTTCATTAAAACGACCACGATCACGGGCAGGGAATTACGGCGTGGCGGTTTGCAGAAAAAGAGGAAACGAAGAAAACGATAGACGGTGGTGAAGGGTAAGACGGGCCTGCGATGGAGGGGGTTGCTTGGTCCTCCGCTTTTTGCCACGTCTTCTCTATTAACGATACCGTGGCTCCTTTCACGTGCAACGGCAACGGGTGCAAAGGATTCCCTTTCATTCTTATCCAACTCCAATCACGTACGTGTATAAAAGCGGCAAGCGTGTACACCACCGACAGCAGATCAAAACCGTGGCTTAAACCGCCAACTAGATCGCGATAGAGGAACGCGGTAGTTGCTCCTCCCGTCTACCATCGTCTGTCAGATACTCTGTTCCAGCCCGAACACCATAGACGAGAGTCCCGAGGGAGCAGCACGATGACCAAGCTCGCGGTAAGTTCGTGATGGATTCTTCCCGAGGGAGATATTCTTTTTAAACAACAGGATAGAAAATTGCTGAAGTTCGATGAAGTTCCTGAGACTTCAATCAGATTTTTTTTTTCTTTCATTTTTTGGGAATAAGAGAAAATACCTTTTCTGTTAATGGTGTTTGCAATTTTGGGGAAAAGTTTAAATTTTTCAAGATTTTTGGTAAATTAAGAAAGGATTTTCTTTCAGGCTATCCTGGTGGTCGCCACGTTGCTCGAGTTGGCATCGGCAGGAGGACACCATGGCGGACAGTAAGTTTCCTCTCCAGCTATAAAATGATAGTATCGACGCGGAAGAAATGTTCTAAAAATCGACAGAATGCGCTCGACGAGCCGTATCGCGGCCCACTTATTTCCTGTAACTTTCTCCTAGACGGCAATAATTTTCTTCAAGAATCCTCGAGATTGATGATAAAACGATCTCGTAAACGTTTCCTCCTTCGACGACTTAGGAACAGTGACATTTCGAAGTCGATGAAAGAAACCGGTAGCGATTGAAACGTATTTTACTTCTCGTGTTTCAGCGACCATGTGGTCATCCACGTACCCTACAAGATCAAGACCATCCACCATACGCATACCATAACGAAGCACATCCACCATGGCGGCGGAGGTGGGGACAAATACGAGGTCCTTGGATATACCGTGGGACACCCGATCGATTTAGGTCACGGCGGAGGATTCGGAGGTGGTCACGATCTAGGAGGCGGTGGTGGCCATGACTTCGGAGGCGGTGGCGACTTTGGCGGCGGTCACATCGAGTACGGCGGTGGTGGCGGAGGTGGTGGAGGCGGCGGCCATATCGAATACAGCGGCGGCGGTGGCGGAGGCGGCGGCCACATCGAATACAGCGGCGGCGGTGACATAGGTGGAGGCGGTTTCGGTGGCGGCGGATACGGAGGCGGTGGCCACGAAGACTGGGGTGGCCATTAATCGAATCTCCGTTCCCTGAAGAAACCTGGTAGTTTCTTCTGAAATAATGCTTCCTCGAAACGTCTGCCATTTATTTGATCAAAACTGATACTTCCAACCAAAGACATACGGAAATATTGAAAATTAGAGATATCTACAAAGTTAATTGCAACGAATACGTGGAAGAGCCTAAAATCGAATCGGTCACGTTTCGATGAAGCAACCAGCACCCCCCAATCGCACGACACTTTCACCCTTCACCGAGGGAGATCGTTTTAGAGAGATTAGATATTTCTTCACTTTGACTGGTGTTTCCCGGGGGGTTGTTGATCATCACCCTGCCTTTTACCTCTCGTCCTAGTCTCTCATCCATCCGTTGTTAATCATCGCTCGTATCGTTAATATGTAAATATTGTTACCAGTTTACTATTGTTTTTAACTATTTACTTTGTATCGTTGTCTAACCGCGGTTCGTGTATATTAAGTCACGAGAAAGTTCAATAAATTGCGTGTGTACCTGAACACTGACCCCCTTGCGATTCCGTTTCTTTACATCGTTTACATTTATTTCATTCTATCTACAGAAATATGTACACCGAAAGAACCACCATGGAACCTAAATTTTAATGATCCTTCGAAAACGACCAACTCTACCGTCGCGTTTGTCCCTGGTATTTTCGTATTCGACATCATCCACGAAATATCGACCAGCGTCGGTTTTTCCTTCATATTCATCCCTGGACCCCTCGTTCTCGCTATCGTCCTGCTCTTCCTGGTGGTCCTCGTGAAATTTGCTCATCTGGTCCGCACGAATATGCCCAGCCTCCTCTTGCAACCCCTTTCTGTATCCCTCCTCGTAATTATAAGCGAAACTTTCAGTGTTTGGAGGAATATCATTCACCTCTTCGTGTACCGCGTAAGAGGGTCCTTTGCCACGTTGACGACCCTTTTCTTCGAGATCATTGTCCTCCATGTAAGACTGTGGGAAATAGGAATCTTTATGATATCCATAAACTGGAAGATACTTTTGTCTATCTTTCTGATCCTTAGGCTTCTTCGTGACAACTTCGTGTTTCGGTTCCTCCAGCTCTTCAGGGAACTCCTGATGGTCCTTAAAGGTGTGATCGTTCCCATAGCTCTTCCAGGAACTCCAATTCGCGTGGTACTCGTGCTTCTTATGGTGTTTCGGCTTCTTCGGGGCTGGCTTGTGAACGTGCAACAGAACCGTCTTCGTGTGGATGTGATGGTTCACCACGTCCGGCACGTAGATCTTCAGGTGCACTCTGCAACCAGGCGAAAGTTAGCGCGAAAACGAGAGTGATGCTCGTTGATCGACGCTCGTTTTCGTTGGTGAAAGCGTGTGATATCGGTGAGACGCTTTAGATTCGAACTGATGTGTGTGATAAATGTTCATTGTACACTTACGCTTCGTTAACGACGATCTTGTTTAACACGAGAAGGAACAGGTACTTGAAGAGCCACTGAAGAGATAAATATACGTAGATTATTGTATTTGATGATATTGGAAAATTATTGATTTGCTAAAATGATTGATTTTTAGATTGCAATTGGTGTAAAAATATGATTAACACCGAAATTATTGATTACCATGATTTCAACGAGAGATAAGGGTGAACGTCAGCAACAGTGGTTCAATGTCGTTTGACATCGTCGAGGATGCTCCTGCTTTATATCAACGAGTCCGTTATTAGGGGAAACACCATGGAACCGCGGAACTATAATCGAATCCAGCGAAATTTTACGGCTGATTAAACACTTTCGCCATTTCGAAGAGATATGCTCCATCTGACAATCCTCATCCGACATGCTCGGCAAAAACGAGTGAACATGACCGTCAAAGTTCATTGCCGCATGCTAATCGAAGCGTTTCGTGTTAAATATAATGTAGTTAAGTATAATAACCATTTTTTATAATTTTGCGATTATCTAAAGATTGAATAATAATTATAGCTGTTGCAAATTCAATTACTAATATATTTTATACTTATCAATTATTATAATACAGTTAAGTATAATAACCATTTTCTATAATTTTGCAATTATCTAAAGATTAAATGATAATTATAGCTGTTGCAAATTCAATTATTAAAAATTTCTCCATTTATTGTAATAGTAGTAGGATTGAAAGATAAACAATAGACAATATATTAGTCTTTAATTTATTTATTGAAACTTTCAAATATTACAACTAATATCTTTCAAAATTAATAGACTTTGCAATACTTTATTAAGTTCATTCTTGAAAATACATACAATTATTCCTTAAATAAACTAATACTGTTTGAACATCTATTCTTTCAGCTTATATTTACATTTCTACTATACATTATACTAATCAGGCACAATATTATTATTAATCTTCTAATTTTTCATCTTCTTTAGAGTCCTCCTCCTTCTCATCATAGTGTGGTATAACTACATATATGGTGTGGGTGTGTTTCAAATTCTTCACTCGGTAAGGTACATGAACGATCACCTTCTTTCTGTAATAAAATATATATTAAATGTACAACCTGTATCCATATTTATTTAAAAAAACAATATCAATACTCACGATTCTGTAGGCTGTTGTAGGAGTAATAAAAATGCCAACAAAGCAGCAGCATACTGAAAAGAAAAAAGAAAATGCAAATTTTATAAATGTATAGAGATTGGTGATTTTCATTAATGAAGATTGAAATTATTTTTACCAAAAATTTTCTATTCATTTTGGAGAAAGACCAATGGACAGTATCGTTGCTGGAGCAAAGACGTTCACCTTTGAAATGTACTCGAGAGACGGATACTTTCTGCAGGCACCAGATCAAATCTTAGATTTATATAGAGGTGAAATTAGCGAGGCGAATCGTTTCCATAGATAATTCCAAGAAACTCCGCCCAGCGTGCAAGGAGTCAATCTTCACCTGTATATTTTCACTTTTCTGCAACTGGATTGCATTTAGAGTCATGCGATGCTGCAATTTTCAAATGCATCCTATCCTGACTAATTCTTTATTTAATTATTCTTAATGCATGCGCATACTCACCGAGTTGCTGTCAAGTGAATGAAAAATGTGAAATTTATACAGAGTTCGATAACATCTACAATTTAATTGTTGATAATTATTAAAAATTAAAAAGTTCGTTGGGTGATCCAGCAACCACTAATCATTTCTTCGTAGAATTCTATAAATATTATTCTTGCAAAAACACAGAATACTTGCAAAGAGATCGTTCAATTCGATTTGACAATGGCAAAAACGTTCGCCAGAGAGACGGAGAGTTTCTAACCACTCAGGAGTAGTCGAAGAACTGACTGCATCCAGGAAACTGTTCTATTAAATGCAGTTGCACTTCTCCGAGCGTAAAATGTAACCAAGCATGGATCGCTATTTCATCCCGAGCGCGTCACGTCTAATTAACTAATTAAAGTTTTCGTGACTAATTAAAGATACAGTTAGAGATACTTTCAATTTTTATTCAAACAAATTTCTATCATAATTACTATAATTTAAACGGTACAATAATTATAGAAATATATAAATCAGAGTTCAAACAACTCCTTCGTCAATAAAAAAAAATACAATAAAATAATTATTGTATTCATTTATATTCCTCTAGATTCGGTAGAATTTTTAATCGATTCTGATTTCGTGGTGTTTACAGAAGTTGAGTTATTTTTATACCGCTGGCCAAAATTTCCATCTTCTTTCAACCCTGTCACAGTATTATTTCTAAGCTTATTCATAGAATAATTCGATCTATCATCATCCGATTTCCTGTCTACTTCCGGAAACGCTTCAGTGCTGTTTCTTTCTTGCACCCCTTTTTCGCTGTTCGACGACGTCTTTATTTCCTTTCTCCTTACACGCATTCTTCTGACCAATCCCCATTCGCGATCAACCTTCGAGAAAATTGGACTATTTTCAACCGATTTCAAACTTCCATCGTTCTTTTCTTCAGAGGAGTCGACACTTCCGTCCAGGTTCAAATACCTCATCTTCTTGCTCACAAAATCGAGGCTGTATTTAGGAGAAACTTCAGCATTCTTAAATTCATTATTCAAAGCATAATCCCTGACAGGAATAAACGAATTAACCGAAGGTTGATAGTCCGTAACGTTCAATGGATCATGGAAGTCCTCGATACTGAACTTCAACACTTCAGGCTCTTTATTCGACTCGTACACCTGGTTGAAAGAATCCTGATAACTGCTCTCATTGCTCGGATCTATAAATTTCCAATCGTCTCGACTGATTTCGGGTGACCATAGAGGTTGAGGATTCGTCGAATTCCTATGATCATTCTTAGTATAAGTCTCAGATATGTGCACCCTATTGTTCCAACTATTTCCAAGCATCTTTTCATCCAATTTCTTTGCAGTTTTAGATGTCTGCACCGCGTGGTTGCTGGAGGACAACAAACTGTCCGATGCAGCTAAACTGTGTTTGCTGAAAGAATCGATCAACTCATTGGGAGCCACAACGAAGGACTCGTGGCTGATCGATGGGATCTGAGAAAGTTTTGGTATATGAATAGGCGGAGAGATATGTTTCTCCATAGCAGCCTCGATCTCCGTGGCTGGCAAATGGGACACCAAACGGATCACCAGGTGGTTAGGGAGCACTGGTTCCAAGAGTCTCACGTAAACCTTGTCACCCACCCCGGGGAAGTGGAAAGGACCCACTAGAGGACCCAAAGGTTTCTTCGATCCAATCAATCGTCGTATCAAATCAATGATCGAGTCGAAGATGTTTTTGTTCTTGATTACGCGATAGATGGGTTCGAGGTGGATCTCATCGGGTGGACCATGCACTAGCTCTAGCTTCTTGGAGTTGGTCACGTCGAAAGATCTTCCCAGACGACTCTTTTTCCCGCGTCGATGAAGCTGTCTCCGATGACGATTATTCCTGGATCTAATAGAGGCAAACCGAGTGGTACGAATCCTTGGTGCCCTTCTCCTAAAACCAACCGGGTAGACACTGGGGTCGATTTGCGAGCCGAAGGGCCTTATGTCCGGCCGAAGGGTGGTGAATGTTACCGGTGTTGTGCTGATATTTTCTATCCTCGGTTGAGGCAACTGGCTTTTCGGCTGTGCTCGTCTGAATCCACATTTGCAAAAATCTAATTTATTTTTTTTAAGTGAAAAGGGAAATTTGTAATGAAAATTTCGGGGAACTTACCTCTTGGAACGTTCAGTTTCCGCGCCGAGCGAGGTTGATATCAACGCAGCACAAACCTGCAATCATGAAAATAATTTTAAATTTGCAGTCCTAAACTCCACTGGTTACACTTCGTTGCATATTTCACGTAAGGTGTACTTCACAAAATATTTTCCAATAAATTTCAACTACCTTGTCACCATTCCACTCACCGTGACCACACGCGCGATCTTCATGTCGCTGATCGCGTCTGGTCCCACTAGATCACTTCGCCGATCCTACTATGGGGATGGCTGTTCATCGACAACCTCTTTTAAAGCTTCCTCGGAGCCGCTACCACGAACGCAGCTAAACTGGACCCGACAACATTGTTTTGCGAGCACACGTGCCAGCAGGACGCCGTTACTTTTCTCTGGCAGGAAAAAGAAAATGATGTTACCTATTCCGAACGAGTCGCGAGCAATTGAGCCGCGCTACACTGCCACCTTCTTTGATCTACCTATGTGACTGAAATACACGATCAATGATCTTTACAAGAAGAACAAAAAAAGAGTGTAAGAATAGATGTTACGTTTGATACCACGCACGGTGTTGTTCAGGACACTTTTGTGTCATGAAATTTGAATAGAAATCCGGATTGATATTTTTTTTCAGGAACAGTCTTGTATTGCGATACTTTTTTTAATTTCTATATTCGCAATATGAAACTTAACTCGCTCGTGGAAGAGAATGATAATAAAAGACTAGTCAGGAATTAACTGACATCTGAATTATATTTCTTTTCCATTTATACCCGGAGCGCATTCGTGATTGCTAAATATACCGCGCGTGTTTATCACGAGCAGCGAGAGAGACGCGATCTCGATGAAAGTGAATTTTCCGGCGTGGAATTGCTTTAATTGGCGGAATCAGTATTCAGGCGCATGCGCAAACATCAACGTTGCTGTTTAAGCGACCGATGTATCGTTAAACTTTATCCACCGGCAACGAAAGTAAACGATCAAAATTTCTTGTTGCGAGCAGCTGTGCGGCACGCGTCCCATCAGACCTGTTCATAAATCAACTAATTGACGTGAAACGAAAGCGGCGGCGAACTCGTCTTGTCCATCCAAGAGGATGGTTTTGTGTAGCCATAATTGGGATCGAATAGACAGGCGGCTATTAAAAGGTTCATTAAATACATGTTATGTAGGTCACAATTAGTACGGTTTTTAAAAAAATATTTAATAAGAACCAGGAGTACAATTTATAAAAATGTTGTTTCGAAAGCTATGCATACGCAGGGTTCTTATTTTATTGCTGGAGACTTATTTTTCTATATCTTTTGAATTTATATTTATGCGCGTTTTTAAATTTGTACCACCCGCGCCACCTGATGATGATCTAGGGAACTAATCGAACAGAAAAATACGTTTTTTGGTTTAATTTAGCAAATTTTGTGCATTTTGGCATATGTAAAGTATTCTAGGATCATAATTACATTCAAATAATGTCATCATAGGTCATTGAAGTCGTTGAAATTTATAATTATAAAAGTTGCTGATTATAGGCGCTGAAACACTATAACCACCTAGGGGCAGATGGCTGGTACTAAATTTCGCTTACTTTCGCGGGGACTTTCCCGCCTCTTGTCCTTTCCCACAAACAGATCCTGTCCTAAATATGGCATACCATGAAAAACGAGGGATAAAATAGAATCTATCTTTCCTTATATTTCAATACTGAACCCAGAATTCCCATTGATAGGAGGACAAGAGACAAAATCAAGATTACTTTGAATAGGTTTCAAATAAAACACCGAAATAAATGCATTTTTTTTTTAAATTCAAATTTTTTTAAATTTCTATCTTTATTCCAGAGTAAAACTAAAGGGAGAGTCAATTAAAGAACACAAATACTTTAAAGTGTTTTATCTCCCCGTTGAACTACTTAACAAACAGCACCTAGATGCATACATACATATATAGAATACATAGCACTTGTTAGAAATTTCTAAATCTATAACAGGAGACATTGAAAATGGATTTCAAAGAATCCATTACAATTTAATTGTAATTGAAACGACGCTTTCCATCGAAACGGAAACCGTATGCAGCACTGTTGGGTGCTCCAACGAGAGCAGGATTCTTGTACTGGTGAAACGATCCATGAAGATGCGCCGGTCTGACCGCGTTTTGTTCCTCATCCTGTGTTCCTTTCAGATAAAACGCTTCGAACTGTCCCTCCGGAAGTAGAATATCCTTCAACGATTTGTCATTCGGATCGTAGGCCAACGTATTCGCGGCGAAAGAAATTAAAACCAACAAGTTCTATAATCATAAATATCGAATAAAATTACAACACTCTTCTAACAAAATAAAATAACAAACACATAGAACATACCATAAGCAAAGTAAAAACATTCAAAGCCATACTGCTGATTTTGTGTTTTCTCTTGCAATGCTGAAATAATTAAACATGCAATAGAACAAATAATTAAAAGAAATCCGCCACGTTTGAAAGGCTTTCAAATATATATTATAGAAGCCATCGTAAATCAATGTTTAAATATGCAATTAAAAAATAAATTTTGCCTAATGAATAAAGAAGAAACTAAAGGAATTCTGAAATCAGGATAGAAAACAAGGAAGAAAACAGTCAGTGAAAGAAATGAGATCTTTAATTCAATGAATCATCTAGTTCTGCTTTTACTCCTCTACTACTTCTTATATAGATAAAAATCACTTGATGGAAAGAGAAATATAAATTAATCGGATAAAATATTCTCGGTATTAATGTATTTCTGTTAAAAAACAATTGTAAAAGTACCAGTTTTCAACTTGCAACTTACCAAACAGTTGTAGCAAAAGTGAAAGCCGCTCGACCGATCGTACACAACACTACAGAGAACGTATCTTCTACTTGCACACTGTTAAGCGACCTTGTCACTGTTGAGCACTCCCCACACTGAAGAACAAGAGCAACTTCTGAAGGTCTATAGAAACGGAAGTCGATGAAAGTGGAAAACCGATTGACCTCGGGCATCGCCAGCACCGTTTGACAGCATCTTTTTGTCGTTTTACTAACTAACTCTTCGAACAGCTCAATCTATGTTTGATGAAGTAATTAAAATCTAAATGGTCGCACGCATAAATTGTATAAAAGACAAGGGCAATGCTAGTAAAAGTAAGAAACTGTACAATTTATTTATACAAAAAATCAGGTATCCACGTGTAAATACAAAATCGGCGAAGAAGGAAATGGAATAAAAATATATGCCTCGAAAATTAAGAAGTTATAAAAAGCGTGTTGGTGTCGCTGATAATTAATATTATTGTCTGGTCTAAACGTCGATAGAAACACAGATGATATTTATCTCTAAAACGCAACACCAATGAACTGGTTTCTTTTGTAAATTGGATACACTACTATCACAAAGTGCAATGTATTTTATCTAAATGGTGCAAAGCATTGACTGCCAAATTAGACGAAACTTAAGATATTAAGTTAATGTCGTGTTCCGTGTGTTCATTGTAGCGTATGATATTATGGCTTAAAATGCATGTTACATTAGTACAATAAATATGTTGCGGTGTATCATGATTAAAGTATCTGAAAACATCTGGCATTATCACAATACAGTAATATCAATGTTTTGATATACAAATCTTCCCGTGAAACATACCATTTCTGTATGTTTGCAAATTTACAAATCTCTATATTTTGATAAATAAAATATACATTAAATATTATTTGTTTCGTTTAGCTACTTCTCAAAATGGTCGCGATAAAATAAGAATGTTAGGTAACAGTATAAAATTACAAATATTCTATTCGCTTGTACATGAATTCATGATACGTCACAATTACATTATATTTACAAATATTGAATATCCCTGGGATACCACCACGTACCATAACGCATTACACTGAATACAAATAAGAATCTAGCTTTGTTTTGCCCTTTGGAGGTGAAGTAAACGGTGAAAACCAAGCGAGCGAAAATCTTCCAAACACGGCTTGAATAGATTTCCATCTACTATTGCGAACCCACCGTGCTTCTTCTTTTTTAAGTTGCTCAATACCCTGTAATCGAAATAAAAAGAATTTGATGTTTTTAAGGCTAACAAAAATTTCATAATTTAGATATGTACGTACAGTTTCGTCGTTCCAAATTGCTTGTAATTGTGTTCCTAACATTACAGCGGTAAAAATAGCAAATAAAAGCGCTTCGAAAGCCAGAAACAGTAATAACACCACTGTTGCAGGTGGACTGAATGTAGAACATTCTTTCCACTCTTGTCTCACACAAGTGGTAAATTGTTGTATACATAAAAATAAAGATTGCAATGACATTGCAGCTATGTAGAACTGAAATACATTTATTCAAAATGTATATTTCAACTACTTTTAAATTCCATGTACAGTAACACTTACCGTAAAAAGTACAAAATATTTTTGATTATTTTCTCCGACACAATTATTAACCCATGGACAATGGTGATCCATTTTTCTAATACATCTATAAATAAATCATTCATATATTTATCATTATTTATATCTTCATATTTCAAGAATTCCAATTGAGATGTGTTAGAAATTTACCTTTGGCAAACAGAACAATGATGCGCTCTATCTGGCTTAATAGAACAACACTTTGGACACTTAAAAATTACCTGCCCATCTCTAAATCCCATTTGTTCTATCATTTCTTTTGTAGCATTGCCCTTGGGAACAGCACCCTATGCATGTAAAATACTTTTTTTTATTCAGCTGTTATTAAACTTGCCTTGGAACGTTTAAAAATACAATCTGTTTACTTACTGGGTCAGTGAGCATTGTTCTTAGATGGGATGCAAAAGCTAGGAAAGTTAATGACTGAAATATTGCTGTGTTTAAACTAGAATATAAAGTGTTTATTGTAGGTATAAGAATTACTGCCATCACTACAAATTCTGCATAAATTATTAACAACCATGTTAGAACTGCGCATATAATGCCACATATGTCCTAAAAAAAAAAAGAAAACAATAAAATTACAATGTATTTATAGAATACATGTGGCCAAATGGCCATGTATGAATCAATGTGATAGTGTTTCAACATACTTTGATGCACCATAATCTTCCACCATAACATTTATTATGAACATCTTTTTCTCTATGAAAAGACATATAATCATAATCCATGATTTGTATCTATTTACTAAATTCTTGACTATCAATTATATAAAGGGACATCAATAATGTTTACCAACATAACCATGATTCTTTGCCTGGAACAAAAAGTTAATGAAAAAGATGAATGAAAGATTAGTAGATATTTGATAAAACAATAGTGGGAAACTTATAAGAAGTTAAATTTAGCAGAACGAACTTTGTATCGTAAATTATAATTATAACCTAAGCAACAAGTATTTAACGTTATTACTCAACACCTACACTGATTACGATATACCGATCAACTTTTATTTCAATTTTCTTCATTATGCTGTTTTTCTATGCATGTATGATGAACACCTGATGATAAAAATTGATTTTTTTTCCTTATCACCTCTCAAGCAATTAAGCCGAGTTCGAATATGCATTCATAAACAATTATGTTAATAATATGAAAATCTTCCTCATGTATTCAACGATCGCCTGTTCATAACGGTTCAAATGTAGCGTACAGTAAATGAACCGTAAACGAAACTCGAGTTACGTTATCACGTGTAAACCGATAGATAGTTTGATTTCTAAACGTCACCGATAATCGCCATTGAACTGTATTACGAACACACCGGACATTCAATCGTGCAGATGTATTCACGGGAGATATTTGCAACTCAAGTGCACTGTGTTATTCAATTGAGATCAAGGAAAGTTTAATAAGTAATTAGAATGAACTTAAAGAATACTAGATACTACCGGTTCTAACATCGTTTGTGTTGCATTCGCTTGCACGCGACTGCAAGTTTGACAGTACATATTAGGGGTGGGAGACACAGTGCGCAGCCATATTGGCTACTTGTGACTTTTGGGAGGAAGCAAGTAAAAAATAACCCAACTTTTCTCGTTTCTAAGTAAAAAAAATGTTACTTTTGAGGATTTTTCATTGATTTCACACGTTCCACTTATCAGCGCGAACATAATTGCGGTAAAACGTGTGATCATTTATACAGGGTGATCCTTTTTTACGAAAAATGGTATGTTACATTTTGATTAATAAATTCTCCGCCTTGAAATACTTAATACGATCGTTCTGACAATTGATCATTTTTTCCGATGTTCTTTTTTCATTTCTTTTATTTTTTCCTGTAGAGTTTCTTTGGGTTTGGTCAGTCAGCTGACATAGAGATTACTTTGGATGGTGCAGAGACCAGGAAGACTGCAGACATTAAATCCGAAGATGGAAAAAAAGAGCGCCACTTGTTATATTATGATGGTGAAACTGTCTCTGGGAAGGTAAAGATTCTTTTTAAATGAACAACAGTTAGTATATAAAACAATAAGTATGAATAAAGAATGTTATTTGTTATCTACACCATTCACTCGAAAACTTCAAATGAACAAGCGTATGCTATAAATTCAAGGTTGTTTAATTTATTTACAGATTAATATTAGCCTTAGAAAGGCTGGTAAATTGGAGCATCAGGGTGTGAAGGTAGAATTTATTGGACAAATTGAATTATATTATGATAGAGGAAATCATCATGAATTCACAAATTTGGTTAAAGAATTAGCTAGGCCGGGAGAACTAACTCATAACACTGTATACACTTTTGAATTTGCAAATGTAGAAAAACCATTTGAAAGCTATACAGGATCTAATGTACGGCTAAGATATTTTCTCAAAGTGACAATTGTTCGAAGACTTAGTGATATTGTTAAAGAACTTGAATTAGTCGTGCACACTCTTAGTTCCTATCCAGATATGAATAATCCTATTAAAATGGAAGTTGGAATTGAAGACTGTTTGCATATCGAATTTGAGTATAACAAAAGCAAGTAAGTTACACTGTTATATTGTTTAATTTATTTTTACGTATAAGTACATGTGATTTTAATTTGTATCTGACTTTTCAGATATCATTTAAAAGATGTTATTGTTGGAAAGATATATTTTCTTTTGGTTAGAATAAAGATCAAACACATGGAAATTGCCATAATAAAACGGGAAACTACAGGTTCTGGTACTGTATAATTAACATAGAAGTAGTTGTAGTAATCTTTGCTATAATTTCGATATTATTACAAATCATAATACACTCTTTGGAGAAAGTATTTTATTTTCCAGTTATTTATTTCTTCCAACTTATTATTCTATAGTAATAATTAGAATATATATTTGCAGGTCCACATACCTTTACGGAAAACGATACTATAGCGAAATACGAAATAATGGACGGAGCACCGGTCCGTGGTGAATCAATTCCGATAAGAGTATTTCTGGCCGGTTATGATTTGGCACCCACAATGCGCGACATTAATAAAAAATTCAGTGTTAGATACTACCTTAATTTAGTTCTTATGGACGAAGAAGATCGCAGATATTTCAAGCAACAAGTAAGGCTGTGAAATACAATCCATTCATTGTTAATACTTATCGAACAAATTATTTTAAATGAGTCTCTCGTTCAGGAAATAACGTTATGGAGAAAAGGTGAAAAAAGTAGAAAATCTCAAACTGCTTCGCCACACATGCCATCGCATTTAGTGTCGGCAGAAACAGGATTTCCACAGGGAGCTGCTCAAAACGGTCCACCATCCGCGCCACCGTCAATACAATCAGGTCAACTACCGGCTGGTAATATTACCAACGCAGAGGATGCACCAGCTCCAATAGAAGGCATGACGCGCGAAGAAGGAGATGGTGAAGGTGAAAAAGAAGTTAGTCCTGAAAGTAACTGAATTTTTGTATAATGAGGCAGTTACTGAAGTCAATGGAAGTTTTTACTAGTTCAAAGAATCCAGTAACAGCTTGAGGGAAATCGAAGCGGAACTAGTAGTTTCGAATGGAACTCTTATATTGTAAAGAGATATTGAATTTTAGAAACAGCGAAGAATTAAAAAACGCCTGCAAACAAAGTTGTAAATATTTTGGATACCTATAAATAATGCGGGTGAATAAATCGAATAAGTAGCCAATTACCGATCAAAATTTAAAATTATTGAGATTTATAGGTAATGATCGAAGGTGTCTGACGGGACAGATCTAAAATGATTTAAAAATGAAAAGATGTTACAGAAATTAACGATACAGCCACATAAAATGAATATTTATAAACGGACAGTTTAATAATCGAATATTAATCAGTGGTATATTCTTGAATGGCATCTGAATGTTACAGTGTTCTGAATATTTTATACAAACTTATTCTGTGTTATGTGAATGATGCCTTCAACCACTAGATTATACTTAAAATTCGAAATCTCGTGTATGACAAAAATTTATGTCATGCTAGAGTTTTATAAATCTGAAATGAATATACATATACTCACAATGGCTGCCCTATTTTAATCAATTCACTTAGTCTGCAACTAATATGATAAAGGCACATTAAAAAGATGCTCGTACATGTAATACATTGTTATTGAAATAATTTACAAGAATATGTGGCTTCTTTTAATACAAAGTTTTTATTGATATTTGCAAAATAATACGTTAAGATACGTGTACATCTTCTAAAAACACAATGTCAATAGTTCTGTCCCAACTATAGCTTAACTGTATATACAAATTATTGAATTGTATATGCCAATTAATTTTTTAATAGAATTTTTATGCAAGATTCATGGTATAAATCGTTCGAAGAAATATATGCCTTAGTATACCTGCTCAATTTTAGCATGCCTTTATTAATATAAGAGTGGACTATGATAGATTAAAAATTGGGATGGCCCAACATGTATTTATAGATATATACATACATATTACAATATGTGTGTGGATATATACATGCATATATATGATTTTTAATGATAGCAGTAGTTAAAAACTGGGCTATATATATATACACACACAAATTCATACACAAATATCCACCAACTATTGTAATACTACTGAAAACAGCAAATAACTAATAAGAAAAAGATTCTATTAAGGTAGTACCATGATTGCTACCACAATGGAACTCACCGCTATGAAACAGAATGCCTGTCGTTTTGTACAATTCTATGTTAACATGGGTTGATTAAAAATCTTGTTAACGAAAAGATAAATGATAGTCAACCGCGTGTATTTCGAGAATTTTGTTTCGTATAAATTTAAAGTTTTCATATTTCACACCTTTGTTATTTGTTGACAAAAAAAAGATATATGTGTAAAAGAGAGAAAGCAAAACTATTTGTGAATTATTTGACATGTCAAATATTGTATATACATATACATATTGTCATACAATACAAAACTAGTTGTACATTTTAATGCCCATATAAGTATATTATATTATATACAGTGTGCCTTTGTGTGCACGTATATTGGAAATGATTACTTCACTTATGCATATACCCTTCCTATTGTTTTAATTAATATATAATCGTCAAATTTTTATTTTTACTATTTATAACTTGTTTTTTATTCAGAAAATTTTATGTCAACATAGAAAGTTTCACCATGACAACTCCTACATTTAAATGTAATTAATTTTATGATAAATTTACAGAAAGTGAGATCGACTAATTAAACGTCAATTAAAATTACCACAACTTTCCAAACCAGTTTCCTAATTAATACACCACGTGCCATTCTTTTCTTTTTTTTTATATAATTTTATTTATAACAAATAGGATATATAAAACCTGCAATTTGATTATCTGCTCTTATAGAATATAAACAGTGATGTTAATTATGTTATTTAATTATTTATCAAAATTCATTATTTCTTTCTTTAAAAATGCATGTATATTTTTTTCTTTAAAATATGTTAAACAATAAACAAGAATATTGAATGAAAATTAGAATAGGATATTATTAATAGGACTAAATTGATTCAAGTGGAATTTCTGTAAGAACGACATTTTAACTGTAAATTGAGCGATGTAAATATAATAATAACGATAGCAAAGTTTAATATTTTGATGTTTCGTGACATAAATGTTATCTATCTTCATTACTAGATAAATTATATCAGGTATAAGTAAAAATTATGAATTATTCAAGAAATGAGGATAAATAAACTGTATAGAAGTCATTTCTACAAGGTCCCATGGTGTAATGGTTAGCACTCTGGACTCTGAATCCAGCGATCCGAGTTCAAATCTCGGTGGGACCTTCACATTTTTTTTTTAAATATTGCTTTTAAATGGTGACTTACAATTAGTGTTCTAATTTCTTTAGGACTTACATTATGTCCTCGATAAATTCACCACACTCAAGGTGAAGAATATAATTACATATTATATGCAATGACTACCGATCCATTTGTATCTGTAGTCACTGTTATATGTATACTTGATGTCACGAGAGTCCATAACTGCGAAAAGACCAGTTTTCGTTCTTTTCTGCGCATTGGCGCTCTGATTGGCGATACTTCCAGCGGAAGTGGAAAGCGATTGGCGGATCGCTTTCTCCCACCATCTTCCAACCTGCGGGCTTACGATTAGTTATGGACTCTTGTGACAGAAGCGCGTCAGTCTGTCTACGGACATCGAGGAGAAAGGAAGGTGTACTCATCATTGAAGCGAAATGAAACCCCTGTCTCGTAATGACCGCCGTGGGGTGTTGACTTATCAGAGGGCATTGAATATAACTTTGTTTATTAAAACATGTTTATTTAATTACAAATGTACAGAAATATTATTTCAAGCATTAACCTTGGTTAATGTATTTGCATACTGAAATTCTGAACTATTTTCATACTCGCACATATCTAATGCAATTATACAGCTTTCCCGTACAACTCTCTGATTATCATTAATATATTTATTTAAAATATCAAAGCAATCTGATGTTGCAATGGAACCTAAAGCCTCCGCACATTCGTGTCGTACCATTTCATTTTCTTCCATGTTCTCTAAAGAAGTTGCCAAATATGGAACAGAAATTTCTTCTTGTAATTGTCCCAAAACAAAAGCTATTTCATGCCTAAACAGAGCACTACCTGCATTCAAACCTAAGTAGAAATGAATAAACATGAAAATGAACTACAAATAATAAATACATTTGAGCAAAAAACTATCATATTTACCTTCACAGAGAGCAAGAATGCTTTCTGGTGTGTGTATGTTTCTTAATGAAAACATTGCTTGATATCTTTCAAATAAAGAAGCATTTTCGTTCAAAAGAATGCTTTTTAGTTTTTCAATGTCAGTAATCTCTGCTGGTGGTGCTGGATCCACAGACATATAAGAACTTCTTTGTGAATTCATTAAATCTTTTGAATTGTTTGATTTTAACCATTGTAATCGATGTAATGCCAGCTGACAAGTTTCTGCTACTTCTGGTACACAATCTTTACTATATTCTTCTAATACTGGTATAATGCTAAGATCACCAATAGCCCCTAAAGCTTCACCTAATATGCAAAAATAAATTTCATCAAATGCAAAATGTTCTACAAATAATAATATAAAAAATATACATATACATATGTAATTTACCTGCTTCATGACGCACCATTGGCTCATGTTTAACATCTTTCAGTATTTCAATGAGCACAGGTATAGCACGAGTATCTTGCATCTGACCAAGACAATATGCAAGCTCGTGCTTCAATAAGGCTGATTCATCTTTAAAACAGTTATTAATCTGTTCAATAGCTTTGACACCACCAATATTCTTTAAAGTAAATAATGCACGAAATCTCTCTTTTAATGGTCGAGTTTGGTCATTCAAAACATGACCTATGGCAGAAATTTGACTCTCACTTATTTCCAACATACTGCTTTTATAAATTTACAATATACGCTTTTAATCTTGAATAAAATGCTTGCAAATTTATTTAATTTACTAAATTACAAAAGCTTTTGAGTTAATCCATATATGAAAAAGTATTTACTGTTGATGATATCTGTTAAAATTTTGTTAAATAAACAATCGAGGTTAATTTTTAAAGATGTGACAGATAAACACAGTCAGTGAGATTAACGATCTGAGATTACACATGTTGCATTGGATTACAGAGTATGCATGCGCAGAAAGAGTGGTTAGGATAGATTAGGTTAGGTTTCAAGCAAACCTAACGTCAAAAATAAATGTCCCTTATATGTATAAATAAGTTTACATATAATAAATAAAATCGCAATTTTTTATAATTTTATGTGTAAACGATGGCACACAGTAGAACGGAAAGAATTGGAACAATCTTTTCCAGGTGAAATTGTATTGTATCTAATCTATGAGGGTTAATAAATTTAATGTAAAGAAGGTTAAGAATTATAGCATAATTATATACCTTGTACATACAATAAATTATTTGATTTAAATTAAATGACAAAATTCGATGACGAAATAAAAATATTTGTGTTGATGCTTTAAATTATTTAAGAAATTATACAAATTTATTAATACATTTTTTTATTATGTGTTTGTATATGCAACACTTTTTGGAAAATATTTTCAATAATTTCTCAATTTTAGAGTGACAGCATTGTGGAAAAGTAAAGCAATAACAGAAGAAAGTTTACCATTATGGTATAATATATATAAAACTTTTCCTCCAAAATATGAACCAAGATTTGATAGACCAGCACCACAGAAATCAGTACGAAATATTTTCTATGAAGAAGATATTGTAAGGGCGTAAGTATAATGAAATATAAATTGTACATAGATAATTGGTAAATACTTTTATATTTGAAATTTATTACAGAAAATTTCAAAAGGATGTAACCCTACCAGCTATAGATTTAAAAAGTGATAAACTTTCTCAGACTCAATTATTTTATATCATCTATGCAAATTTAAAACGGGTAATGTATAAAAGAAATTATATTATGTTGTTAAATCACTACAAAGTAATTATATATATATATTTTTTTGGGTGTTAAAAAAAGAAGAGTACAATATTTATATAATTATATGTATTTTTTTAACTTATTCTGATTGTTATATGCAGTACTTTATTTTATCATAGATTAGTCCCAAAGAAAAAGAAGAAGATATATATATAAAAGTGTTGGAAATTTATGAAAGGGTTTTTGGTACATCAGTAAAACGTCGCGAAAACAAATCATCAGACGATGATACGAAGAAGATTTAAACTTAAAAAGATAGAAATACCTGTACTATATGTACATACTTAAAATAATATTTAGAAAAATAAAAAATAATCATAAATTGCATTTAAAATAGGTATTTATAAAATCCTTGGTATTTATAATATCCTTTTATTCAGTACTATACAAGTTGCTAATGAAATCAAGTCAACTTTTTATTTCATTATTGTAAATAGAAACGACCATTATAAATAATTATGAAATAAAAAATAAAATATAACATTTATAACAATTCAAAGAAGTAGATCGTATGAAGATATTTAATGCTTTTAATTGGATATACATGTATGTCTAATTTATCATTTTTTTTATCAATCAGATCTCATTTTAAGGGGTGGAAGAAGTTTGAAAACTATTCTTAGTACATTTAATACCCCTTACGATGAGATAACCTTTAATAACGTTCTAAAGCTACGTGTGGAAAGTTATTTCACATGCATGCATGCTCTTGTTAGGAAGAAATGTTTGAATTTTATATTGCACAAAATAAACATTGCTTACATTACTTTTGAAACAATTTTGTAAAAAACTGAATTTCACCATATTTATATACGCAGAGCGTAAAATACTTTGATTTCATAGGCATATTTAATAAATTAAATTAATATGACCGCCAAACAAATTTTTTCATTAGTTTTCGTTAGAAACACAACCAACATCCTACTAGGTTTTAAAAAACGAGGATTTGGGCAAGATAAGTGGAATGGTTTTGGCGGCAAGGTAGAACCAGGAGAAACAATTGTTCAAGGAGCCATACGGTAAGCAATTTTAAGTAATTTACTACGAATATTTTATATATATCGTGCATAGTAACATTGTCTTAAAGACAAATTATTGTTAACAATGCAACGTATGATCAACAACAATTTTATATTTCGTAATAATTGATACATTAAATAACGAAGAATTTCAACACAGATTTTTGTTTTGTTTTGTTTTGTTCAACAGTATACAAGATGATTTATAGAATTTTCAATAGCTTCGATTAATATTTGCTTTTCTTTCTAATGGGATTATAAATGAATAAATGAATATCTTAATACATATTCACTGTATCACAGAATTGTATAGTTGCATTATTTTAACATAATACTATGTATTAAACTATTTGTAAGTTCTTTTTTAAATTTAACGTGAAATTTTTATCAATAAAATATTTTCCATTAATCATCTTGTATGCACAGGTACAGTTTTATGTAATTAAATAAAATGCTATGTATAAATTAAAATTAACATTAATGAGTATACAGTCACTGATGAAGGTCTGTACATTCCATAAAAGAACCATTTTATTTAAAGTAACTAATGAGAAACATAATGTTTCAGGGTAGCTTATCTATGAATTTAAAGCTGGTAGAGCATATTTAACAGCACTTAAAAGTATTTTAGTAAAAATCTGGCAAAAATTCATTAAATTGAAAAATAAGCGCATTTCTTGCAAAGAAGATTATATAAGTTGTTTTAGAAGCAAAGGGATGTCTAGCACATAGTTCATTTCTTTTCTTATTCGTTCAAATATTCCTCTAGAATAAATACACTTTGTTATAAAATAATTAATATTACTTCATGTTAATAATTAAATATGCTACTATACAAAATTATTATATTAATTAAACTGATCATTTTAAGAGATGTATGAAAACTTTTATGACTGACTGTACATGGTAGAAAAACAATTATAATAAATATGTAATATATACAATAGAAATATTGCATATATTGTATTACAGTATTAATACCTATTCTATGTACATATATAAAATAAAAGTTACTGCAATTATTCAAGTTTTCTCTTTACATTTTATAGTGAATTGAAAGAAGAATGCGGCTTATCTACACAAGATTTAAAGAGAGTTGGTATTTTAGAATTTGAGTTTGAAGGAAATGACAGCTTATTAGAAGTTCATGTCTTTGAGACATATAACTATCAGGAAAAAGAAACAGAATCTGAAGGTATTTAATTTGCAGAGATTCTATTAAATATTTATCCATATTGTTAACCATTGACATAACTACGTAGGGGCTGGGATGGGACCCCTCCCTAATGCAGACTAGCCCTGCACCATTCTAAATTTCTAAGATTCTAAAATTTTCAATTTCTAACATTCTGTCAAAATTTAATCTGTAATGCAACAAAAATTAAACACACTGTGATGTTCTTATTACATGACGTTATAAATAGAAGAAATTAAATTAATAATTAAGTTAGAATTCTTGACACTATTAGTAAAGTTAAGGAACCTGGCCTATTCAAAAAAGAATTCTAGTTATGTCAGTGCTGTTAACTACATATACATATATTTTTTTGAAATACAAAGAAATTATACTTTTTGTTTCTCAGATTATATTGCAATGGATTGCATGTTACTATTTAAATTATGTCAGTTTATTTGAAAAAAAAAAAGAAAAATCAGAAATATTTTGGGCACACTGAAAAAGTTTAAAAATATATCTATTACATAATTTCTGCTACTTTTAATACTTGTTTTACTTAAAAGTATAATAAATACATTGTAATTACTTATAATACACATATATATATACAATATATATGTTTTTTTTTATTCAGAAATGCGACCAAAGTGGTTTAACTTGAAAGACATTCCTTTCAAACAAATGTGGCCGGATGATGAATATTGGTTCCCTTACATGTTAAGAGGGGAATTATTCAAAGGATACTTTTTGTACCGTGGTCAGGACCTAATTATTAAGCATAATATTGAAACTTTGAAAGAATTACCAGCAATGGATGTTCCTTAACTACATTCATTAACAATCACAGGTTTCATTCACAACTTTTATACATTCATTTACATGTTAATAATTTCAATTATTAAAAGCTCTACTTTCACATTTTTATAATTATAATAAAATTTGGCTCTTCGCTAGTTCAATAACTTTTTTAGTACTGAAACTATTTTGGAATTATCATTATTTCTTATCACTTTATAATTCTAAATTATACAGAAAAAGATTTTTAAGCAAAAAATTATAAAAATATGTACGTACTACAGTAATTGTACTTTCAACTTAATAAGTGTAAAAACGTACGTATTAAACTATTTGCATGTACAAAATATTTATTCATATTTTAGAGATCATTAAATAAATTTTTAAATTGTATCGCGAGGTTAGCAATCTATTTTCTACCTGTTATCAAATCAATGCATCATTATCTTGCAGACTTAAGTACTCGTAAACTATAAAACTATACGTACTGTGCTGCATCATAAGATAATAAAGATAAAAATATCCTGCTTTAATTACATTTATCTTGCAAATGAAAATCTTGCAAATGATGTTGCAATCAAGCACCATGCAACTTGGACAGATTAAAGAATAAATATTTCCACTTTTAGTTGAAAAAATATATGAGGCAAAGTAGAAAGCTTAAAGTCTAGAGACTGAAGTATATCATGGACGTATAGAATTCTCAACCAGTTATATCACCTTTTATCTTTGCACCATAAAGCACTCTTAATATTATGATATCAAAGAAAAATTATATTTAAGCTGCCGACCAATGTTCGGATCTCCACAAAAGAGCATACATGCTATGTTTAAGATCATCTGAATCTAAATTGTCAATTGGAAAATCTGTGTAACGGGAGATTAAACTTCTGTAACCCTGGCCAACTGTTGCCAATACTAATTTCTTTTCATCCATCGATTTAAATGATATTATTTGACATACTTTACCCTCGAAAGGTCTGAAAACAGTAATCGGTCTGAGAGAATTACATTCAGCCACTACGATGCATCCCCAAGTGGTACCGATATACAACTGATTCCTACAAGTTTCAAGAGCTGTTACTTGGCACTTTTCTGTCGATAAATTTTCTTCTATAGAAATGGACTTCAAACTCTCAGAACAAGGTACTAACTTTGACATATCTAATTTATTTATTATTTGCCTAGTATCTACATCCCACTGGTATACGATACATCCAGGGTACGTGTACGATAAGATGGAATTTTCAGCGCTTAATAAATATGTAGCAAATAAATTTTTAACTGCCACCTCTCCGCTTACATGACAGATTTGTACTGTGTCTATTAAACTACTATCTTTCAAAACATAAATGGATATTCTACCGAAGCTTTGTCCAACCCATAATTCTAATATGCGTTTCTTTTTATGAATAGCTGCTAAAGAATATGTTTTTATATTGTCTTGTATATTAGTCATAATTTCCATCTTCTTCATTTGGGTAAAAGAATTTGATAACAGAAATGTTTTTCCACTATGCAAGGCTACTGCAAATTGTTTTAATTGTTCCAAATAAATTAAGCCTATCACTTTAGATTCTATACTGTGATTAGGTTCTAGATTATAGCTAGCGACACAACCAAAATTGCTGCCTAAATAAACATGAACTTGCCCTGTGTTATCACCGATCCATATATATCCATCAACTCCACACATAGCATATGGTATTATAGGAGTTTCAATTCTAACATGCTGTAACCATCCTTTTTGTGTTCCTAATAGCATATCAACTTCACCGTTATTGTGTCCAAACCAAATTTCATCTCCATTTATGTTTTCTTCTATAGTTTTATTTGTCATGGTAATAGCAGTTACTTGAGTTCTCTCTGTTAACAGTATAACGTCTATAAGGTGTGTAAATTCAGGTGCAGATGCAATAGAAACTATTTGACTTGCAGTTGGTCGTTCTTTAGGATTTTGAGCCCAACATATGACCATTAAATCAAGAGCATAACAAGGATGAAACGTTTCTCTGTAAGTTAACGGTGGTCTTCCACCTTCTAAGATACATTCTTTAACCGCCTCATGGCCTTCGAATGGTTGCCTCAGAGTAATCAATTCATATATAAACATTCCAAATGAAAATGAATCAACCTTCTCCGTATATTCTTCTTCTCCATTGTATTTAATAATTTCAGGTGCCATGAATCCTTCAGTCCCGCCGAATCCTTTAGCACCAGTTGGTAACGTTAATCTAGATATCCCGTAATCGGCTACTTTAACATGGACAGGATGTTCAGGATGATTTTGAAACGGTAAAGGCATCTGCCAAACGAGAACATTTTCAGATTTTAAATCCCTATAAATGACATGCTGCTGGTGAAGGTATTCCACAGCCTTCGCCACTTGAAGAATTATAGCTTGTAACGTGTACGGGTCTAATTTAGCGCCTGAACGTCTGTAATTTTTTAACACGCTATCCAATGCACCTTCGGGCGCTAAATCTAATACTAATGCCAATGGGCTAATCACTATTCCAATCAAGGGTACGATATTTATATGTCTCAGTGTCAATAAAATGTTTAGCTCTTGTCTAGCAGTGCAATATGCTTTACAGGCGTATTGTAAAGGATCTCTATCCCATTTACTTTGCGCCGCTTTGTAAGCAAGAACTGCAGATTGTTTTGAATTTGAACCAGGCGGTACTGGTTGTAACATTTTGATGGCAACATCGACCTTTTGATATGTCCCAGGTAAACGGCAAACACCTTTAAAAACAAATCCAAATGCACCCCGACCTAAAAGTTTTCCTAACTTGATATCTTCTGATTTTATCAAATGTTTCGATCCAAGATCCATAAAAATAATATCTGGAGCGACATGCGATAACGGTATATCAAAGTGCTTAGGACAACTAATTGGTTTATTACTATATGCAGACAGAATGCATTCCTCTACCATCCAGGAATATGCTAGAATGCTTTCAGAATTGCTATTCTGTTTAGCAACATCCGGATGACCTTCTAAAGATGGCATTCTACTTGATGTTAAACTATCATATCCTACACCACTATCACCGTCAGACTTATAACTATCCTGACTTTGCCTTTCTTTATTAATGTAATATCTTTGAATATCTTCTGCTAAACGATCACTGTCGTTAATTTCGTTCTCATTCTCTCCGTTATTCAATAGGCACCGAGGGCACGGTATCAATCTAGTAACTAATAATTTACCCTCGGATGTATGGACAAAACGTGTTCCTAACGTAGGATACCAGTCTTCTAATAAAATATCAATGTGATCAACTATAAGCGCTAGCAATTGCGGCATACTTTCTGGCCGTGGTTCAACCACGATCGCCTGATAACCCATCGGTTCTTCCTCGACCGAGTCTGACATTATAGGTTGTTTAATTACCAAAGTGTCAACCGGGAACCATATTTCTAAAATCGCCGAATTCTTTAGGTCCACCGTACACCATATGCCGTCCTGTTTCAGTTTAAATTTAAATTGCCTGTAATCGTACGGTACGTTCTTTAAATTGTAATTGACTTCCTTAAGACGCAGCAAAGTAATGTTAGCGTATCTTAGCTCTATTCCTGTCTGCCAGAGTACCCATTCTGCTTGCGTATTTAATAAGCTTGTAAAAATATTATCATCGACGAAATCTTTGAACGGTGCCAGAAACGACATCACTATTTCAACGATAGCATCGTCGGCTAATATTCTAGTTATAAGCCTCGACCAAAATCCACTAGGAAAATAAGACATTAGAAGCAGTCTTGTTACGGAGCAATCCGGTTGCGACCTAGACGTCAACACGCATTCCGTCGTCAATTTATCTCCGGAAAAATTTTGAAACGTCATCATTGGAGATGTAATTTTGTTGGATCTTACGTGCCAACCACGCGTTTTCACCGGTATCTTGATCATTTGATTATTTCTTAAAATATCTTCTTCGGTTGGTAATAAGGAAGGGATCAGTAATGTACGATAATCCCACGTCAACGCAACTTCAAATTTGTTCAGTAAGCTGACGATATATCCTTGCGTGTCGATGGACGATATCGTGGAAGATTTAAAAACGTGTTGAATATCGTCCAGCTTCATTATGCCAGACCTGGCGAAAGGGTTAATTTCACGTATCGTCACTACGTGCGCCAGCATGTCACAGAGCCATTGAGGATCAAGGAAGTATAAATCCTTCAGAGTAGCATCGTCGTAGTGCAGAATGATACCGTTTTCATGAAGGAAAAGCGTAGCTTGGTGCAATTCTGCTGGATCTCTGAAAGATCTGTGCAGTTTCTGAAGTTCGTTGTTGACAGCAGCATAGTACTGATCCGCTTTCAAAACTGGATCTGCCCCTGATAATTTCTTATCGTGCGCAAGCTGTATCACCACGTCTTCCAAGGCAAGATAACTGGCAGGAACTTTCTGTTCGAGTAACAATTCTTTGCTTCCAGGGGATCTTAAACTAAACACGACGTCATATATTAAATTACAAAGCATTTTTATATTATGCCTCGTTTTACAGCTTACTTCAATGGTCTCCATGACTTTTGGCAAACCGCATTTCTCGGCATCGACCACGTTTATAAACTTATCGCGAATGTACTGCTGCAAAGCCTCGCTATGTTCATAAGATATGTCGTAATGGGTACCGACAATGATCACCGGAGAGTTTGGTGCTCTGCTTTGAATATTTACCAACCATTGAAATATCTCAGACACACCTTTGAAACCATCAGTGATCCTCCATACGACCAAATACAAGCTACGTTTAGATAAGAAATATTGATGGGTGGCATAATATTCTCTTTGCCCACCGAAGTCCCAGGTTCTGAAGTAAACAGGACCGTGGGACGACTGGCCTCTTACTTTCTTTTCATAGATCCAATCACCAATATCAACGCCTACAGTTGATATAGTCGTTCCCCTGGCAGTCTTTGCGTTGATATTTTTATTACCCATTCTCTTTGCCCAGTGTTCAGAGGCTTTCTTCTTATTCGGTACCTCGCCTTCTTGTCTCAATTGTTCCAGCAGACTAGTTTTACCGATACCCTGAATTCCAACGATCATTAACTTCAATCGAGCATACGGTTTAGCATCCTCCAATATTGATTTCAAATACCCAACAACGTCCATTGTTTTATATTTTTTCGATTCGATCATCGTCTTCAGAGGCTCCTGTAATCGGCAGCCTTGAGTATTTAAATTCCATAAACGGGACAGCAAACCCATTTGCGGTGGTAATTCAACAATGTCTGGATTACTGCTTATGTTCAAGACAGAGAGGTTGTTCAATTCATAAATGTTCTGTGGGATATCTTTCAATTTATTATTGCTAACGTCGAGCATACTGACGTTGGGAAAGAGAAGGTACAATTTCGAGCCTGAATAAGTTATCTTCGTGTCTTTGTCTATGCTCTCTTCCTCGAAATTTGGCATTTCCCCGTCGTCTACGGATGTTAATTGAATTCTGTTTAGCATATTATTGGCAAGAATCAAGGTCCTTAAATTTTCCAAACGCAAGTGACGTCTGTGCGTGCAAACCGACATGAGAACCACGTCCCGTAAAGAGGTTGCCGTTTGTCTATTGTTCCCTGGTACTATCGGGGATTGTACGTTTGTAGCGGGACAATAACAAGCAGTGTTTGCTTGTTCCGTCAAATCTGCGCCGTCCACTTGCGGTAAACTGGGCCATCGAGATATTTGATTATTAGACAAATCCAATTGTTTCAAACTCGCTGGGTACGAAGTTATGTGGCTCATGGACCGTAGAGAATTATATGCCATATTTAATCTTACCAGATTAACAGCCAAACACGGCAATGCTACTGGAATGCTGTTGAACAAGTTGTGTGCTAAGTTCAATGACGCCAGAACCGATCTAACTCCACCTTCATTGTCGTCAGAGATTTTTTCTGAAACTTGAACGGATTTGGTCCAAACATGCGGACGCTCCATGTCGATTATTTGTGCATTTGCTATTTTAGTGAAAGACTCGAACTCCAACGAGTCCTCGCGTGAAATAGCAAACTGTGCTGCTAAGCTTCGACTGCTCGGACTGTTATTCAAACAGTCGTCCCGCTGTGATTTCCGTGAAATATTTTGCGACACCTGGCTAGGCAAATCTTTCAATAAATTAAACGATGCATTCAGTTCCTTCAATTTTGGTGCTCGCCATAGATTGTCCGGAAGACACTGTAATTTATTATTTGAAACATCCATTATTTCCAAGCTGGGTAGATTCATGATGAATTCAGGTAGCTGTTCCAACCGATTGTCTTGTAGATACATCTCCTCTAGAACAGGGCACAGTTTATCCTTGGCATTTTTTGCTTCAGCACTGAGAGTATCTATTTTATTCTGAGCCATATTTAGGCACCGTAAGCTTTGCAGATAAAATATAATGGATGGTATAGAAGTAATTGAATTATGAGAGATATCTATCCTGGTTATAGCGTACAACACTAAATCATTGTTTTTGGCGCTCAATTTTTTGTTCACATGCAACACGGCGTCGGTTAACCATTGGGATCGTATTTGAGACAGATGACATTGTTGATCGTGCCAGTTTATCATTGTAGGAGTATTTGGGAATATCGTTGAATATGTAACGTTACCAAAAGAGGACAATGCCGAGAAATGAGACGTTTGAGTGCATTCCGTCATAGCTTTCTTATTGATTTTGTATTCACAGTCGGGGTAAGCTTTTATGGACAAAAGTTTAGCTGTCAAAGGTTCGTCTCGATTTTGTGCAGCAATTTTAATTGCTTTACATGTATTATCTACAGCACCGTGTTTCAGTAAAAGATCAGCAATTTTTATATCACGCTGTTGGCATGCTACGATTAATGCGCTAGAATAATTTCTCTCTGAATCGTTTTGATCATAAGGAACTTTGACGAGTAAATTAGGATCGGCACCAGCCAATAGTAAAGCGGTAACTACATCTGTATGTTTGCCTTTTACCGCGGCGTGTAAAGCGGTTTCAGTTGCATTATTGCAATATAAATCTAAATTTAACGGACATATCATATTGTCATCCTTTTTATCAAACGTTTTACTTCTAAAATTTAAGCTAGACATTAATCTTTGTATTCCGCTTGAAATTTTTCTTTTTGATACGGGAAGTGGTTGCGTTACTCCCATTTCTTCCTCTTTGATCTTTCTTGCTTTCACTCTGTAATTCAATAACAATTCAACGATTTTAATGTTGCCAAGCATGCTGGATATATAAAGAACATTCTGTCCTGTTACGTCTTGAGTATTAATATCAAACGGCATCTCGTATTCAAATTCTCCAGAGGAATCTTTGTAACGTTGATACGTATGTTGCGGATATTCAAATTTTAATAGTAAATCAATAATCATGTGATGACCGTTTATAGCTGCCGCATGAATAGGTAACCATTTCTCCACCGTTAAAGATTGTACTTGCTTAGGAAAATGACGAAGCAGTTGTTCTACGATTTCTACTTTGCCATTGTAACAAGCTATATACAATGGACAGTATTTAGTAACAGGATGAATTCTGCAATCTGCACCATGATCTAAAAGTAGACGAACTATATCCTTATGGCCCATTTCGCATGCTATAAAAAGCAGAGTATTCGCACCATTTGGTGCCATGTTAATAATAGATTCCACATCAGCGGTGAGTCCTTGGATAATGTTTCTGGCTGCCACGATATCTCCCTGAATACATATCGCACGCAAAGAAGCATGTGTCGCTAGTTTGGCCAATTCATATTTTTCAGCTGCCACTTTAAGTAAATTTATACATGCATCTTGTTTATTTTTTTCTGCTACATCTAACGGCGTGTTACCATTGTTATCTTGAATCATTAGATTGGCGTTAAATTTTAAAAACTTTTCGATATTGGAATTATGACCATGTTCCGCGCAAACGTGTAACGGTGTACGATAATGACCTCTTGGTCCGCATGGTATATTTGGATTAGCTCCAGCAGACAATAACACGTCCAAACACCTTGAATTTTCAGTAATGGCTGCAGCATGTAACGGTGTCCTACCCCAAGAATCCTGACTGTTTATGTACTGTGCGTGTTCTCCTCGCAGAAGATCTTCCAACAGTTCAGCGTTATCCCATAAAGCAGCTTGGTGTAACAGACGACCAAGGAAATCTTCATCGATAGGAGTATAATCTTCCATAATGTAAACTATAAATATTTGAAATGTTTTGTATGTTTTTACCCATTGTTAAGAAATATTAATATATGTATATCTATACTTACGAAGTATTTAAAAATTATTTTGATCTATAATTACATATTCACATTGTCGGCACACTCTTCTCTTGTGATACTTTGCATATGACTGTTTATTTTTAATTTCATCAAAATTTAATGTTTTATGTTCACTACAATCTAATATGTAAAAAAATTGACTGCTATTTTTGAATTTTATATCCACTGTATCTAAAGTGGAAGTTAGATATTTAAAACTGTTTATATACATTTGTAAAATCTCGATTATTTATTTATTCGTTTTCATATTAAAAATATTTTGTATTTTAAATTTAATTATTTTCAATTTTTACCACGTATTATCACTTTAATATCATTGTCACTTCCTTTTCATGTTTGTAACAAATAATAACTTTGTTTAAAATTTAAAATTCAGTATACAAATGCAGAACTTGCATGTATGTCAAACCTTATATCAATCAGAGAAAGATGTTATAAAAATTATATTCGATTGATTGTTTAAAATTACTCGCTTTTCACTATATACGTGGACATTGTTTTTAATTGTTTTTCACACTGACAAGCGACTTGACTGACAGTGACTGACAGTAGTTTTTAGGATGAGAAACAATCGTAATACTAAACATAACATTTAGCGATCGCCATTTTGTTGAATCTCTTTATCGACTGTACGCACCTTTAGCCACAATTTTATGCTTCGCTAGCAGCGGATCGATTTAAATAAATAGTACTACCTTTAATATTACGCAATATCAATACTGATCTTTTTTCATCTATATTACAGCATTACATCTTTACTATTGTTATCACTGAAAGATTTATTTACTTTCAATTATTATCAATAATGATTTCGGCGCAAAACTTTTTGTTTAACACTTCCAAATTTGTGGTGTACTAATTTTTTGAAACTACTATTAGCTCATTTTATATTTTACTTCTTTTTATTTGATACATAAAAAGTAAATAGAAAATTTGGATTTATAATGAAAATTAACAATGCAGTAAAGTTGAAGTATATTCTGTACTGATACTGTTCGTACAAAAGTACGTTTAAAATACGATGTATTTGTTTCAGTCTTTCTTTGTTACACATATTAGTCGTAATAAATGAGAATAGACCTTGGTCCACATATCGAATGTGTGAAAACCGACAAATTTTTATACATAACTAAATATTCATTATGTTAGAGATATTCAATATTCTATTATATCTAAAGTAATAGCAACAACTATGTATGTGTGCTACATATCTTAGGTATTAATACTAAACTAATAGTCACAGAGGACTATAATAAAAGAAACTCGTATAAATTGTTATATTCTTTTTATTATACAAATTGACATACAGTCTTTTTAAATTATAAATAATTGTAATACATATAAACGACCATTTGTATAAAAATACTTTATTTACACATTTTATCCTAATGATTTTATTCGGTGTTTTGTATCAAAATTAATGCTCATAAAATACTTGAGATTTACTATGATTTAATGAAGTAGGTTAATGATAATGTATGGAATCTTTTAATTAAAAAGGTAGAGAACTTTTACATAATAAATGTTAATAAACTTTCTAATGTTCCACTTGGCAGCCTTCAAGGCTTAATGCTCGGGCCAAGTTTCTTGCAACGGCTAATCGAAAAATTTCGATTTCATTTTGAAATTTCGGATCATCTCCGTGCGCTTCCGCGCAACGTAACAATTCGAAACAATCGCTGGAAGACAGAATAACATCTTTGGCTTCTAGTAGTGGAATGGCATCTGATAACAGTATTGACCAGAAACTGGAACAAAAGCATTTCATAGAAAAACTTTCTCTTTTTTCTGAACATAATGAATTATCTATATTTCACTTACTATTTTGGTGTTAAATTCGAAACTAAAAGGGATACTAATAAACTTGCTGCTTCTTTAAATTCTCCAATTCCATACATCTGATGAAATTCACAGTATTTTCCTAATTCAAAAATATATTCAAAATTAATGCTTTAGCAAAAATCCAATTATACTTTTAACGTTTTGAAAAGTACATGATTTACCTAAAAATGTGAGTCTATCACTGGCCATCATACAAAACCCTAAATTTTCCAATAAATCACGACATTCTAGTTTTCCGCTTTCTGCATAATGTTTCAGAAATTGATCTGCAATATAAGTAGTAAAGCTACTATCTTGAGCTTTCAATGCCCATGCAAGAGCATTTCCCAGTCTTCCTTGTTGTATAGATTTTATCCCTTGGATTTTACACATACTTGTAACTAAAAGAGGGGGCGTTAAAACTGATATAAAATTTGTATAGTTTGCAAGCAAAAATGAATATACACCTATATGGTCCATTTTGTTATCGCGTGCTATATCTATTATTTTGTTTACTCTTGCTTCTGATCCCATTGGTAAAGACTGTAACAGTATTTCTAGTCTAGCTAAACCTTGGCTAGGACAATGTATCAAATAACTTGCACCACATTGCCATAAAGAATGGTGCCCCATTAAGGTGTTGCCATATTCTAATATAAGAGATTCGTGAAGCTGACTAGTAACTCTAATAGAAAAGTAAAAATTTCATTTTTTAATTTCTATATAAGTTTTATATGATATAAATAATTAAATTATTTACTCAATTTGGTCTTTGTCCAATATTTTCAATTTTCCACAAGTATATAATAAATTTACTAAATGAGCAGCAAACCAGCCATTATCACCCATATGTTGGATTTCTTTGATAACTTGATGTAAATTACTTTCTATTAAAGCATGTATAGCATTATCAGAAGGTTTGTTAGCTTGCCATCTTTTGGAAATATTGTTTGCATGAAGCGACAGTTCGGGTTGTTTGCAACACGGAGATGTATAAAATAATTTTGCTGCTAATAATTCATACCATGCATCTGTGTATGATGAAAACTGCCACAGTACATCTTGTTCTCCTACAATTAACTATATTAAATGGTTTTTAATAATTTAAATGGTTTTTAAGTATTTATGTTTAGACAAACAGTGGCGCTACTAATACCTTCATCATCATTTCTAGATTAGTGTCAGATACAAAGGCTTTATTATTTATATTTGAAGATAGATCAAGTTGCCAATGTTTCCAACGCATCATAAATTCATTTATAGAGTAACCACCATAGACATTATACAGCGGCATTGTCTTAAGAATATTTTCTGCCATTACAAAGGCTGGATGATCTGCTTTACTGTGTAATACTAGTAAAGCTCGTACTAAATCAATTTTTCCATGTAATGCACAGCCTATTACTGTTTCCCAATAATTTGGATGTTCTAAATCAGCACCAATTGTTTTCTGAGCTAATATTTTAAGAGCTATTAGTTCTCTAGCTGGAAAATGGAATCTGATCCATTCTAGCAATTGTGGTAATACTATATCCCCTAAATGTCAAATATTTATATTTTATATTAATAACATTATTGTTTTGATTTTTAATATCGAATTATGATAAAAGCAACTTACCTGGAACTACATCTATATATAGAATTTCAGTTAGGTGCCATACACATTCAATTTGATAAAAAATTGTAAGAAAATTTTCTAATGATTCCTTTTTATCTGATAATGATTTCCCACATATATCTTGTAAGCTTTCTATACAAGCTCGTAAAATAGATCTATATTGTTTACTATATTTCAAAAGTTCTGGCCTAACATCTCCAGAACCTAATTCAATTTTTTGAATAGATAAAAAGACACCATTACTTTCATTTACCAATTTACGTAATTGTGGTGAAAATAAAATAACTTCTGGCCTTAAAATATGTACTGTTGGATCGTATTTCTCATGACATTCCTTATTTAATCTTTTACTACCATATATACTGATTTTATTACTATTTATCCAACTGCCAGCAATACCTACGTTTTTTGAAATGCTTAAAGTGCCCTATAAATGAAAAATAATATTTTTATTAATACTTAATATGAAACAATACAATCTTATGAGGGTAATTTTTATAAAAAATAATGAAAAGATTAGTTATTTAAATTAGACTTTAATAAACTTTATATGAAATTAAAATAATACATTAAATGATAAAAATGTAGGTTAAGTAAAAAATTGACGCATGCGGTTAATATATTTACTGCTTACTACAATTGGAGGATTATCAGTTTCGGCCATATTTGATAAAGAAATTGTTTAAAATAAATGCGATTTTATAATGTTATTCACATTAATTTCAAATTCGAGGTTAATGTTTTTTTGTAAATTGAAACATGAGTTTATAACATGAACATAAGCACATGCTTAGCGTCATGAACGTCGTTTGAGCGCTTGCGCATTACTTTAAATTACAGGCTGAATTAGAACCAATCAGAGCCAATATTCGCAGAACGAGCGGAAACTCGTCTTTTGATAGGTATGTATGTATGTATACCGCAGTTCACCAGAGTCCATAACTGCGACGCGCAGGTTGGAAGATGGTGGGGGAACGCAGCGAGCTCTCTGCTAATCGCTTTCCACTTCGTTTGGGAGTATCGCCAATCAGGGCGAAGATGCGCACTAGAGATGCGCGAAGAACGAAAACAGGTCTTTTCGCAGTTATGGACTCTGGTGATACATACATACAGATTCTCCCGTAACTATAGATTTAAAAAGATTGCGAGTGGGGGACCAGATAGTTTCGTAATTGCGGGTAGCTATCTAGGTATTATTTTTCCACGACGAGTTCATGGTATCGTTCACCACTTCTGAGAACGTTTAAAGTAACATATTTCTTATTTATTCCGTAATGGCAACACCACCGACAGATCCGTCAGTCGTAAATCCTATAACAAAATGGGTTAGAATTGGGGATTATCCCGTGGGATACGATCCAGCAAAACATGGACCATACAATCCTTCCCGATACTATGGGCCAGGTAAGTTGTACTGACTGATTTTCGTACTTCCTATATAAGATAATTATAATAAGTTATATGTATATGTTTGTAGCCGATACACCATTTGGCGAACTAAAAATTAAAGAAATACCAGCATGGATTGGTCGCCGTAACCTGACACCCCAAGGAGTGGCAGGACTATTCTCCCGAGGTATATTGGGTGTATTACGCAAAACAAGACACTTAATTATCTTTTTTAGCTGTAACTTTTCATACGTAATTTAAATGGTTTCAAAGGATAAACCGGATAATAGAAAAATCTAATATAAATACCACCTCGTAAAACGATTTTAGTTTTCAACATTTTACATCAAATGTGAAATATTCTTCCATTAAGATTCCTGGTTTATGCACTTGATTTCTTGTAAAAAACTGTTTTATTGTAAAAGGTTGAAATTATACATTGTGTATAACATTTTTTTGTTATAGTTATAGAAAATGATTAGATGACCTGTTTTACATGACACCCTGTATATTATATCAGTGATCATATTATGGCTTAAAAATTATATAACAACTAGATATAACCTTCCTTCTATTAATGTCATCCCAGATGTTCAATGTTGAAATGTTGAACCTCTAATTAAGTTATTACTTTCATTATATCATTGTAATAAGTATTATAACATGATTAAAATTACTCTTAACATTACAGCTTTGTGGCGTTGGCAAATGACATGGGTGCTACCTAGGAAAAGTTCACCGGCGCCAATTTTCCAATTTTTCATTGCAGGCTCCACACTGTTTTATTTACTGAACTATTTACGTCTTAGTAAGTTAATAATTCTAAGATTAACCTTTAGCCAAAGTAATTGTGTTATAATATTGTGCATTTTAATTTTCAGGGGGCCATAGGAGCTACAAGTATCATTAAGATTTTGTTGTTATTGAATATATATTCAGTCAAAATAGAACACCACTATATTGTTGTATTAGTTCATTACACTTTGCTGAATAAACATTAGTAAAATAAATACTTAATATACAAAAAAATGCAATTTTTTATAATTATTAAACATAGAGATTTGTTTATGGGCAGTTGTTTTTCATATCATTATTGTGTATAATAAAAACAATTATATATTACCTCTATATTGAAAAATATAATATCGACTGAAATAAAATAGGCTGATAAAATAGTTATTTCATCGGGTGCATTCTAAATATAGAATTTTTAAAATGATACGCAATAGGATCGTGGGAATTATCAAAATTCAATGATATACACAAATTATTAAAATATGGAATAGTTATAAAATGATAAACAAGTAGTATAGTAAATAATAAATCTACGTTTACGTATTTACATGATAAATTTTAAATTAATTCCGAAATAATGAATGCATCTAATAAATATGTGTACGCGGCATAAATCCGTCCTATGTACGAAATATGTGCAACTTGATGCGACCAATGCACGAAGAAAGCGTTGATTGGTCAATCGATTTATAAGAATCGTATAACCCGCCAATAAGAGCAAAATTGGGGGACAAAACTCAGGTTCCCCTGCAATATGGCTGTCAGTATAAATTTGATGCTTGTAACATGCGTTGCTCTCCGAAATATTTGACAAATAGTCTGTCTATCTGTCGACTTTTTCAAAATATACATCGTAATGTGATTTTCGAAGAATCAATACAGTGGGAAACGGCTATGAGGGTTAGCTGAAGTGAAGCAGTTAAATAAGTAATATATTGAAATCGGGTATGCCTAAGTTCGTCAATCATTATTTATTTATGTATCCATATTGTGTTTTCTTATAATAATATCTTCATTTTTTAGTAATATTATATCTGTCCAGTTTTTTAATCATAGTTTCTATCATAGTGCCTAAATTTTACATTATCTGGATGCTTGAACTTAAGTACCGATTAAAAAATGCGTCCCCGCAGATGTCATGTATTATTTCCACCTCATCAATCTTATTACAACAAACTTTCATCTTCGGATTTGAAAATTAACTTTTACCACTGAAATTGTTTTTCCTTCTGCTAATCAAATAATAAATAACAAACAATTTATTTTAACGTTTCTTGTACTCCATTTTATTTGGTACAATTGGTGCACTTCCTTTCCAACTTTTATACACAATATGTAAGAATGTGATGAAAGTACATTCTCAGTCAATTTATCAAGGCTTTGAGATATTTTGACAGTTTCATTCTCATGTTTTTACTTATTTTATACAAATGTTCTTACAAGCATAATTTTGTTTATCAATAATCATTAATCCCTTATATGTGTATAGAGAAATACATATATATTTTTTTATTTTAGGAATTTACTGGTGTTTACCGTTAAACATTATTTGCAAATATGACATCAAGGTAAAGCATTAATAATATATATAATTCTTATCTTAATATACTATTTATACTTATTTAAATACCAAATGTTTGTTTGTGAAATGATCCCATTTTATATGAATCCTTTTATTATTAAATTTTACATGTACAATTTTATACATTATGAAAACTGAAATTCCTATTAACCTGAGAGTATAATTACATATAATGTAATGTACAAATTATCACAGGTTGGACAGACTATTCATATTATTGGAAACTGGAACAAATGCGGTCACTAAAAGGGCTGCGGCACAACAATTAGGAGAAGCACAAAGATTACATCCTCATGATCTACATCATTTGTTAGCAAGAGTCTCGACTCTCTTAAAATCCCCACAATGGGATACCAGAGTTTCAGCTGCACAAGCTGTGCAGGCTATACTTGCCCAAGTTCCTGTTTGGGATCCGCAATCAATTAAAAAAGAAACATGTACAAGTAATTGTTATATTTCTTCTGTTCCCTAATACTGCAAATTATAATGTCTAACTGCTAATCTATAAATTATATTAATGAATAGGTGATGGGGAAGCGAAGAGACCCAGTAATAAATTAAATTTGGAAGATTTTAATATGGAAAAAGTCTTAGCTCGCAGTTCGCATCTTACTGGATCAGAAGGTAGTGAATACGATTTAATCGCTACCGATGGAGAGCAAATGTCACTTTCTAATCAAGAAGAAAAACTTATCGCTGCTAAACTGGGTCTACATCCACGATTAATGGGAGTTGATACATCAGAGTTATTTACCGCTGAAGATCTGACCCCAGTAGTATTACCACCTACCTCGAATGCACAGAATAAAGTATCTGTAAATGAAACGCTAAAACAACCAGGTGGACTTAGTAGACGTGAAATGAATAGAGCCAGACGTAAGGTAACGCGTTACGTTTTTTTTTTATCTGAATATTTCTATTATACTGATTTAAAATTCAAGTATTTTCATAATTCTTAATATGCAACATATATGTAATAGGCACGACAGTCAGTTTCGAAACAACGTTCACGAGAACCAGATGATCATCGTAGCAACGAAGATCATCATAACAATTCAAATGCTCAATCTCCTATTAATACAGGAGAACCATTCAATAAGAAAATAAAATTAGAGGAAGTGATCTCATCAGAAATCGGTGTTACTTGCAGTGCACAGAATGAATCAACCAATAGTGTACCAGATAGTACTGGTTGCTGGCCAGATTCTGTAATAGACTGGCCATTAGAGTCATTTGCCGAAAACCTTTGTCAAGATTTATTTAGTCAAAAATGGGAAATACGTCATGGAGCTGCAACTGCTTTACGAGAACTTGTAAAACTTCATGGAAAAGGTGATCAAACACTTTAAACGCAATTATTAATAATAAAATAATTATAAATTTCAATGTCGATTAAAATTTTTCGTAGGCGCTGGTAAATCAAGGGATCAGACAGCGGATCAGATGGAAGAAAATCATCATCAATGGATTATCGATGCTGCTTTACGATTATTATGCGTCTTGGGATTAGATAGATTTGGAGATTTTGTTTCTGATCAAGTCGTTGCACCTGTACGGGAAACATGTGCTCAGGCACTAGGTTCACTTTTGTTACTAGTGCCAAATCAAAAGGACGATAAAAATGAAAATAAGGGTATCATAGGAATACTGTCGGTTATGCTGAAGCTTTTAGAACACGACGAATGGGAAGCAAGGCACGGTGCATTACTTGCACTGAAATATTTACTTGCTGTACGAGATGATCTATTGGATGATATTCTACCAAGAGTATTTCCAGCCATCATGCAAGGTCTTTCCGACCCTGTCGACGATGTAGGTGCTGCTGCAGCTAGTGCGCTTATACCCGTGGCATCCGCCCTTCCACGTTTATTGAAACCATCCGAATTAGAGGCTATCGTAATTCGTCTTTGGGAGCTTCTACGCGAACAAGATGATCTAGCAGCAGCATGTAACAGTTTCATGGGATTGCTCGCTGCTATACTTTCATTACCTACAGCACGCACTTGCATTACACCTCAGCCATTATCCCAGGTAACAATTGATATCTAATTTACAATAACGTTTAAAGTTCAGTTTAACTTGAAATATGAATAATTACAGGTTTTACCACGATTATGGCCATTCCTTAGTCATTCTAGTTCGAGCGTGCGAAAAGCTACACTGCAAACGTTACAAACATTGACCGGAGAAGACGGTGCTCATAACGAAAATAAAAGGGAACGATGGGGCGACGGTGGCGGATTGGTGTTACAGGAAGCTCTTCGGCACGTTTTTCAGCGCGTACTGATCGAACATGTAACTGCCATACAAGACGTAGCTGAACGTGTTTGGGATAATCTAGTCGTACAGAGCGATCTCGAACTACTATTGCACGCGGCTTGTCCTCTCGTTAGCACGTGGCTCTGCCTCGCTATGCAACCCGAACACGTGCCATTTAATCCGAACTTATTAATGACAATAAGTACTCTTAACAAGGGGATAAAAAATAATCAAATTATCGATATTTGCGACGGACAATCAGACACTAGTAACAACGGTGGTAACAATACTGTAACCGGAAACGTAAAGTCAGTGTCCGAATTGAAAGTTTATATAGGCGGTATCGAAACCGTAGCTCAAAGTATAAGGAAATCAAACGTGGTACAGGCTCGTTGTAGAGCTTCACGAATGTTAGGATTGTTATCGCATTACGTAGTACAACCAGCTCCAGGTGTTACTTACACACCGGATATACCTAGTCCTGCAATTTGTTACGCTAAAGTATTACTGGCACATCTTAACTCGCGATCAGCACTGCAACGGACCGTTGCAGGCTTAACGATGTCTCATTGGGCGACCATAAACGATATGAAACCACCTGCGATACCAGACATTCTAAGGTACGTAGATGAATCCTTTCTTTATCTATCTGTTTCTTTAGTATAGTATAATAATCATGTATTTATTTAATAGGGACAGACTATTGGGGTGTTTAAATGAATGCGTATATTATGACGAAATAGCTGCATCTTTTACTCGTCTCTTGCACGACAGCCGTGATTACATTGCTACTCTCAAGCATTATAAATTACCTGTTCCTATTGAAACAGATGCGTCAGGTGTAATGACGCTTGATCAAATTGCGAGCCTTGCTGGGAAACCAATTTCAGAGCTTTGTGCCATAAGTAATGCCACGGGTTCCGGAGGGCCGGCTGGAAACATTAGCGGCAATACCAGTACGGTTAAACTAAAGCCGAAATTGATTGAAAGTTTAGAAGAAAGACGAAAAGCGTTAGAAGTAGGCGCTGCTGACACAGCGGCGCAACAACTTTCTTACAATGTTATGTCGATGGCAGCATTAGCTGGTGCTGCTACCATGTTACATTGCCTACCCCCGACCCCGCAACCTCTTAATCCATTAGTGAAACCACTAATGGAGGCTATAAAGCGGGAAGAAAACGAAGAACTACAAAAGTTAGCTGCAAAGCATTTGTCATACCTAGTTGATCTTTGTGTAAATAGAAAACCTTCGCCTAACGCAAAGGTATGCATGGAAGATGATATAATTTATATTACAGTCAGTTATTGTTTTTTTTTTTTCGAATAATTTGATGTACCCTTTGAATCATAGATATCGACCAATTTATGTACATTCCTATGCTCGGATATTGAATTTACACCTCGTGTGAATTGTAATACGGACTCAGATCTATTTGATGGAATTCTTACTTTAAGCAACAGACAAAAACATGCTGAAAGAGTAGCTTATAATCGAGGAGCGAACAGTGGACTCGGCGGAGGAAGAGGACCTGGTCGGCCACCGACGACTGAAATTCCATTAGAGGAATTACTTGCTTGCGAAGAGCCTGAAGCCAAAGCTGCGAGAACACGTCGTCGTGGTGCCACTTTTGCACTTACCGCTATAGGTTTGCGTCATATGACAAAATTATACACGATACAATTACATCATGTACATTTTTTATATCTTTGTTCGTAGCTACTCTCTTTGGTGTACAATTACCTACACGTTTGCCACATCTTTGGGAACTAATATTACCAAATATATTACGGGAAGAAGATAAAATCACCGGCGGTAAAAATAGTCAAGAAGAAGTAAATCAGCTAATTTTTGCTTTACAAGTTCTAGAAATTATGGCTCCGAGCCTCGACAAAGCTTTACTACCTCCTGCCCTAGAATGTCTTTCTTGTTTGTGTAAATTGTTGGCCCATCCGTATAAAGCTGTTAGACATATGGCTTCACGATGTATCGCTGTATTAGCTACATTAGACACAGAAAAGGTGAGTATTTATTAATCATTTCTTTTCATCAACTTAATAGTTATTGATTTTGTAATGTATAAATGATATGAAAAAATTATTTGTCACAGGTAGTAGTACATATTACACGTAGCGTAATACCGTTATTAGAAGCTACCGGTGGAGAAAAAGTGTACTCGATGACTGTCACTGCGCCAAGTGAAGTAGATTCTATAAGACAAGGTGCAGCTGAAGCATTAACGTGTCTTGTAGAAAATTTAGGTGTTAATATTGTCCCCTATGCTGTATTGTTCATGGTACCTTTACTTGGACGTATGAGTGATCAGAATCAGGCTGTAAGATTAGCTTGCAGCGCAACATTTGCAACGCTTGTCCAACTTTTACCTCTTGATCCTGGTGCAATTGCTAATTTACCGGATCTGGTGTAAGTTTGAAAGATTTGATTAAGTGTAATCATTGGCGTAACTAGGATTTTGTATAAGAAAGGTCCTAGATTTACTAATAGTGTCAGATGTTTAATATTTCAGTCAAAATATTTATTTCTATTGAGATGAAATTTTACTAGAGGATTTTAGGACTTTAGGACTTTGGTGAGGGGGCCAGTCTACATTTTTCGGAACAATCTAGTTATGCCAATGACTCAAATAATAGATTTTAATTTATTAAAAATATCAATTATATTCCAGAGAGAAGAAGGCACAAGAACGGAGGTTTTTAGAACAGCTCCTAAACCCACGCAGTATTCCAGATACTGAATTACCAATTCCTGTAGCTGCGGAATTGCGTTCTTATCAGCGTCAAGGCTTAAACTGGTTAAATTTTTTGAACCGTTATCGACTCCACGGTGTTCTGTGTGACGATATGGGTCTTGGAAAAACCTTACAAACCTTATGTATATTAGCATTAGATCACCATCGCAATCCGCATGCTCCACCAAGTTTGGTAGTGTGCCCACCGACTCTGACTGGTCATTGGGTGTACGAAGCGGACAAATTTTTCAAAACCAAAGATCTTTCGGTATTACAATACGCCGGCACGCCACCCGAACGTGAAAAATTACGTCCAAAAGTTACTTATCACAGACTCGTTGTGGCAAGTTACGACATAGTACGTAAGGACATTGAATATTTCGAGACTCGTCAATGGAATTATTGCGTGCTCGATGAAGGTCACGTTATAAAAAATGGGAAAACGAAAAGCGCAAAAGCGACGAAACGATTACACGCCAATCATAGACTTATACTCTCAGGAACACCGGTGCAGAACGACGTACTTGAATTGTGGTCTCTGTTCGATTTTTTAATGCCTGGCTTTTTGGGCACCGAAAAACAATTTGCGGCCAAGTACTCGCGTCCTATCCTAGCTTGTAGAGAACCGAAAGCTGGGCCAAAAGAACAAGAAGGAGGGGCTCTGGCCATGGAAGCGCTTCATAGACAGGTAATCAGTGAAAAAACACAATTACTATTTAAATTATTAACAAATTTTTACAAATCTAATATGTTATTATTTATGCCGGTCAGGTTTTGCCATTTTTACTCAGGCGAAATAAAGAGGATGTCCTTCAAGATCTACCGCCTAAAATCACGCAAGACTACTATTGCGATTTGTCACCGTTACAACGAACACTCTACGAAGATTTTCGTACTCGACATTCTGCTACTCTCTTATCTTCTACGTCGTGTACTTCATCCGCGAGTGATCCTCACGGTGGCCACGTGTTCGAAGCATTGCGTTATCTACGTAACGTCTGTAATCATCCAAAATTAGTACTGAATCCACGACATCCGCTGTATCAAAACGTTAGTATCAATGATACATTTGTTTCCTATATTTGTAACATCTATTTAATTATGTTTATTTCGTAGATATGCAATACATTGAAGCAGCAGAAGAGTACTTTGGCTGATATAGATCATGGAGCTAAATTACCTGCATTGAAGCAATTGTTGTTAGACTGTGGTATCGGGCAACCGCAACAGCAACAAAGCCGGTGTAATTCAGTGGCTACTGGCGCTACTCAAGATAATCAGCCACCGCAACAGCAACAATTAGTGAGCCAACACCGAGCATTGATCTTTTGTCAATTGAAAGCAATGTTGGATATCGTAGAGAAAGATCTGCTGCGTACACATTTACCAACAGTTACCTACCTACGGCTTGATGGAAGTATACCTGCAACGCAAAGGCATTCCGTGGTGGCACGTTTTAACGCTGATCCATCGATAGATGTGCTCTTGTTAACGACCCAAGTCGGTGGTCTTGGATTGAATCTGACCGGTGCAGATACTGTTATATTTGTGGAACACGATTGGAATCCCATGAAAGATCTTCAGGCGATGGATCGAGCGCATCGTATTGGACAGAAGAAAGTGGTTAACGTATATAGGTTAATCACAAGATCAACGGTGGAAGAGAAAATTATGGGACTTCAGAAATTCAAGCTTCTTACTGCAAATACTGTAATTTCTACTGAAAACGCATCTTTGGAAACGATGGCAACTGATCAGGTAAAATATTTAAAGTATTGTACATTGCCGAGCATGGAAGGCTTCCCTTGGGAAAATGGCATTCCGGAGGGAAAAAGCTTCGCCATTTGTATTTTGTATTCTAAAATTAAAAATTAAGGTTATGGAATTTTTAAGTTCGAAATCTTACGATTTTAATTTTGAAACTTGGCAATTTTTAAATTTTATATTGTGAAACTTAAAAATTTGTATTTTGAATTTTGGATAATGATATGTAATAATTAAGAATTGTATTAACTTATTTCAAATTAATTCCTTTACTTCTTTCCAGTTGTTAGATTTGTTTTCGTTGGAAAATAATAAAGGAAAAAGATCAGACACGCAAGAGGATGCCGTGTCTAAAATTAGCAATGTCCCAGGCGTGAGTCGTTCCGTTCTAGAAATTCTTCCTGAATTGTGGGAACAACAACAATACGACGACGAATACGACTTCGACTCATTTCTTTCCACTCTAAAGTCTGATAACCAGTGAGCTTATCGTTTTGCACATCAGTATCACCAGATGGATAAGAATTTAGTGAAATTAATGTATATGTAAAAACTGATTACGTTATTAGACGAAGGTATCGAAATCAGAGCTGATAAAGGAAACGGTTGATTCTCTTAATTTCAAGGACTGAAAGTAACAAACATTCTTTTAATTAGAAATGAAGAAAAGATATACGAATTACTTATAAAAGAAAAAAAAACACTCAGATAAATAAGTTATGGATAATATTAATTATGTACTATAAGTAAGCGAGTCTTGTTTATTTATAATAACTTATAAAAATGCTGATACAATTACAATTCTGTATTTGTACCAAACGACACCATGGTTCATATTTATTTATATTATACTAGTCTCTTCCTTTACCACTATTTTTATATCATCACAAGGTATTAATAAAATGACAGTATCAATCGTTATTGTTATTCACTAACAAATTTTTCTTCAACAGGTGTAATTCTTTCCAGTGTAACAAGTATGCAATTTTTTTCAGTGGGCGTTGAGTTTATAATTTTGATACACACCTGGGATCCAAATTTCCAGCTGCAAATATGTTATGCGGATCCAAGTGTGCTTTGGCTGCTCTGTAAAGGGACACTCCTACTTCTCCTACAGCATTCGGATAGAAACAGGAACGGAGTTTGCCTACACCATGGTGATGAGACAACGAACCACCATTAGCGAGAATCTCTTGACGCGCAATGTGTTCGATACTTTCGTATGCTTCAACCGGATTCGATAGTTTGTTGTAATTGATTGCCAGGTAGAAGTAAACACAACAACCAGAGTCGTACGTTTGCGTGATACGACAAGATATGAAGTAATGTTCCACACCACGCGCGTAACACTCTCTAGCCACACGTGATTTCACATTCCTACACAGGAAAACCGTACGGTTCCAAGCGACGGAGGTCTCGAAAGACTCGGCCAAAACGTAATAATTCAATCCCATGTCTCGAATGTAAGCTATAACAAACGTTAAAACGTATCCTCGTTCACCGTTTGATTCTCCCGCTGGAACACCATTGTACCGCTTGGCAATATTGTAAACTTTCTTTTCTTGCGCCGCCACGTCCGCGGCTGTGTCACCTTCGAAAAGAAGCGTAGCAACGCACATTTGATCGAATTTAAAACGTTTTATCCTTGTGATGTAGGCTTGTTTCAACCCTTGTACAATTAAACCACCCCAGCCAGGTTCTGGTTTCAAGGCCTGACCAAAGTGGAACTGTTCATTGTCCATTAAACGTATACTAGCGGGCTGGCATCGATCCTTGGCTACCTATTCGCAGTAATATGAAACGTTATATGTTTTAATGACACTCGGCATGTTTACAGGATTAAAAAATAAGAAACAATATACAATTTGTTATACGTATAAAATCATATGTAAGTGCTAAATTAAGCAGATTTATAAATATATTTTTGATATAATATATGTTACAATACCAAGTAGGGGTAAAATGGTGGTGTAGAAATTTAGAATTATATGTTAGTAGGTCTTTGAAACCATACAAATTATAGTGTATCTGCTTTAAGTGTATAAACGCTATTATTTTTGCAATTATTGAAAATGTAAAAATTGGTTTTTAATTTGATGGGGGAACCTTAACAGAATTTATTCATTTTTTTTCTTAATTATTATTTATAGAGAAAAATAATTGAAAATAATTAAAATTTTCATTTTTTTTTTTCATATTTTTAAATACACGCTGAGTAAAGGACGATAACTCTAATCGCACTTGAGATTTTCTACTAATATACGTACAGGTAACTGATAAATTATTCAAATGTATTCATTATACACTTCGTTAAAAACATGGAGTTCCATTAAAACAGAAATTACACTATTTCTATCTCTATAAATAATAATTTGAAATAAGGTTGCAATTTTTTATTTAGTTGAATAATTAACTCAAACAACTTTCATATGGAACATTTTTTTTTGCATTTTTAATACACTGATCCAGTAACGCAACTGGGGGATCCCTTCTTTTATGCGAGTTTCCATTTACGCGGCAATAATATTTTTATAATTTTGTCAAGAACGAAACAAACGAGTTCCTTACTACCACGAATACAACGTTTTCTGGTGTAAGGCGTATCACCATACTTACAGGGGTATGGGAATCCTATTTACGTCATTATCAACCGCGCGAGATCTAAAAGAAACCATGGGAACAGTGTAGATAGAAAAATAATAGCGTGCATGCACTTAAAGCAGGCATACTGTGTAGTTAGATTCAGTTCTGATTTTCTTACTTTACACTAATATCAAATTGAAAAATATTCTGTGTAATGTTATATAAAAATATAGGTCTAATAAATATTGTGAGCCATATTAATTCATTAAATGCTATGCTTTTAATTTTACAAAGTTTGTTAAGTTACAAATTCAATAAAAATAAAAGTTAAATTTTTAGTAAATGTTTACATTTGAAAAATTATATTAAATGGGTTAAGTAGCGAAGGAAGTTGTCTTTTATCTGCAGTAATTCTGTAAACATGCAAAATGTCACTAAAATAAGCATAACAATTTTACAAATGATTTTGTCGAAATTATGTTTATAATATTTCAATCAAATTTACCTGTCGCAATGCTGACACGCCAGTTTGAAAATTTGGGAAAACTATGCTACCGTATTTGACTATTTTTGGTATTGGCCTAATCTTCAATACAACTTCTGTGATGACACCCAGTGTACCTTCGCTACCAAGTATCACGTGATCGAAATCAGGACCACAAGAAGCTCGTGGAACCAATGTGCCCCTTTCCAACGTTATTTCCGGGTCATCTATCCTACCGGTAACCATTCTTACTCGTACGACTAAGTCTTCAATGTTTCCATATCGATTCTTCTTCATGCCACTTGCCCTTGTGGCAACCCATCCACCTAAACTGTTCTTTCAAGAAATAAAAACAATTATGTCACTAACAGTAGATTAATAATTAATCTATTAATTTTGATAAATAATTTGGAAACAAATTAATAGGATTTTTGTTTAATAAATATTATAAGATTTAGTATATAATTAAGTAATTCAATTTTTCCCGCGTAAACGTTTATACGTTGGGAGCTTAAATTATTAATTTTTGGATATGTATGAGGTGTACTAAAACTATTTGCATTTTAGGATCAAGGGGATAGTTAATATTTTTTCTCTTTTAATGGAATATCGTGTACCTAGAAAATTCGTAAGAATCAGGTTCGTGACCGGAAGTCAGACCTTGCAGTCGGAGTTGCCTTTCGAGATCCTGACCGATAATACCAGTCTCGCAGCAGATGATTAGATTCTCCCTGTCTAACCATAATATCCTGTTCATCTGCGATGTGTCCAGTAATATTATCGTTCTTCGTTCATTTTCTGGACAAGAGGCTGCACCACTGACGCTTGTTCCACCGCCGAACGGGATACAAACTGATCCGTAGTGAGCGCATAATTTGATTATTTTAACGACGTCCTCGTGGCATTCTAGAAACGAATTAATATAACCAGATTAATTAAATAGAACACTTTCAATATTAATACTGTTAAAATTATGATCTTCAGGGTTCGTGTTTCCCCTATATCGCCATTTTCACTAGGGGGATCCTGATTTGATCGCGAGTGTACGAAGTTATTTACATAAGTAACGAAGAATCCTTGACACAGGTAATTTAGCAATTATTTACATAACTAATTGCTTTTTGCATGCGCAAATGTCTTTACTGTCAACCTTATATGCCATTTCTATGAATATACAATAGAATGAAATTACATTGAAATTTTCCATTTTCGAAATTTCTTTTTGCAATTATCACTTCATTTGCAGTGTATGTACCTAAATGTAACTTACAATCATTAGCAACACTAAGTATCTAAATATGATGTACTTTGAAACAGATAATTGGTTTTACCTTACTCATGTGATAAAATATGGTATTAGTATATGATAAAAAATAATTGATATTTTCTAACGAAACTTGTTTGCTATTTATACCATTTTTTTTCATTTTAAAAGATTAACTTAAGATCAGTAGTTGCATTTATTTAATTCAAAAAGATGATTTTAAATATCCTACTTTATTTTTTCATTTAAACTATAGTTTAAGATGATACAAGTTAGAAATGTAAAAAGCAAATTTTATTCGACATTCAATTGAATGCATGTGCAGTCGTTTAATTTATTTACGCTTACTTCGTGGCTATGGATTAGTGTGGAAATGCATTCCGGAAATTACAGTACGCAACTAAGTCAAGGTTTAAGTACTCTCGCTCACCCCACCGTTATCCTAATCGGCATCGATTGTAAAACTGTGTAAATAGTTCATGTGAAAGACTATGAAAATGAAAACGAAACACGATAAAGTACTGATAATGTTATGATAAAAATAATGACTGTAACAAATGAGGTAATGTAGGTAAAAGATTATGTTCGATTTCTGTGAATGAGATACTAAGAAACAAATACTCTCAATATTTGACCTGAAAATTAATCAAACACGTGTAGCAAGTGGTGTTACATTCGACACCATTTCATTTTTCCTAATGATATTTATTTTCTATTTTACACCATTTTAGAGCTATAAGACAAATTATTTTATGGTAAAGATGTCGATACTTTTAATTAACCCTTTTTCTTATGATTGTTGTTCAATAGTTGCGTCAGTCATTGCATGAATTTTAAAACAAGTAAAGAAAATTGAAATGCCATGCATACATGGCATCCAAGGATTCTTGACTGAACAAATTAGACGAACCAACACTAGAAATACCAGTCAAATTTCACACATTTGAAGTGTAAGTTGCGTCACGACTGCGACTCGATGTTATAAGGCAAGGGGTTAAATAAACTAAATGTAACAATTCCTATTGCCATTAAAGTAGAAAAAATATTTTACTCGAGATAATTATTATTTTTTTCTTAAAGAATTATGAATTACTCACTTGGCCATACAACGATGTCCGGTACCCTCTTGAACGACCCATGTCTCAGAAGATAAATATCGCGAAGCGTGTGTCCGTGTGCTCTAACTAATCGATCGATACCTTTCGTGGAATATTCGATTTTTAACTCTTGAATCGCTTCCAATAATTCCAATGAAATAATTGGTTCCGGTAAGTTCGTTGGCATCGGTTGAGATGGTTGCTTTTTGTTCAGGTCTACGCCAAACATGTCTTTGACCCATTGTGTGAAATATGGAAGTTCCTTATTTCCAATGGGATACCTACAAACATCTTCTGTTATTATTAAATTTATTAGTAAAAATAATTGAGCTTCAGAATCGTGTCGTAAATATTGTTTCTAAAATTTTTTACTTATAATTCATAAAAAAATATTGCATAAAAATAAATGTACCAAAATCATTTGTTTATATTAAAATCTAGCAGAAACTGGGATTGAACGATTCAATTTTTAAGAAGAAACAAGAGAAGAGACTAAATTTTATTAAAAATTCACATAACTTTATAACAATAAAGAATAATAATAATAAAAGAAAAAATTTCTTTTCATCGTATTACATAAATAATACAGTAACGTGTGAAGAGTTGGAAATAACGAGTTAAAATCTAAGTTCTATACTATAGAACCTATAGTATTAGATGTGTTTAATTAGTATATCTTATCACGATAACTTCTCGTGAATTTTAAAATAAAATGATGGTATAAAATGAATCGTGATGGTATAAAATAAAAATTGCAAATTACATCACATAATTATTGTCACATCTTCAAAGATTAAATTATTGTTGAAAATTTAGAATAAAATTTAAAGCGAGATTAAATGAACACGAATCAATATTTACAATCATGACTGTAAATAAATTTCAAATAACGATTGCATGATCATAGGAAAAGCACGAAGAATTTATTCCAAGGTTAACTTGTTCATCTTATTAAATATCAGATGATGCACTTATAAGATGCACTCATTAGATATTCATTTACATTCATTACATTTCATTGTTTGAACAGAAACGAGCCTGCTTAATCAAATTCTCAACATTGAGAGAACAAATATGAAGAAGATGGAATTTCTTGCACGTGGCTTACGACACAGCAACGAAACGAGTTTCAAACAAGACATTCACTGTGAACGTAACGAGACACAGATAGACGAAATGATCTATTAAGGGAAATTCGATGGAAAATATAGGAGAAAAAATAGAAAATTTTCTTAAATTAACACGTGAAATTAAATCGTATCTATAAACATTTTGCTGCAATGATATCAGTAGTGTTAGATGAAGTGAAATTTTAAATACAGCGGACTCTCGTTATATTGCCAGGCGAGCGATTTGCTTTTCACAAATTTTCAATCATGAGTTACGAAAATGATACAATCTTATCTTCCACTTTCTCCTTCGACTGAAAACAAAATTAGTCGAAGTTTATAAAAGATAGATAATATGAACTGCCAAAAATAAATAGGTTTGTATTTTTACATAGAGTTTAAAATTAAGCTAAAGAGTTTATTATTCGTTATTATCTTTCCTGCAAGTTAAAAAAAAAAATTGTTTCACATTACACCGTGGTCTCTGTTGGTTATTTCCATAATGCTAGAATGTATTGTGAATGCATTTACTTCAACATTATACGAATTTCACATCATGGCATTGTGCCAGAATGCGTTGTGACTCTAGAGCAGCCGGAATGGTCGTCGCCGGGTGACCCGCGCATCACATTTTTTATAAACGAATAATTAATATCGACAAAATTAAAATTTTGAAAATTCCTACCTTTCCGATATCGGCATTTTTGCTGTGGAAACCTACTTTGTTAAATAATGAACATCGAAATACAACCAATGAATTTTAATATATTAATAAATCTTTTAAACTAGACATTTTCAATAATTCTCTAATTACTCTATAACCCGTGAGGTAATGAGTTCGCTTAGTAGACCCTCGTTATATTGCCGCCGAGGGGCCTGTAGGAATGAAAAATTTGTCAAGCTTCCAAACTCCCATTTGAAGGGGGGAGGCGAAATAGAAATATATCATTTTAAACTTTAATTTTTAAAGTTTAATTCTCTTACTGTACCGATCACAAGAATCATACAGTTTTATAAAAAAATAATTATAAGACAAAATTAAAAAAGAACATTTCTTTCCAAACCTTATGTAAATTAGTTATTAAATAACAAATATATTATATTTGTGATATCAGTTACAAACAGATGTTATTCATACTAGACTTACCTGTCGCCAGTAAATTCGATGATATTTTTTTCGTTTATACGAAATTCTGAATCCTTGTATCCCCAGCCATTCCACTTCAATAAATCTTGCCTTTAAAGATTTGAAAAGAAACATACGATTATTTGACTCACAGCATCGCCACTTCGAAATATTAACAATATCGGTTGAAAAAGTGGAGTTGTATGTACATCAATATATTTGCAATACATTCGGCGCGCAATTTTTCGCGCCACGTGACTGATCAACAACCAATCGGTAAAATCCGTATAGCTTTCTGGACAACAAGTACCCGGTAAACGAATCGATTTTGTATAAGAAATACTAACTGACAGGAAAAAATAATAAGAAAAGTTGATCGTTTCGATGTTCGCGATTATTTATTGGGTAATTATATAATAACGTTCGTATGCACAATCATCATCATCGGACGAGAAAATGTTATCGATCGATTTCTCTTTCTCTTTCACGCTTGAGCAACATAAGGGATGCTTTAGATTCGTAACATCTGCCGATGAGTCAGCTAACACTTGCCTCAAGGCGTGGCTACAAATAATTTAACAAAGGCTCCTTCCTCTTGTGGATATTTTTCTCGATATTGTTACTGACATATTAGAGATTCAATAGAAACTGACAGAAACCAGAATTCGCCGGCACAAAACTGACCTTTCTTTTGGTACAACACTCTGGACACAAATCGGTCCGTATAAATTCTCCACATTCTCATTAGCCCCATTTTTCGGATTACTCGACATATCCTATTAAGTGGAACCGCGAAGGGCCTAACCTTTCGATTCGCACAAAACACGGCCAGCAAAGCGTATATAGATGCTTGAGCGCGCGCTCTTCACGGCACTGTGTTGACTATTGACACGCGCACCGGCAAACCAAATTTAAATCAATAGAGCCCCCGCTTTACGGCTATCCGCCTACCAACAGATTTCCTCGTGAAAGGCAACCAATCGCTTATACCCGATGCATTCTCGTTGTAAAATAACGAACATTCTTTATCTACTAATGACAGGCTGACTCACTACGTTTACCGTTCTTCACACATGTTCTATGATATTGTTACTGTGCTTGCCCAAATTGAGGGATTCTTTTCATGAAAGGGATTTCTTACGCATGCGCAGTTACACATTTCATATGAGGGATCCTAAAATTTATCATATGTTTATTCAAGTATCAAATTATTCAAATTATAGGTTATCTAATCTAATAGTAATTAACAGAACATATTTGAAATATTTTAGAGCAATTAAATAACCATTTAGATATATCTTTCATACTGTATATGAATTTTATCATTAATATCGTAATATATAATATATATTGAATACTGAACATGTAGGAATGATGGTATGTTAGAAATCACTTGAACATGAAAAGTTTTTAATGATCAATGTTAAATATTTTATTTATGTATTAAATTATTATTTGTAGTACATTTTTGAATAGATTTTAGTCAAACATAACCTGGATGCACATTTGACATAAACTAATTAACCCAATATAACCTGGATAGTACTGGCTTATATCTGTATGTACTGCTGGTAACTGCTGGATCTGCTGAATATACACGAATCAGTGACTACAGATGCAAAACATTGGACATGCCTTTGTTCTCAAGGGTCATGATTCAGGGGATCCCAAACACCCCCAGATGAGATTAGGTTTGCACCTATGTACATGAAGCTAGCCGGAAGAAATAATAAAATATGATTATTTTTAATTTTTCTTAGTGTATTTCGTTTGTAAATCGTTTGTGATTGATTGTGAGTCTATTTTTAACGTTTGTGACAAATTACTTCCTTTGTAATTAGCAATTTTATTTCAGTCATGATGTGAGCCGAAACATTTTAGTAATTTTTTATAATAAACAGATTTTGCGATAACTGATAACTGTAATTGATTGGCAATCGTTTGTGATTTACAAATATATCATTTTCATTGTTTGTGAGTGAATAATTTCTTAATTATTTACAAGTTTGTTTTATAATAAATAATTGTAGTGCGCGTGCGCAACATATACTCAGGACTCTTGCCAACAGAGAGCGTAGCGGAAAGCGTTTAACTTTTTTGTTTTATATTCTATGGGCAAAAGCTTTTTTAATTTTTTGGAGCAACTGTCATTGTGTTGAAGATCTTTTATGTAGGTAGCTAAAGGCATACATATACCCTTATTTTATTTTCTGCGTTCATTTAATTTGCTGCAATTATCTTGTTAGCTTAGTAAATAAACTCCTTAGGAGGATGAACGTCTGCACCTTTTGTATCTCTGATTCCACTATATCTCTGCACCCTTATAACACTGCATTCCTTACATCCCAGCAACCCTTACATCTCAGTATTCCTAACATCTCCGCATACTTTTCATCCCTACATTCCTTTCACCCCTAAATTCCTTTCATCCCTACATTCTTTTCATCCCTACATTCTATTCATCCCTGCATTCCTTACATCGCTTCATCCCTTATATCCCTACATTCCTTACATCTCTTTATCCCTTACATCCCGACATTCCTTACATCTCTTCATCCCTTACATCTCTACATTCCTCACATCTCTTCATCCCTTATATCATTGCATCCCTTACATCTCCACTTCCCTTACATGCCTATATGCTTTACATTCTTGTATCACTTATATTCCTGCATTCCATACATCCCAGTACTTCCCTGAAATTAAGTTCAAATTTTTGCGGCTATAAGGCTTGCGATTTTATACAAATTTAGTTCCTTTTTTCGCCACTAGAGGGCGCTGATTCGACATCGAAATTTTAGTTCAAATTTTTGCTGCTAGGGGGTGCTGTTTTTCGAAATTTTCGCAAAATTCTCGAAAAATAGCGCCCCCTAGCGGCAAAAATTCGAACTAAAACGTCGGTGTCGAATCAGCGCCCCCTGGCAGCGAAAAAAGGAACTAAAGCACACCAGAATTTTGGCCCTCTAGCGGCAAAAATGTGAACTAAATTTGCGACGTCGAATCAGCGCCCTCTGGCGGTGAAAAAAGGAACTAAATTTTGCAAAAATTTAAATTTAAAATTAGTTTTCACAAGACATTACTTACCTTTACTTACCTTTACTCGAAGTAGTCTTTAAAATATATTTATTATAAGGGATGCAGAGATGTAAGAAATGTAGGGATGAAAGGAATGTAGGGATGAAAAGAATGTAGGGATGTAAGGGATGCAGAGATTTAACGGAACGAGGGATGTAAAGGAATTCCGTAGAGGTGCGGGTCTGGGGCCCCGGTGTAGCATCGGGTGTGGCCCCCGATGTCGGCGGAGTTTGGCACATGGTGGAGGGTCAAGGGACCCTACCGCCCTAGTGCAGGCCACCGTGGTGGTTTTAGTGGGTAAAACTCCCACACTACCTCCGGCCCCTCCCCAGGAGGGCTGAAGGTGTCTTTCTGAAGATTTCCACCACGTTAAAAAAAAAAAAAAAAAGTGTATTTAAGGGTTACAGGAATGTAAAGAATGCTGGGATGGAAGGAATGCAGGGATGTAAGGGATACTGAGATATCCTTGCCGTATAATGACAGATAAAATTATATTAATAACTAGAAAAAGTAAAATAAGTGGAGTCCTCGGTTGAGACCCAGAAGAGGGATATAATCATAAATGTTATTCCCCTTCGATGAGGTTATTTAATAAGCAAAAAAAAATAAATGAAGTAAATTAAATAAACTCTGGAAAAAAATTATACTGGATGTGCCCTCTTCATACGGACCTGATATTATCCAGGGGTGTTAGGGACCCCGATGCGCCAATGACGCCCTATGCGTACTGACCTGATATCATATTGGGGTATTAAGGACCCCGATGCGCTGGTATCTATCTTAGCATACCAATAATATAGCATCCGGGGTGCCAGGGACCCCACAGCACCAAGGACTATCTCTGTACACCGACATGATATCATCTGGGGTGTCAGGAACCCCAAAGCACCGGTGACGCTGTTTGCATACCGACATTTTGGCATCCGGGGTGTCAGGGACCCCGAAGCATGGGTGACACTGTTTGCATACCGACATTTTGACAACCGGGGTGCCAGCGACCCCACAGCACCAATGAGTATCTCTGTATACCGACATGATATCATCTGGGGTGTCAGGAACCCCAAAGCACTGGTGACACTGTTTGCATACCGACATTTCGGCATTCGGGGTGTCAAGGACCCCAAAGCACCGATGACACTCTTTACTTACCGACACTACGGCATCCGGGGTATCTGAGACCCCGAGGTACCAGTGACGCTGCATACCGAAATCGTGCCACCGGGGTGCCAGGGACCCCAAAACAAATAGCGAAATATAAGACCTAAAAACGAACAAATCTTGAAACTCACTTGTTCGGGATAGTGATGGGTACGACCGGATCTAGCGAAATATAAGACCTAAAAACGAACAAATCGTGAAACTCACTTGTTCGGAATAGTGATGGGTATGACCTAATTCGATCCTGGGGTGTCTGGAACCCCTTGGAAACAAAGGCATGTCCAGTCTTCTACATCTGTAGTCACTGCCAGAATAAACGCATGTTTAATCTTGTTGGATCTGGAGTTCTTGGGATATACATAAATGTATGTACAATGGTGCAAACAAAAATGCAACCGAAGTTACTCAATGTAAACAGAATACCTCATCGACCAAAAAAACGTAGGAAGATAACTGTTGTATTTGATGAGAAAAAAAGACGGTATTTATAACTAATTGCTAGAATTAACAAAATTATGAACATTATGAGCATTACATACTTTTAAATACAGAGACTTTTTAAAAGGATTTCGTAAAAGAAAATTACAACGAAAAGAAAAAGCTGCAGAAAAATTGCAACAACAGTTGAAGGAAGAACGAAAGAAGATTAAACAAGGAGTAAGTAGGTACATGATTTTCATGTTTGCAATAATGATATGATACATTTATTTTCATAGGTACGAGAAGAGTATAAAAGCTTGGTATCAAGTCGGGATATTCCTGAAATTCAACAATTATTATCTCAACATGAATATGAAACAGAGGGGCATACCATTAGTATCTTGGAGCTAAATGTTGCAGATCTGACAGACAATGCATTAATTGGTGAAAATAAAAGTAACATTGAAACAGAAGAAAATGAGAAAGAGGAAAGTGATAACAATTCTGAAGATGAAGAAGAGATTGAAGGAATGCCTTTAAATGAAAAAACTAAAAGCACAACTTCAAAGAAAACTATTGAAAATAAATTAATTGGGAATCAGAAAGACTTGAAGAAAGCAATAAAGAAAGCTACATTAAAACAAGTAAAAAAGAGTAAAGTATTCCAACGAAAACAGAAATTAGAACGCCAAAAAAATAAGAAAGAAAGTATGAGGAAACAAAAACGTAATGAGAAAATTCGGAAACATAATGGAAAGCTTAAAAAAAAGTTAAAGTAATAATATTTTTGAATTGTGTTCTTTAAATATTGTAAATATAAATAAGTATATTTTATAATGAATAGTTTCTTAATTTTATTTTTTCTGCTAAATGGACATATCTTTATTCAGACATTTGCTGTATTTGGGAAATATAGGTATGCAAATTTCTTGTTCAAATCTAGTGACCAGATGATTTACATTGCTTCAAAGATTTTTTGAAAGCAATCCTTCCATTGTAATTCTTACTTCCTCTGGACACCGATCTGATATGATCTTGGGATATTAGGGATCCCGATGCACCGGTGACGCTCTGCATTTTGATATTACGTTTACCGGGGTGTCAGAGACCCCGATGCATCGGTGGCGCTCTCTGCATACCGACTTGGTTTCATGATGGGGTGTCTGGGACCCCATAGGTCACGAGTCCTCGAAAACAAAGGAGGTAAATTGTCGTGTAGTTTCCACCGTTTCTGTATAGATGGCACTAAGATCGAATTTTAAAAATAATTTATGGCGGTATTTTTAAAATACAGGTTTGTCAAACATTTATTTCAATAGTTCTTTGGTCTCGTATTAAATAAACTCTAAAAATATTACTTTACATAATATGTCAAATAATGGAATTAAAAAAACATACACGCATTATTTTACAGTTATTTATTTTGTTTACATAATAAGGATACTTACATAAATGAATGAATAAGTTGTTAATTATTATAGTACAGATTTCATACAAATTATTAAAAAAAATATTAATGTTATGTATAGTCATTCTACAATAGCATTGAATCCAGATAAAAATTTCATTCTTTTCGCTTTAAATATTTCTGTTCATAAAATTTTATTAAACAATATAAATAGTTCAGTTCTGTTAACAAAAGTTACAATAAACTCAATAAAAACTTAAGTTTAATAACATATTATTTATGAATAATTAAGTTTTTATGTAAGATAAAAATTGGTCTTTAATAATAAATGCGATTTTAATATTAAATAAAATTAAATCTATGTATAAATAAAGATTGCCACTTAAAAATATTTTAATAATCTTTTCTGATTTATACCCGATCGTTAAAACACCTTGATCATACATTATCTTATATTTACATATATTACCCAGTCTCAATAGATATGCGAAAAGTTAATAAAACAGAGTCCAAAATTCATTGAAACGTTTAAATACATATAAAAATGTATTTGTAATAGACATACTAATTAAACTGTATGTAATTAAATACATTAACTATAAATAATGCAAGTATAAAAAGTGATAAAACAATATAACAAACATTGTGCAGTGCATTCCTTTCACTGCTTTGTATCATACCTATTCCAATGAAATTTGAAAAAAGAAATTGCCTGGTATTGTAATTTATGTACGTTATCTTAATATATATGTACATAATCGTTTACTTTGCTAATACCACTACACGTTAAAGCTTATTTTTCCATCTACATATAGTTGAGCGAACATTTTATTAAAGATATTGTCAATCACAATAAATGTTGCCATTGTATTTAATTTGGATAGAATAACCATTTGTTTATACAAGTATTCATAACTGGTCCGTTTCTCTGACCAATAATGCACTGGCATGAAGGAAAATGATTGTTATACTAATTGTAAAATTGATATTAGTATTACTACTAAAGATATAATTCATTCAAAGAATATTGAAAATTAAAAAGAGAAAAACATTTTAATTCAGATTTTTTTTTAATTTTCCATTTATAATATCTGGATCCAATGCTCATCTAACATATTACCAATTATAATGGACGGAGTGGAGGAATGCATAGGTTAAAGCCAGGGGTCAAATTTAAAACCGGGACAAATATAATTACATGATACCTTATGTTAAAACTTGTGCCAATAATCTACAGAAATAAAACTTTTTACATTTTAAAATTACTTAGGCAAAAAATGCAATTGAATTTACAGACTTAATATTGACTAAAGTTGCTACTGGAAAAAGCTAAGGAGGATTAATTATCCTGTTTGTAAATAAATCAGGTATATGACAAATGGCAGAAACTGTGATTCTTATTAATTCACATAAAATTAATAGAATGTCCGTATCATGTGTTTTTACTACACAATGACAGACTTAACTTTTGTACTCAACCTGGAATCTGATTAGCAATGGTATTAGGACCAGAAGAAACAGCTGAGGGAATCACAGAATCCTGCATTAGGGTACGTGTTTCCTCCTCTTGATCAGAAAGTGGTATTGCCGAAACGTCATGGGGAGTTGTTTGTTTCAGCTTCAGTTGACTCGGCAGCTCCGTGAGTACTGGCCCGTACTGCGAAGTGGAACCCACCAGCAAGTCAGTTGATGGATTCAAACCGCCCAACATCTTTCCTCATAGCAACGCGTATATAAGATAAAGAAACAAACGTACGAACCAGAGCACGGATGGCTTCCAGTAAATAAAACCAAACTCAAAATATACGTTTACTAAAACCACTTTGCTTACCTGACCACTGCTTCCAACCATTCCGCTTCTTGGAGATTTGCCATGATGGAAGAAGCGGAGCCATGCCCAGACAAAACCCAACAGGAGTCCTATCAACATCATACCTGCACCTAATGCTATGGAACTTTTTGCAGTATCTTCAACTTGTTCTTCGATATTTGTTGCAGATGTTGTTGAAGGTTCATTCATCTTTATCTATAACCATTTGTTAGCTTATTTTTATGTATCGTATAATTAAAAAATTAATAAAATTATCTCATTTTAATCTTCTAAAATGTATTTATCCTATCGGTATGAAAGTATATAAAAATTAATTTTATTTAAATATTTATAAAACAGTGGGATTTGGTTATTATAATCTCTTGTTTATTTAATAACAACTATTTTTTATCCTATGCTTGATGTTATAAAAAAAGCTCCAAGTCCCAAAGCGATTATAATAAACAGATCCCACTACAGTTATACAAGAAACACAGAACAACATTAGATATAAAATAAAGAAAGGTTTCAAAACTGCTATTGGCCTTTCACTTAAATCCATAGCTAAACATAGTAAAAAAGATTAATAATAAATTATCAAAATATAAATATTTATACATCTATAAATATAACATACAGAAATATGCAACTTATCAATTAATAATGTAATGATTATACACTAAAGGGTTAAAGTTTCTGCATTTCTCAGTTTCTGAACTTAATGTTCAATTGACACAGTGGTAAAATATCGTAGGAAGTTTTTCTTTTATTGTGATTTGAGGAACAGTTATTAAAAGTGCATATTCCTTATCTCATGAATTAGTTTCATTAAATACATGTTGAAAATATGTTTTTAAAAACTAAAATATTTATTTATATTGTAAGAAGTGATCAGTTTTAAAATTACCTGAAATTTATTTTCCTGTGACGTGCCATCAGATATAAAACTGACTAACATTGTTGTTAAACCAGCAACAAAAGACGACACAGCGACCGATAGTAATACCCATTCAAACCATCTTCTAGAACTAAGTTTATGTCTGGATATAATCCTCCAGAAACCATTTCTTAAACCTCCACTACCTCCAGCACCATCACCTCCGCTATCATACGTATAACCCACTGTTGTGGGTTGATAAACAGCACCACTGTCTGGCATATCTTCTCGCGAGATGTACGCAATTTTTGCAATTTTATGCCCAACAACGGGCACTTTAATCACTTGCGAATCTTCGTTCAAAATCTACTAACCAATAGGTGAATAAAAAACGATTACATTGAATCTACTACGCAGAATAATACACTCTTGTTAAAGTGTCAAACTGTCAATTTTAGATTGAGGCCTGTAGTTTTTTTAAATATTTTTATTTCATTTAGTGCAATATTAATTATCCACGATTTTATTGCTATTATTCATTCGCAATGCAGATACAATGTGCACATACGATGTATAGATACGAAGACGTCACAGGACCAAAAACTTACCACGAACTCTATAAGTATCATGAGATAAAGTTGTATGGATCTGTATGATCACATCCCATCAGGGGTTGCTGTGTCGCGGTTGTAAATTATACCAAGAACACGTGATGAATGGAGGCAAGTATAAATCTGAAAAATTAGTTATTATTTTTAAGAATTTAAGGCAAAGAAGCAATATTTTCTCATGATTGGTTTTTAAAAATATTCTTTATACTATTATACACCGCCGTACAAAGCCAGAAACTTCAGAAAAACTACATTTTTATAGAAGAAAATCTTTTGCAATTTTTTCTAAAAAGCGTTCTTAGAATGTTTTATCAACAAATGTCTAAATACTTTGCGTGAAAAATATGTATATTTATCCCTTTCCTCTTTTTCTCTACAAATAAAATTCAACATTTCTTTGCTTAATAACCTCTTCAATGTGCGTTTAATTATAGAATAGAGCACCATATGTAAAATTTCAGAATGACTGAATGCAGTATATTAAATTCTTCTGCTTTATGAAGTTTCTATTTTTATTCTGAAATTAAATAAGTTTGTTCATCAAACTGCGAATTCAAATGTTCTCATTCTTATTTATAACAATTATTATACTATAATTGAATTATAGTGATATTGAAATTACGTTCTTCGTTTATAGGCATTCACTCACTCACTAATTTCGCCCCTAAAGGGGCCGGCGCTATTGGGGACTTATCTGTCCCCATATTGCCCAACGAACGCTATCGTCCACGCGCATCGGGGATGGGCTGGCAGCACCGCCAACCCCAAAACTCGCGCATTGTTTAAATTTCTCCCTCTTTTCCTCTCGATACTTTTACTTCTGTATACTTGTCCATACTTTTAGATCCTATACTCAATCCATACTTTTAGTGTCCGCTCATCTTAATCGGTGTGTGTGTGCGTGTGCGTGCATGTGTATATGTATGTGTCTGTGTGACCCCTTTTAGTCGCCTCTTACGACAGGCAGGGGATACCGTTGCCGTATTCTAAACCCCCCGAGCCATAGGGGCCGGTTTATAGGCACAAAGATAATAAACAAAATCAGCGATAAAAGCGAACATGTTTAGTAACGTTCACCTTTGCCCGATGCTGTTTCTCCTCCGTAGCCGTATGTAAACATAACAGAGTGCAAGTCACCCCCGCCCCCCACCACTGTTTTATACTATATAACTGTTTTATAGGTAGGATTCACCATTGGTAGTCGAACGTAGCCGAGTATAACCGAAGAGAAACGATCCTTAACACCACTTCAGAGACTGGATTTCGCACGAACAGCCTGAGCTTGCGCGGTGCTTTCGAAAGGCGCGTCCTGGCTTGCTCGGTTTCTCTACACTCGTTAGCTTTTACTCGTCGACGAGCTTTCGTGCTGGAGTGTGCGCGTCTAGTCGAACCGAGAAAGAAAAAGAATTTAAAAAAAAAAAAAAAAAAACAGTATTCCTGTTTGCGTTCGATTTAGTCGGCACGAATTAATTTCTTTTTTTAACAGACGAGTCATTCGAACCGGAAACGGTCGATAGAGTCGTTCAGCTCGCGAAAATGTAACGGTTGAGTGGATCAGTTGTCTGGAAATTAGCTTCGTCGAATGAAGATCACATCCCGTATTACGGATCGTGAGTGAAGCATCTTGCGGAGGAGCTCCCATGGCGTGAAAATCGGAAGCACAGTTCAACGATATTTCATCACGGAAGTTTGAAGCTTGATAACAATCAGGTATGTTCAAGCTCGTTTTGTTCTATTTTAGTTAGATCCAGTTGGTTAGCCAGCTGCTGGATTTACGACCTAGCCGCTTAACTACCTTGCTTGATTACCGGCTTTTCTTAGTACTTTTGGTTTTATACTATAGTGATATTTTTATAGTTATATACAGTGATTTTTTGAAGGATGATGTAATTTGGCACTAGCTTTTCAACTTCATTTTGTTAAATTTATAATTGAACGATTACTACTGAATAATTTTTTTTACTACTTTGTTATACTCAACTACATTAACAATTTGCATTTTATGCAAAATTACCGTTGATCATTTAATTGACTACACATATACATCTGTACGACGCAGTACGTTGTTGGTCTCCCCTTTAACCTTTCCTTCAGTACTACTTAACTATTACGATGTATGAATTTTAGTGTATTTTTTTATCTGTCATGACTTTTATTATCAGTATTGGTAAGTTCTTCTCTAATTCTGAACACTACGCGTATGTTAAAGGAATTATATTAAAAAAATTTAGATTTTGTTTTACATATTTAAGTAGTAATAGCTACATGAACTTTCCAACCTTCGGACGGTGGACTATGGAGATAGCCACAATTTCAATTTTATTTTATTTCATATCATTTTCATTTTTTCGAATTTGTTTACAACACGGTTATAAAAAGACAAAAAAAAATGTGTAGTAGTATAATATTCTTAACTACTTGTTATGTTGTAAGAAAGGTGTTAAAGTGTTGCAACCTTCTCGATTTTTTCAAATTTTAATAATTTTGAAGTTAACAGTAGTTTAATTGCAAGTCATTAATTATACCAAGCAAAAAATGTTAAAATTAATCTCATTTATTAGTATAATTTTCTTACATCTTTAAACGTGCTCGTTTTGGCGCAAAAAAATTTAGAAATTTTCTGTGGCACAGAGCATTGACGACGCGCCCCTATGATGAGCTTTGGTGTCGCGTCGGTGCGAGGCGGTTGCCTGATCACGGGGCGTCCTTCGTTTTCTTACATTTCAATATCTCATAGGGAATAATCCCAAATTCGCAAATTTAAAAAATTATGAAACATTATAAATATGTAGGCAATGTTCTCCTAATGAAAAGGCAATTTTGGTCTAAACAGGTTAAAATCGCTTTTAAAATTTTGGTCGTTTTACGTTTTCTCCTTTTTCTCCGAAACCCTTAGAAATACTATGATTATTCTAGTATAACTTACCCGTTTTACTTTTTTAAAAAACTTACAAAATAAACCAAAAATCACTTCACCAATTAAGGCTTACAATGCTTGCAATTAGACCTGGTGCAAACGAGCAACTTGTTGACGAGATTTCGCACCGGAGACGCCGTGAGATTCGGTGGACGAGCGATGTGACGTTGTATCAATGAACGTAACTATTCACACGTGACAATAACAGCAGGGGAGTGACATTGTAAACCTGGAACAAAATGAACGCATACACGTACAGTAGTCGTTCGATATAAATTCTCTACACATTTGAGGCTCTAAAAATGGAAATGAGGTATGACATGAGATCAGGGATTCGATGAACGCGTTCAATAAGGCCTAATTATCTGTTCCGAGGATAGGCAAGCAATCATGCACAAAGAATTGGGGGCTTGAATCGACCGATATCAAAAATTAGAACAGTTCAGTAATTGTGCTTGTTAAATGACTCGCATTGCAAGGACTGACCTGGCCCATTTAGGGCTGCGGAGCGCTATTTATATACCCGCGGGTAACCTCGCGAGTTGCGAGAACGCGGTTCCATGGGTTTGCCATCTGGCGGCCACGGAGGTGTTATCATGGTTGCGGGCCTACAGGGGCCCGCGCCTTTCGCCCCTTACAAGGCAATACGTGATATAAATATAACACAACACAATAACTTACCAACAATAGCAATTATACTAAACAAAGTACTTATGATTATATTTACGAGTTGATAGAGTATAAAATGTGTTTAATACAATTCCCTCAATCTATTATTTGTTTGTATAATACCTGAACTATCATTAGATTCTTAACTCACATTGACGTGAACATTGGCAGCCGATAAACAAATGTTAAAACTATCACGGATTTACCAGAGTTAAACTAACCTAACCTACATTTATTTTCTCGCATTCAGTCAGAGTTAGTAACGGCAATAAATACATAAACGGCGCATTCAAGAATGCTAATGTAAATTGGAACGGTGATATGGCGTGTCTGTCTTTCGAGGAGCACAATGGCAAACAAAAAGAACTGGCAGACTGCCAAACTGGAAATAGCGAAAAATAAGCCGCGATCGAGGTTTACATAATGTCAAAAGAATATTGTCCACCGAACGAAGAAAATTCATGCGACAAATCTGAAACGTATGCTTGCTAGTTTACACGATGCATTGTGTTGAACAAAAAGTGGTATCAGATTTTATTGATAAACAACAAACTTTCACGGTAAAGTAAGCAAGTTGATACATGTGGTACGTCTGGTGTCGTATGCTAAAAACGAACGTCGCGTCGTATAGTTCTGTATAGTTTTGACTTCTTTTTACGAGCTATTCGCGTTTCACACGGTAACCTTGCTGTTACTCTAACGAAACATTAGGTTGTAAAACGTTAAATGGATGACATAAAGACATTATAAAAAAGATACTTATTCTATGCCAATGTGAAAGTTAATATTTGATAAAAATGATTCAACTACAAATTGCAGAATTCAAAATTGCCAAAAAATGCCTCTTTTCTATAAAAAGTCAAGTTCACCTTGGTCTTTTTAAATAACAGGATGTATTTTTGAAGCTTAAAGTTTGTTAAAAATGAATATTCAATTCAAATACATATTCTGCGAATATCGAATTAATTTTATTGTTCAGAATTTGTGTAGATTTTAAAATGTAAAATTTGATTGTGATACTATTCCTACAATTTTCACTGGGGCAACAGAAATTCATAATTAAAAAGAATAATAATAATAAACGTGACGAAAATTTCATCATTAATGCAATCCATGAATCATACAAAAAGAAATAATTAACGATAGTATAAACAAATGAGAAATTATCATTGTCCATAACAATGAAGATGAAGATGGAAGATCAGCCAGCAGTAGATTAATTAGCAACGTTCAATGACAACTCTAATAATGATTCAAGAATAAACCCGTGGGTCTTTTCGAGTGGCTTTACAAGTTTATCGCTTCTTTGGCGATCTTTTGCGAAGTGGAAGCAACAGTTTTCAGCTGCCTTTGTCTCCCCTGAGTTTCTGTTCTTGTCGGACACACGTGACAATAGCTCGAAAGTTTCTCTCTTCCCTCCGATCGTGTTTACCCTTCTGTTCTTGTCAGCTAATCGTTTAACAGTTTACTGGAAGGATTGTGTGAATATGCCTCGTTAATCATAATACGTCCGAACGCTTTGTAAGTCAACTGAACAATGTCTTGTTATCATTGAACGACAAATAAGAAAAATTTCTTGTTATAGCGGACACATTATCAAAGGATATTTAAGAAATTTTGTTTTGGATAAGAAAAACAAAATATACTTTTTAAAATCGTTGAATTTATTTCAACGCCCTGTAGTCACACATGAAAAAAAATTGAAGATGATATTAAAAAATTATTTTTAAAAAATGACAGAAACTCTGAAATTGTATCCTCTACGAAAAAGAAATTCAATTGTATAACTGTTTTTACAAAAAAATGAAAATGAAGATTTATGACGGATCCAGAATAAATGACAATAGCATAATAACGAGAAAATTATGTAAATTTCAATTAAATTAGCATAACATAATGCATTGAGAAAAGAATTGCTGAAAATGAAATTTGTATAAAAATTTATTGAAAAGAAGATATTTAATGCAACTTTGTAAAAAACAATAAATTTTAAACAAATAGGTATTAATTTTTATAATTTAAATTTCCGTTTCAAGTTACTAGTTTTATATTTTTCCAAGTAATAAAATTGTTTTCATCGCTTTTGTTCGGTTTAATTTCAATAAGTGTACACATGCATTGACCTGTTATCACGTGAGCGCACCTGGCTTGCCAAGAAATTATTAATTAGCTATGGGCGAGGATTTGGCATCGTGCCGCGTTTGCAAGTAAAAAAATTATGAGGTTGCATTAGAACAGTCGCCTGTTGCGCGCCAGACTTAGATGAAAAATCTATTGATTATATTAAATCTATTGATTATGGAATTTTATTTCCATTATAAAAACTCTATACAGGGTGTTCCATGCAACTGCTCGTTAATTTCCTCCCACGTAATTCCCTGCTAGAAGCGTCTTGTGCCTACACGCGTGTATGTACTTCATTGTTTCACCTAGATAGCCGATTAATACTATTGACGCTCGATAATTTCGCGCCTATTAGAAAGACCCTCCTCTAGACCCCCGATAGTAGAGAATTATCAAGCGGGCACTGTACCCGTTCTGCAGATGGGCAGAGAAGAGGAGGCAAAGGATAGCAAGATATAGGATGGATAATGAAATATGAAGGTGGAAAAGTGGTGAGATAAGAATGATAGAGGATGTACAGTATATGGGGTGGAGTAAGGGACATGCCTGTACGCATTGAATGTATGCATAAAAAGAAAGAGAGAAGGACGTAAGAGAAGATGAGAGCCATATTGACAAAAAATCCCTGAGGAGGATGAGATAAATGGAAGATGAGAGACAGATTAGACGGGGATAAAATTATTTTGAAAGTCAGCATAGGAGGATAATTCAGTTGTGGCCTCTCGTCCTTATACCTGCTGAGCATGAATTAAACATGAAAGCCTAAAATAATGAATAATTTGATACGAATCGGTTACGACTTCGGTTACTATGACGATATTGAAGGTTTCCACGCATAAGCCATGTTCTTGCGAAGTTATGTTCTAACATCCCACCAACATTACAGCTAACTTCATCAGGGATTTGAGGACACACTGATATTGTATTAATACATATCTTAGTAGTTCGTAACATTTCGGGAAAGTAACTCGTTCATAGTTAAAGGTCAACAGGTGTAACGCTAGTATTTCCAGAGGAGTAGAAGCGAAACACAGAAAAGTAATTCAAGGTTTTCGGACCTAATTCTTACAGAAACGTCTAACGATTATACTATTTATACTTAGGAGAAGTATACCCATCGACGTGCAGAGGATTTTTAGGAAAAATTGTAAAAAAATTTCTTTTACAAAAAATAAGGTAAATAAGGTTTTGAAAGCCAAATTGCAAAATCGGGCTCTGTACGCCCCTGTATAATTGTATGAAGAATATTTTAAGAAAGGAATCATGAGAAAATATTGCTTCTTCGCTTAAAAATCTTTGAACTACGAGATCGATAAATTTGAGATGTTTTATGTTTCCTTCCTCGGTGAAAGATTTCCACCATCAGCACCATTAGCTCCCATCACTAAATGTTGCATGGTGTTCACAAGTCGAATTAGTATAATATATGTATATATCTATACGGCGTCACTACCAACTGACTCCATTCCCTACTATTCCCCTGAAATTCCTTTCATCCCTCGATCCGATAACGTTAAATCTGATTCACGTCAATGTTCGCGGAATTGCAACAAAATTCCACGTACGGGCACCATACAAATGTTACCCGACACATTAATTTTATCGACCCCGAGTAGGGTAAACAAGTTGGATAAAGGGATGTCACGCGAATTGACACTGCCTAACCATGTGTACCCTCTGAAGATGAGTATTTTATTTACCGCTCTAAATAAGAGGGAATCCAATGACAAATTTATTCGATGAAAAGTGAGTCCTCTATGTCAATTGTAAACGATCAATATAATACACTAGTCGGATATCGATAAGCTATCAAAGCATTGTTCGAAGTTACGTGGCATCCATAGAAGGTGATAATTCCAATGTAGCAATCAGCGTTAATAGGAATTAATATACATTCACGCAAAAGTACCTTAATAATTTTTGTAATTTAATACAAAAAATCTGAAATTTGTTATTTTCATAGATTTAATTGTTTTGGTATGAAAATGAATGAAATAATGGATGCAAAACTTTATTTGCCAGTTGTAGAATCGATAGTAGTAGAATTTTTAATTATAACCTAGATTCTACTTACCCGATTTGAAAAATTCAAGTTGAGGGTTGTTCGAAATGAAATTACCTACAACTTCTGAAATTTAAAAAAATCACACTTCTAGAGAGAGGAAAAAAATTTCTATTTTACACTATATCTGAAAAATGGAATAATTTCCAAATAATTTCAATAACTCTTCAATAATTTTAATAATATCAAATAATTTCAATTAAAATCAATATATTCAATATGAAAGAGCGAAGAATTGCTCAGTCCAGTGCATCGCAATAAATAAACACTATCTGACCATCATTGTTCAACGGTAAAAGGATAAATGCAAGTACATAAATGGGAGGATAACAGATGTACGTTTTCTGCAAAGTGACGATTCGTCGAAACATCCTCGGAATCTGGCGTTTCGCATAAGAATTAAGGTCATCGTAGGGGACTTGGCCGTTAATTTCCTTCTTCCTTCCCGAGCGACAGAGCGTCGTGCCGCCTAAGGTTCCACACAAGTTCACGCACTGGTGCACGTGTACACGTATGACCCCGTTGCACACAGTGCACTATCCGACGCCGTGGACTTTGCGTTTGCGTTCCGCAAAAGGGGATGAGGATGGTTTATTGATCGGTTGAGGAGGAAACGATTCTGCGTCCCACACCTCCTGATCGCGAAACCAGCGGGAAGAATCCGCAGACACCGATGAAATTCATCTCATCTTTCGTCATATTTACTTTTCCTCGTCTAACAGACACCTAGGGTGCGCGTGTCCCAATTACGGTGACTTTAAGTCACTTTTGCAAAACAGTACCATGTTCTTAAAATCAATATCTATTTCTTCCTTCCCGACAGGGTCATTTAAATACATATAAAGGTTTTATAACAGGGACAAGCTCTGTAATTGGTACATTTAGCCAGTATGAACAAAATCCAGCAAACGTGAATTTAACCCTTGAACAGCGGAGCCTGAGTCAAATCGTGACCGAAATTTACGAAACATATACTTAATTCGTATATTAATTATCCTTAATTAATATTGGAAATGTATGAAATTTATAAAATGAAAATAATATGAAATAGAAAATTAAATTAGAATTGGGGTTCTCTCCATGGTCCGCCGTCCGAGGGTTAAGCGCTTTATTTCGCTTTATTTTGTATAATAGGATTAAAAATACATTGGAAACAAACACACTTAACGCTTACAATTTTTAATTGATGTAGTATATAATTTTATAAGAAATATGCATTCTATTTGTGCGCACAAAGCACGGAACAAAGGAAATGGGGTGCAACGAAATAATTAAACTTCGGTATAACAAAGATTCTATCTTTACACTTTCTGGTCGACGGAGTTTCGTGCATAGAAACTCGGTCGACCGAATTCCGCCTTTTCTCCGATTTAAGGGAACTGTGACAATTCGAAATTAAGAAGATGTTCATCTCGTCTCCTTTCTTCCACCTTGCTGAACTTCGTGTCGTTATGGACGACGAAACGTAATACGTGCAAGAAGAAATATACCCAGATCCGTGGGCATCAACGAGAACTTTTGGTAATTAATTAGCGGTTAGCGAGTAGTGAATTTTAGTGAAATGCGCGATTCTGTCGCGGTGCATCCTGTGAAACCTGTGGGCGAACCCTGTACAGCTTTTAGATTAACAAATTTATTTCCAACGAATGATCAAATGAAACCCAACTGCAATAGATTTACATCGAGACGAGCATTGTTCCACCGCAAGGATGCTAAATATTTTTCAAATATATATTTAAAATATATTTTTAAAGAATAGTAAGAATGAATTAGTTGAAAATGACATAATGGTAACGCGATGCTCGTCTCGGCGCAATTTACGTTTACACTGAAAGAGCAAGTAAAAAAAGAAAATTGGGGAAAGTAAGGAAAGTGGTGGTAATATTCGTAGAAAGAGAAGGGGGAATAGAAGGAAGAGGGAGTTGTAGAGGATTGACTGAGCAAGGGTTATCTTTCCGGTGTTGCAGGATGCACGCGGTTGGATTGCATTCGGCGCTGGCCATCAAGCGTCAGAGAAAGCGTCGGGACGAGCAGCGTCGTGCCCGCGAGCGTCGTTATAGCGCGCAGTCGGGCGAGAGCGGGCTGACATCTCCGAGGGCATCGACCGATTCCTTGGACCATCCGCCGAGACACCATAAACATGGACATCCGAATCGTTCCGCTGGCCAAGGGATGCTGGATACGAAGGTGGTTACGTCGATCGGGATGCTTCACATCGGTGTGGTGTTCCTTGTACTCGGAGGTTTTCTTCTGATGAGTGGCTTGTTACCCGGAGATCTGGCCCAATGGGGCACCAAAGCGTCTGGCGGTTGGTGGAACGAGTTGGTGGCTATAGGGTTGTTCGCCATTATCGTCGGTATATTCCTGATAGTCCTGAACAGAGTGATCGCGAAGAGGGAGGAGAACGATTTGGAGGAATACGTACAGAGGCAATTGACCAGGTCAAGGTCTGGACATAGATTGGAAAGGGACGTCGAGACGGGCGGGTTATCCACGAAACACGCAAGAAGAGCGAGGCAAATGCAGCAAATGATGGCCAGCGAAGTGGAATCCATCGAGTCACAGAATGAGAAAGAATCCGAAGGATCCCCGCCCAGAAGTCCTCCGCCTGCTTACTCGCCGCCCCCGACGATGAACGGAGATCATCAAACGGCACAATCGACCCTATTCCTCGAGCAGATCACCGAGGAGGAGATCATCAGCGATCGCGTGGAAACGTCAACGACCAATAGCTTGAGTCCTGGCTCGCCTAGCGAGACACGGGAATTACTCCAGAACCCTCGCCACTCGAAGCAGAATGGTAACCCTCAGCAGGTTCATCGACCGCTCTACGTGTCCAGGATCTAGATACCGGCAGATCTTTGGTATACCTTCTATGTTCAAAGAACCGCGAGAATCTCGTATCGGGAGCAAATTCGAGGAAGAAAATTTTTACGAGGACAAGCTTTTATATGTATGTACGTCTTCGAACAGCGTATCTTCTACTGTTTCTACGTTATCCTGTCGATTGTTTATTTCACACGGATAAGCGAAACGATCGAACAATCTGGCAGTTTGCTCGGAAATCGTTTAGAGATGATTTTCCAATTGCATACGTGTTGAAGAATAGAAGTATATAAACGAAGATATTAGAAATTGAACAATTTAGGAATATATTAAAGTTTTCAATCAACAATTTTCAATTTTTTTTTCTTATCTTAAGTAGAATTTTGTTTAGAATTCATTCACGTTACGATAAATCGAATATATAATCGTTGTAGTTACTTGTTCGAAGTTATCGAGATTTCACTGATTTATTTATTATTGTAGGCATTTCAAATTGATTTAGTACGAAGGATCTCACTACCATCAATGATTTCCTATAATAATAGAAAGTGATTAAACCGTGGGACCAAAGTTTTGTTCACCTATGTATTTTCACTACGAACACTACAGTGGATAATTTCGTTTCATTTATACAATAGCGATTGACATTAGGACAGTAACACGATGCCTTTTAATTTAAATAAATCAGTTCGATTCCGATCATCAGTTTCCACCATATATATTTAAAATTTTCTTATGAATTCTTTTCATTTCTTTCATGCCTGAACGATTTTACGATTCCCGTAAATCTATTGGTTTATTTGAGTTACGAATATCATGGTAATGTTTGGATGTCCATCGATGGTGTATAAATGAAAGAGAACAGCATGTAATGGTATAGTTGCAAATTTTATAATAATTTGAATTAATCGAATTAACTGATTTCAAGCGTATTTTATTTTTTTTATCGTTATTTTATTTTTATCGTTACAAGACATGCAAAGTAACCGATTGGCTATAAAATGGATAACTAATTGAATCGACAAGTAAATTTTCAACAATTGAAATCTCAAAGGAGAAACTAATTAATTATCTCAAGAAATTACAGTAGTGAGGTCATTTATTCTTACTATCAGTAGCGTTTCTTTCAAAATGATTCGACATCTCGATAATTTCAGTTCACGAATATTTAAACTACAAACACAAATTTTCGATTACCACCTTTATAATTAACCCTTGCACGGCGGAGCCTGGCTAAATTGTGACCCAAACTTACCATAAATATACAGAAGGGTTTTCTAATTTTGAAAGGGACAGTGTAAAATTTAGAAAATGGAAATAATATGAGACACAAAATTACATTAAAATTGGGGCTCTCTCCATGGTCCGCCGTTCGAGGGTTAACAATGCATACGAAAAGACGACGAGAATTAAACGGTGCAACGATACGCGTGTAGCTTTTCGACGACACCAAAATCGAGAACTCTAAATCATTAGGAAGCAAGAAGAATCTTCTTTGAGAATAGTATGTTTACGTATCTTTTAGACCGCTGTCTGACGGTACCCTTTGAATTTGCTCGCTGATTCGTCGAGTGCGAGTCAACGAAGGGAGAAGGTGAAAGAGGAATCCGAAAATTGCATCTGTATCGAACCCATGAAATGATAAAACCTTTCGTCCATTAAAGCTTTTACTAGGCTGACGACTTCTGTAGTAGAGTTAAGGAACGTCTTGATCAGTTGAAAGTAAGCGATCATTCGAGGTGCGAAATTTTCCGAACTCTTGCGGTATTCGAAGAACGACGGAGAGAAAAGGAAACGGGAAGGAGGAAAAATTCTGAAAGAAGTCGTCTTGGAGAGTCGATCGAAGTACCGACCTAAGCGACGAAAAAATGAATTCAACTATGTGCATTCAAGGACCAAGATTTAATTAATTCGAGGAGCGAGGTGGAACAATTTTAAAGAAGATCTCGAAGATAACGATGCCAAAGAGAGGACGGAAGTAACGCGTAGATGATATGTTTCTTCGTTCGCGGAATATCACTAATTAATCGTGTGTGTCAGAAATTTGCTTTAGCAGTCGTTTAAGGAGAAGAGGAGAGGTCTCCGGCGCCAACATACTCATTACACATAATATTTATATCGTAAGTAACAACGGACTCGAGATCGGGACTATGTGTTGTTAGAAGCACAATTTATCAAAACCGATGTTCTTCAACGTTTAAGAAAGTTGGTCTCGATGTCACGAGTCTGATATCAGTCATTGCACATGCGAAGTCAACGAAATTCATAAGAACGGATGAAGTTGTAAAAAAGACGCTCCCTTTTCGATTTCGATGATTTTTCAATATGTTGGAAATTCGACATTTTATATAACTTTTCTTTTAGTTCCTGAGATATTCGCGAAAAAATATCATTATCACTACAGTGAATTTTGTCTATAAATGTAAGCCAAAGTTCGGTCCTGAACGTTTCGCTTTCATTGAATTTTTACTGCATTGTGGTGGCACTGCCTATGAGTTCACTAGCGAAAAGATCACCCTATAGGTTAGAGAAAAAAAGTTGCGTAAAATCTAGAATTTTACGATATATTAAGAAATCATCGAAATCGGAAGGGGAGTAGTTTTTTTAACAAGTACATCAAGAAATGAGACCTAACAATTGGAACGGTTGTCGTTAAGAACTTTCTACAATTATTATAATTGGTTCCAATGGAATTTCAGCTCTTTTCCTTTTATCAATGAATTGTAGAAAGTTTCAGTAGAACTTTTTACGTGAAGGAAACATTTAAATCGTAAAGTGCTGTGAATCTCGAGCAATTTTTAACTTTATGCAAATTTAAAATTATAATTGTTAACTGTTTCTTAAAGAATATCATTCTTCAAGTACTAAGATATTGGCTATCTGAGGTCAGTTAAATACTTTTTGTCTTCTTTATATTCATTACTTCATTCTTCATCTCAGAAATAAAGAATCAGTTACGACGAAACGAACAAAACGAAACGAAAGTGAACAATAAAGTATACGGTAATAACTGAACGAAATCTCTCCGATAATCATGATGTGTTACCGCAGGGATAGGCATCAATCTCGATACAGTAGCCGTTCGATAATTCCCTGCCATATAATTTTCTGTTAGGAACGCCCCATGTTCATATGCATTACTCACCCCTGCGCGTCTACCCCACTATCTCGCTTAGATAATCAATGAACGTATAGCTGTGTCACATAAACGAACTGTGAAAAATGAGCACAGTTCTTTAGAAGAGCCACTTCTAGAGCCCTAAAGACGGGGAATTATTGAGCAGCTACTGTATACCATAATTGAGTACACATCAACGCGTGTTCGGTCATCTTAATTATAAAAATCATTGACAGTGGGGATCGTGGCTAAAATGGCACTGCCATGAAGTACCCTTTTATGCCAGGTACTGTGCAGAGCTGGAAAGAAGTCACTCGAGATGACGCAGGATATTTATTATACATTAGTCTATTAGTGGATGTGATCATTTCGATAAAAGATAAAAATGTGTGCATTTTATTCCTATGGTTATATTAAAAAAGAGGGAATCCTATGCCTTCCAAGTGCCATCTTTCCAGATCGGTACAGTGATCGCATACCCCACTATTCCATCCATAGTATCCGTCCCTATAACGCCACCCTTCCCTATAGAGCTGCTAGTAAAGTAGGCTCGAGCTCCCAAATATTCCAGACATAGGCATTTTTTGTTCCCATGCCTGGTCTAAACGCACCATAGTGCACACAATGAAACTAACAATGGAAGAGATTTCCAAAGTGAGCTCCACCGACTGAAACGTTTAATTCTGACCCTGATTAACCTTCTACGTGTCGAAGACAAATAACGAGTAATCTTTTGAAATATTTGTATCTTAATAGAACAACGAGTGATTGAGATAAAGTATTTGTTCCATTATTATAAGTCACGATGGCGCACGGGTGAAAAAGATGAAGAAAATATTATTGAATATACGACGAATTGTACAGGCGATTAAAATTGAAAATTGCATCCAGATTCGAGCACGCTTATTCTTACATTTCGTTCGCAATATCTTGGTAGCATCAAAACGAATTACATTTACATATAACGTACCTGCTTTCTCATAAATGCATTCAAATTAAAGGTGTGAGGGTATTCGAGAAGACGGGTTGGAATATTACATAGATATGAAAAGTAGGCCGATAAGGCTTTGATTAACGATTTTCCGAAAATTCGTATAGCAGGGAAACTTGGCTGAGTTGGTTCAAATTTTTCCGCACTAGTTTGATCGGCGCGAATTTTATCGAGTTCGCCTGAGCCCGTAATTTCGGATACCCCAATACCCTTAATTGAAATTTATACACGTTGCTTTTAAGATTATTAGTAAAGGCAGTTGCAATCTCTTTCGGTGTTTCGAACCAGGGGTTTGGAGTGTCCAGTGACTGATAGCGCGGTATCGTTAAGATAGTTGGTAATTTTAATATGCTATATTCCATTTTATAGTACTATGGGTATTTAACTACATATGCTAGCTTTAGACGGCGAGATAATCGAAAACGACCCGATTCACGTTCGTTCGCATTTTATCATTCTTTGTTACTGATCTCGCGTAAATAGAGCATGCTGATTATTTATTTTCTTTCCTTTGGCTCGTGAAAATTATACGAACGTGTTACAGACAATAGAGAGTTGTAAAGATTCGAATTTTCGTTGCAGCACAAAGTCTGTCCCGCAACCTGGTCGTTTTCGAGTGTCTTCAAGAAGAAATTGCCACGCTCGGGCGCTACCATTCTGTGATCCAATGAAAAACTTAATTAATTAAACTCATACCGACAAAAAAAGGTGGATAACATTCTTTCGAAGAATCTTACTCTGTACATATATATACTATTATACATCTCTACCTTTTTTAAATTGGGGCACCGTGTATTTATTAATGAGAAAAGAGGGCAAGAAACGAGAGAAATGTCGAAGACAAGATAGGGAAAGAAAAAAAAAAAAGTGACGTCCCCACTTTTCGTATTTCGCGTAATTCCAACTTTTTGTGTGCTCTTGCAAGGCTAAGAAAGAAAGGGAGGGAGGGCGCGAAACAGAGTGAAAGATAAAGAGAGAAAGGGTGAGAGAAATTGGTTTACACAAGGAACGCTCAAAAGAAAACAAAAAAAATACAGTTCGGTTAGATTGAATGTTGAGTGAAAGTGCCTTTTGCGATGTGTTTTGTATTTCATCTAGCTTTTCGGTGTTGAAGGGAAACGACTTTTTTTTTATTGATATGTTCATGAAGTTTTCTCTATCGCCTGTGACGATCAATAATGTTTCACAATTTTTCTAATTTTTTATAAGCTCGATATGTAAGTTACGAATTTCTTGCTCTTGTGTTTTTTATAAGTATAGGGTGTTTCATAAATGAAGAAATAATTTTAGGGGTAGTGGAGTAAATAATTTATATTATGTATATGATTTTCACAATTTTTGTAAATAAAAGCATTTTCTTCGAAAATTGATACAATATTAGTGCAATACTAATTTCTGAAGGATGTAAACTAAATTATTTATTAAACAATTAAAATTTTTTGAATATTTATGAAACGCCCTATACCTGAAACCAGTAACTATTGGCATCTGAATTGAAAGAAACTATGTTAAATGTTTCTCCAAAAAGTGTTTCCTAATGAAACGTTATGTGGACAATGGTTCACAAAATTAAACTTATCAAATTGCATAGGCAATTTAAATATCATTTGTATACATCTTATAATATTCTTATCCATATCTGAATTACGTGTAAGTGTTAAGATGATGTTACCAAAATGAAGAAAATTAAAACATTCTATTTTCTTATCTCGAAATTAACGAATAATTATTTGCGTAAAACAATTCTACAATGTTTATGAAAAGAATTTTTAATTAGTATGTACAGTAGCGCAACTGAGAGCAGGGGCGTCAGAATTAAAGAAAATTAAAATTTTGAGAATTCTTGTTTATCTAATTGACTTGACTGCGAATGTACCTCGAGCTCGTAATAATGTACAACTATGGGCATAGGGCACTACTTGCTGAGCATCCCTTCCCTATAGCATAATTATGGTTGCGCCACTGTCTATAATGATGATATTTAGGTGACAATAATTATTGGTTTATCAAAAAACGTTCAACGTTATTTGTTACCGCGGTACCTTTTAATATAAGAGCGCATACAATTGTAAAGAATTAATTTACTTCTTTCATTCCTTCGAAACTGAAAGGCTGAAATTGCAGATTAACTTTAATCGTAGGTGATTCAGTACTTCTCTTGTATTCATTTAAATGATCTATCTATTATACATTGTACATGTATATTCTCTGAAAGGTGAACTTATTCTATATTATACCGGGTTGTAACTTTTTATTGCTATATATTATAATGGATTTTTAACGCACGACAGATATCTTATTAGGAATCGAACCTGTATCAATAGAGGGACGGGGTTAATTGAAAATTGGCGGGTTCCACGGCACGTTAAAACGAGATACAGAAATATCCTAAAATAAGTGGTACAGTTACTTTTACCTAATACCTTGCGCACATTCGTACAGTTTATCCAACGAGACGAGACAGTAAATTCGAAGAAATTCACGTGCTCGAAGCAGGCCCAACTCACAGTAAATACACAGATCTCGACCGAAGCGTTTGAAGAACCGGAAACAACTGTGCTTCGATTCTACGTCGAGCGCGTGAATTTGTAAACATATACTGACTCGTCTCGTTGGACGGATTATAGAGTGTGAAAGCTTATGAAATAAAGCTTCGTGTTACTATTGAGGGTCTCGTCGAACGGTCATTGAACTAATAATATCTTATGAAAAATTATGTATATTTATTTGTCCAAATGAAAAATAGTATAAAATTTAGAAAATGAAAATAATATGAAATATAAAATTAAAGTAAAAATGGGGTTCTCTCTATGGTCCGTCATTCGAGGGTTAATAATGTTAAAGGTTCTTGATAGTTTTCATTTTTATGACTATAATACGTTTGCCATGTGAATGTATAATTTATAGTATTTAGTCTAATTTGAGCACCCATGTTAAAAACTGAAGGAAAAGGAACTGGGTCAATGTGCCTCTCCGAAGGGACCCTCAAGCACGAGAGGTACTTTAAAGAATTTCATCAGGACATTCGCAGGATTATTTTTCCTACGATTGCGAGTTTAATAGTGATAAGCAAAGCGTTGATGGGTTAATTAACGAGAGATGAGTCTCGCGTGGGTGGTGTGCATCGCACGAGGCGGGCACAATTTCTCGTATTGAGCGACTAATACAATTTGTGAAAGTTTACACTTTAAGCTCAGTTTATACTAGATCGTAACCTTGCTCGGTAATTAATTTTTTTCTCAAACTTCATTACATAGAAAAGGATTATTCAAAAACGTAAGATATCGTGAAAAAACAAAATGGCATCACGTGATGTCCCTAGCTGTAACGTGACACTTACGCATGCGCGCGCAACCTCCTAGTGAGGAAAAAGTCCCAGAATCGCGTATCACTACACGAAGGGATGAAAACCACTATGAAGGTGCGATGATGGTATGGTCTAGTATAAACTGACCTTTATTCTTCCAAGCGCGCCTTTCCGTGGCAAAGTTGATAAAACAACCGTTTTACAAGTCTTCTGTATACGGGGATGGTTCCATCGAGACCGTAATAGACCCGCGACGTTCCCCGCTTATCGATTCGACGTTCCGAAGGATGGGAAAGAAGGCGAGGCGGTTTGAAACGAGGAACTCGATGAGACTTGATAGAACGAAGAATTCCTTCGTGAACCCGGAATCGAAATTTCTTAGTAATAAGAAATCCGTCGATCCTTACGAAGGGTAAAATCTATACCGTTGTTTCCTTGTTAAGACGTTTCGTGTAATCGTAAAATAACGAGTTCGCTGCAGAAAAGAAACTGAAGAAACGATAAGGGAAACAAGGGAAACATTGAGGGGACCTCGCAGTTCTGACGTCTTCGAAAGGAAAGAATAAATCAGAATTTATGGTCGTAACGATAGCGTTCTTAGGGAACATTTCGAGGAATGAAATCCCTTCGAAAGCGATTAATTTAACGTGTAAGCTTATTGCATGTACAAGTCCTAAGGTATAAAAATACACGATAAGGGAGACGAATGGCTGGGATGAGCGGTGACGATCTTTATCATTGTTATAATTATAGTTCTTACATACATTATTGCAATACTTATTACTATCGCAACTGTTATAAATAGATATTAAGAAGCTTTCTTATGCCGTTTCTCTATTGTACCACTTATATACACATGATGCACGACTTTTCGAGAATAAATCTTTATGAAACGCTCCAGTCTTTGTAACTTGGTTGTTCTTTCTAGATTTTACGCGACAATCCTCGATGCGTATAAAGCAACCTCATTTTTAAATAATTATTTATTAAACAAATTTAATAGATTAAGGATCAACAGGACCGACGGAAAACGTGAATTACTTTTCCATGTTTCACTGTTATTCTGTCAGAGAAAAAGAAGCATTTTTACAGGAGAAAATATTTTGCAATTTTTTCCCAAAAGCATTCTATAATTCTCCTGAGTATGAATATTATATTAATTATGTAGTTCTCTTAGAATTATATCTAAAAAAGCGTCGATTCTGTGGATCCTTAAATGGTGTTATTGAAAATGAATATTAATTTGTAACATTCTGAGATACAGTACATCTCTGAAATGTTATACTTCTGAAGATACATGTTAGAGAGCCGGACGTTGTTCTCGTTCATCCGACTCGAGCAGTAATAAACCACGAGTCGGTGAACCGGGCAACTTTTTATCCAGGTCGTTGAATTTATCTCATTGCGCAGTACCCCGGTAAAAAATCCATATCGCATAAACGTCAGCCAAAAAATTTACAAATATATTCCGTATCATCGCGATAATTTCATTAAAAATTGTTTATTTCAAAAAGAGTTAATAACTTTCCTGACTCGAAATTGTGTTAACATTTTAAGTACCAACCTTTTAGTGTTCTCTCAATCGAAGTAAACTTGGTAAAAAAATTTTTTATATATTAATTAATAGTGGTAACATTAAATATTTTATACGTTTATTAGACCTTTGAGTTGAAATGAAAAAGCTAACTACCCTAAACCTGAATGTGTCTCAGGTAAAGCATGGAATATCGAAATAGAGGGAAGTGAATATGAAATCGTGAAACGTGAGGTTCGATTACTTTCAAATATAGGAAAATATGCTGAGACCCGATAAAATATTAGATCTGGTCAACGGGAAATTGCTTCTGAAATTCTTCAAATAGAATCGACGATTGAAAGGTTTCTTTCGTGTTTGTTTAAAACCCGATGCACTTTGCTTTTCCAATAGCGCAAAGCATTATCGATCTAATAAGATAATGTGTTCAATTTAAGTTTTAAGTGCTTGCAGTTAACTCGCGTCTTAGACGTCCTTCTTATACTAACTTTAAATAAAATGTTTGTTACGTATCAAATTTATTACAGCAATAAAATTAGAGCAAAGATTTATTTCCTGCAATTTTCAATAGATGTTTTGTTTTATTGTATAAATATCAATACCAGTATACTTTCAGAAGTTCCGAATGTTTAAATAACAGATGGAAGATTTAGATTCAATTAACAGTAGTCTGATTGCAAGTGTTTTCATTTAATTTAATTTCAAAACAACTTGAAGATAAACGTTTGAAGAAGGATGTCTTTGATGTTTTAGTAGTTCAGAATAATTAAACAATAATGATAAAATTTTACTTGAATCTACGAAAGATATTTTATAAACTTTTATCACAGGTTGAGATAAATAAATACTCGAAGTTACCTTGTCTGCTTTTGGGCGAATAAATAGTTGGTGTCAACCGCAACTGACCGTATAAACATTTTAATATCGTCATTGTCGGATGGCAGATATCTCATCACATCAGTAAATCAGTCATCTGGAACAATGAAAAATGTCGGACGACGTCGCTATAGTGTAAATCTTTTAGTCAAACGACTTAAAGTCTTTTAGGAGCAATATGGATAGATAAGGACGTGAAACCATTTTTTATGTCAACATTCTGCTTGACTATCGGGCAGTCCTTGTCTTTCCCGTAAGGATTATTTTAATCCTCATAAGTAGTGGAAAGATAGAGTTAAGTTATATTAGAATTTACATATGAGCCCCCATTTGCTAAATCACTGATCTCTAAGAAACAAAAAGTAGGGAAACTTGATTTTCGGGCATACACATTTATTTATAAGTTGAGAACCACTGATATAGCGTACTTATCCAATTAGTTCTCTTGGTATATACATATTATCTGGGTGTAAAGTTATCAACATTTGAGTAGCTGTTGGCCCACTCGTGTAAACAATAGTGGCACTTCAAGTCGATGGTAGTTTAAGATTCTTAACAATATATTAAAGAACCACTTGTTGTATAAAAGAATAGAGAGTAATTTTCTTTATCGTTTTAAAATTATTCTCCATTTCTGTTCTACTTTGCATAGCTGTTTCAGAGTTTAACTACTATTCGCTTTGCATTATGTCATCGTGTTCACTTGACGAGTAATGATGTCAAATCGCTTGATCGACAGTGATTAGCATGATCAACGTTAACACGTTGATGTTAATAAATTGCATAAATGTTTTGATATAAATTGATAAATTCGTAGGGGTTCCGGAGTTCCGGGTCCTACCGCAGGCTCTCACCCCTTGCGTATAGAGGTTTACGCGGGAAAATTCGAATTGAATACAAAGTAATAATTAATGATTGTATTATTTTCTTTTCTAAATTACTTTTAATATTAACATCGTCAGAATTATTATTTTGAGAAATCCTGTTGCACAGAAAATGACATAACCGCAATACATCATATTTGGGATAAGATCCCTGACATTGACGTCAAAAAGTGATCGATTCGACGTGGGATAATCCAGCTTAGTCGATTGAGCAATGTAAGGTTTGACATTGGCATGGAGCAATGGGGTTAAATATTTTAAATGTTATTCCAAATATAATATGATGTTTTACCAAGAAAAGATCATAATAATCTATAAAATCTACAGCAATTTTACTTGTTAATATTTTTACATGCTGTTTATTGATTGCCATCTTTGTTACCACATTATTAATTGATTTTTGAAGTTAGAATTCATCAGTGCATTTCTAAATATAACTATAAATTGTACCAGTAAATGAAAAATGAACGAAATGAAAGTAAATCTATAATTAATTAAAAAAGTAATGGGTTACTTATGTACCTAAAGAAGATTGTTTCTGCATTTATTGCCTCCTTACCCGGTTAACAAGGATCATATTTCCTCTAGTTAAAAATATACGAAAGCAATTAAAATGATTGTAAATTCGCTTTTACCGTTGGTACTAGCAACCCCATGGAACCTGGGTATATCCTAGCTGGATGGTGAGCCCGGAGGGTGAAGGGAGTGAACATAGCAACGTATCGACCGACGGGGTCAGTTGAGGTCACCAAAGTTCATACCGTCTCCCGGTTCACAAACCCACCGAAAGTACAGCCGCCATTTCGTATTGTTCAACTACCGTTTTATAAAAATCGACCCACTCTTTATGACCTCCATTTCACACTTTTTTAAGGACAATTATTCCGATGCTGTAATATGTTACGTTCGCTTTTGAACGAGCAACAATAAAAGATGGAGGAAGTTATTTATATAACATGGATTTCCTTTGGGGTATTAAAATTGTGATTGCAAAAGTGATAATTTTATAATTTTTTTCAAAAAACTTTAAACAAAATTAATTTATAAGATAAAAAAATAATAAATTATATGTATCTGGTGCTTTTAATAAAATTAATGGACTTGCTTATGTAAATATTTCATTAAAATATTTGGTAAACAATCATGATTCATTAATGCGGAATATTAATATAACAGATGTAATGATAAAATATATTAAAATGAATAAACATCAAGTATTTGTTTTTAAATTAATTGTATAGGATTATTCTGATTCGAATTTCTGTAATTAACAATTAATGGTTATAAAAGTAATGCAATCTCAATTTGTACCATGTACATTAACAATTAAGAATTGTAAAATTAATGTTTAATAATTAAGATTGATATTATGTAGGTTGTAAAACATAGAGCTTTCGGATTATCAAGTGTACCCAGGATAGATGTAGATTAATCCGTAGTGTTATCATCACTTATATTCTAGAACGAGATATCTCATTTTTACATACTCTATATGATAGATAATGAGTAAAGTCTTGTGTAAACTTCGAAAATTAGAGTGAATATATTCATTGATAGGAATCAGATATTTTAGCACTTTAAAAAATGAGTACACAGCCTATAAAAGTGCTACAATTTAGAAGCTTGAAAAATTGTTCGCTTCCATTGCCCCATCCGCGGCAATATAACGAGAGTGTTTCCCAAGGAAACACCGTAGCCCAATCGAAATATTGAAGCACCCAAGAACGTCAATAAAGCCAGCGGATATGATATTAATCCGATTTGGCATCCCATCCTGCCAGTACTTGAACATCAATAGCTGCATAAAGAAAGCATCGCGTTAAGTTTTATAGGTGACAACTGGACCAGAATTTGCCAGATTCAGGTCAACTTTGAAAAAATTTTATATCCGCTATCATTTCGGAAAAAATAGCTTAAAACACTTTATTTGGACCAGCTAACCTAATCAGACCTACTTTCTTTCCTTCTGTCACCAATAAACTCTTCAGCTTCTAACAGGAAGAGGTATGTCGGAGGATCTTCTTCTACGGTTCAGTGGAATGAGAAAGTAGAGATGGTAGTCAAAAGTGGCTCGTGAACCACAGTTTGACCATGCCTGCAATAAGGTATCACCTAGATCCTATGCGGCTACTTCCAAAGGGTCCTCCTCTGCCTCATGCTATGCATCTGGTTCCAAAGTAAAGTGAAGCAAAAAGGTAAGAAAGGTGAAGCTGGAGAGCTGGGAATGATTTATTACGTCGCACAAGTCCTTGGAGTCCTGGGGTACCATTATAAGCTCAAGATAGGTATAGTAGCTATGATAAGCCCTCTAGGATAGTAGGAAGGCTACTTTAGATTTACAGTCAGCCTACTTCTGGATGCTTATATCTCACTCGGGTGATGGGGAGAAGGATAATACACCGAGGCAGGGGTGTCATAAGAGAAAGTACACACTTCGTATCCGGTACCGCAGAGTCGCTCCTTTCACGGAGGCAGAAGTCGCAGCATCTTAAGAAGCGACTTAGCCAGACGTTGATACCTCTGGGACGGGTCTTCGGCCGACAGTTCGGGTTTAGTTCGGGAAAGTCAACAGAGGACGCGATCTGACATCACCCCAAACACTTTTGCCAACGTCTG